TCCTCCTGGTGGAGGGTCTCCTCCATGGACAAATGACATTGGACGCTGATGCCGAAAACGAGGGCGGGACGGGGCTCAACAAGGGTTGATCAGCCAAGAGCCAACCCCTTCACCTTCACCCTATTTTGGTCTGATGGGGAGTCCTGCCGATTGCATGGAGCTCTCGTCGAGGAAGTTCCAAGCCACTGCTTCCATCCACCACATCGTTGGCCTCAGCCATTTCCTGAGAAGTGGTCATGTTACCGAATCGCAGCTTGCGGCCTTCTCATGAAAATGATGAGCTGCTCTTCAACTAGTGTAGAGCCGCTCTAAGGCTACAACGACGGCTCTGTCCGGCAGTCTTAGATGCCAGGCCCCTTCCCACATCTACATATACGGATGGCATTGGTGAATACATCCATCCAGGGATCCATGGATGTAGCGAAGTTTGAAATCTCAAGCTTGCCTCCCCATCTGATTTCCTCATCTCCCCTCGCATAACCTGTCGAAGCCAAGCTTTCACTTCACTCCACTCCACCGGCTCTGTTGCTGAGCGGGTCCTCTCTTTCCTTTCTGGGAGTGAAGAGGGGAAAGAGTGGGCTCTTGACGGGGAAGCTGTCCAAGCCCCCACCCCCAGACATCCAACAAGTGAGCGCCCAAGCGCCCAAGCACAGGCACAGGCACAGGGTAACGTTGTAGGAAAACCTCGAGTGTAAGTCGCCTCCAAGAGGAAGCACAAAGAGCAGGCTTGATGGGATCTCGGACGAAACCTGACGTCCTGTCCGGAGGATTTCCCCAACCCTGACGAGTCGGAGGGAAACATCCAGGGGCTGATCTGGTGGGCCCGCCTCACTTTCGCCCGGCCCTCTCGCCCCCGCCCTTCTTACGGGTACGATCCGGGCTGGCCAGGCCAATTGTTTCCTGATGCCACGGCCACAGCCGCCTCAGGCCCTAGCCCAAGCCGCGCACCTACGAAGTAGCTCGAGGCTGACACGCGCATCTTAGCCAGGCAGCCAGGGCCCCAGGAGAGAGTTGCTATTCCTGCCCTTTGACGGCCGAAGGGTCAAAGAAGGGTGGCAACCTTGAAGCGAGGCCACTAAGCCGTATCCGAGTTGAACGGCCGCTTGGTCGCTTTCTTTCCCACTTCCGGACAGTCTGTAGCCCCGGCCCAAACTACATTTCTCTCCCTTTGTTTTGTACCCTCTTTCTTTTTCTTTTTTTCCTTTCTTTTTCTTTTCCCTGTTCTTAAAAACGTGATCTACCTATCTACATTGTTAAACTTGGTTCGTCTTGTGAGGCTCTCCGTGGGGATCCCGTGAGAGATGCGCTAAAAACGAGGGGTCCCGCTCTTTGCCGGCCAAGTGTCGAGCCGGGCAAGGGGGTAGGTGGGGTGAAGACGCCGAGGGAGAAGAAAGCACGGCAACGCATTTTTGTTGAGTGGGCGGACTCGGGTGTGAGCTGTCTGATATCAATGTCAGTTGTTAAACAAAGGCGCGCACCACTGCAGGCATTAATAGGGCAACTGCCGTCTTTCATCGAGGTTTAGCACGTACGCTAGTGGGTTAGTGGACACGGACGCTAGGACGGGTGCTCTTATAGTAGCCACGCAGTGGATGTTCGAGGCCCTGCTCCCAGATGAGCCGGGAGGCGTTTCGGGCTACATGTAGACGACGCAGTCTCATGGTTGCCCTCTAAACACACATACATGTAGACTCTGATGGCGCTAAAGCGGGTTTCACTAACGGTTCAAGCAGATTTGAAGGAGGGGTAGACTGAAGCGAAGGCTAATCATGCGCAGAGCCGTTGTTCTGTCTTGGGGGTTTCCTTTTTTTTTTTTCTTTGTTCCGGGGCATGGCCAGATCGGTCCATCCTTGCGAGTTATCATTATAGAGGATCTGGAGGATATAATAGATTATCTCCGGGCTAGGGGCCCCATTGGTACCCACTGCCAACGCCATCAACCTCTCTCTCTGGTTCTTGAATCGTCAATATTATCTGGTCCTTCCTTTTTCTCCTGTCCTCATCCTGCACCTGTCCAGATCGAGCTCCAACACCCCAGCTTTTTACTTTCCTTTTTTCCTTTTTCCTCTCCCCTCCCTTTTCCTTCCCTCTTTATCTTTGAAAACAGAAAAAGGGGAAGGACAAGAGTTGACAGTGTTGATTCTGCTCCTCCTAACCCTAACCTCTAGGCGTTCTGCATTGAGTATTTTGCGCATTTATTTTTCGTGTAAGAGCCAATCAGGAGAAGCCTGATTTGGTGGACGGTGGTGGGAAGACCCCACCCGGCTCTTCACACTGCTTCCCCGAAAGAATCGCCTCAAAGTGGCTTGGGCCACCGAGCTGTTCACCAGCCAAACAATCCGCAGTGAAGGTGGCTCTCAAGAAAATCACGACCTGGCCAAGTAAACTCAAAACGGAGCGTTTGGCGGTCGACGTATCGATCTATAGGGCTGTAGTAGGTCGGCAATACGCCCAACTTCCATGACATGGGATGAACAGTTCACCAGCGTAAGGTTGTGACCGCATGGGTGAGCGACGTCGGAGCTTTATCCACGGGACGAGAGGCGACGACGGGGGTAGCGCATGTACGGAGACAACAACCATGCACTGAGACCAAGTCTAACAGCATTACTTCATTTTGGATTCGGAAAGCCGAAGAGAGTGCTCGCCGCAACTGCAACCAACACTGAATGAACCATGGGCCGAGGAAACGGGCACGGTGTGCACGCTCTCATCGAGTACAGCGTGCAGTGGGTGGGATGTGGAGAGCCAGTGATGTTGCTGAGCGGTCAGTACGCATCCATAGAATGGATCAATCCAATGGGTCCATGGATGAATTCATCGATTAGGAGAGAAATGCTTCTCTCGCCAACATGATGCCCCAGTACATGGTTAGACTCCAGTCGACTCGGTGTTGTACGCTGTACGCTACTAGTCTCTGCCGCCCGCTCCTCCTTCGCTTTCTCTCTTTCGCCCACGTTTTCATGCATTTCTTTTTCCCCTTTGCTTCCATTTCACCCCTATTCTATAATACATTGGCTGACAACGACATTGGCCATTGAACGGGTGGCGGTGGGCTTGCGCGAAAGTAAGTGAAGGCTGCCCGTTTGGAATATGTTAAGATTAGTTTGCAAGCCGAGTTCTTCATTTTTGGCTGCAAACGGAGCCTTGCACCGTGTATGTTATCGTAGGACGTAGTAGAGGCTACGTTGGTTAGTGATTGATGACAATTCAGTTGGGCTGGTCGGCCCCGTCGGCTTTCTCGCCACAGGGTCCCCCATGAGAGCAAGGCAGCAGACGGGCAATCTTCCGCGCCCCGAGCCGCTGACTCCCGCCGCTTCTCGAGACCAAGGCTAATGTAGGGGACCTAGCTAGCCCGGAGAACACTTGAGCTTTACTTAAACATCTTTCACAAACCTAGATGCAAAAGGGGAGGGATAAGATGGGAAAGGAAAAGCGTCCTGACCCTAACGTGAGCGTGAGGGGTTCGGGCTGGGGAGGCTCACTGATGGGGTGTGTGTTGCTAGTGCTAGGGGACCAGGGAAGGTGGGGGGGTGCGCTGGCTGAAAGGGAGTGTGGGTGTGGGGGCGTGGGCTAGTCAAAACGGCGTTTGATGCGACTGGAGGAATGGTGCATCCAGGACAATCCTCACGTCTATGCTCACTACCATCACACCCTAGAGGTAGCCTGTTGCACAGCTAAAGCAGCTATTCACTTCGAGTCGCGTCCTTCTGGCCTCTTTCGGTGGGACTGCTCTACCTCGCCGAGTCGGACCGGGGGAAAAGTGCACCTTGGCTGCCATGAGAAGAATACTATCAAGTATACTTGTTTTTCTTTTCAGATGGCGAAGGCGATCAATTTCAACGTGTAATCCACCTCCGTCCCCTTCAAAATGATGCTCATGGCTTTTCTGCTGGAAAGGTTTTATAAGTCTAGGATGAAGCCTCCAGAAATTCCGTTCCACACATCCCTTTGCCTCTCCAAAAGAGTCCCACCCATCCCCTCATCCTCACGACAGAAGGAAACATCTATATAATATTCTCTTTGTCCATCTCGGTCAACCCTACTCTCATTGTCCTTTTGGAACACCACCAGTTGGCTAGCTCCTTGTCGAAGAGCTTAAAGCGATTAACGTATCATCTCCGCTTAACGAAGGGTTGCTATAAGGCATCTGTTTATATGCTGTCCAGGCCCAGGATCTCCATGACTCTCAAACACAATCCATATTCGATCTCGCCTCAGCGATAAGCTTGTTATGATCAATGCACTCATCTCCCCACCTTGAATCAGGTATTCGACATTCGTTCTGCTAAACATCAACCCTACATCCTCTTATCATCCTCCTATTTTTAAGCGCGCCTTCTCTCTCTCTCCCTACCTACCTCCCTCTTTCCTACAGGATATAGAAGAACATACAAACAAAGGAAAGCCGAAAGAACAGAAAAGTCAGCAACATGGAAGGCCAAGTTTGCGAGTCTCGGGGCGGACATAAAGCCCAGCAGCTCCCCAGTTTCGCCACCTTTTGAGCGTTTCTACTGGAGGGGCCCCCTTTCCCTCCAGCCAGCGCATCAAGCCCCGCCGGCCCTTCTCTGAGTATTCCCCTCACGCGGTCGTCATCATCCTCCTCCTCATCGTCCTCATCCCACCGCCATCCCACCTTTTCTTCTACGTCGTCTTCTCCCCATTTTGGCGGCAGCGGCAGCGGCAACAGTAACGGCACCCCAACGTCCCAAGACCGAAATGGCGGCAGTTGCGCGAGCCCGATTTGCACGAATCCGGCGCCTTATGCGGGGATGCCCCCACCCAGCACGGCCGGAGACCGATTCCGAGGATGGTTTCCCAGCGCGGACCGGTTATCCGGTAGCTCGACTACGGACCTGCGAGCGTACAAGACATCGCGAACTGGCCCATTCGTGGCAGACCGAAAGTACAATACGAGCCCGGCCGTGCCGCCTTTGCCGTGTGATCAGCCTCGCAGGATAAGTCTACCTTCCTTCACGAGCCTAACGACACCTTCTCCAATGAGCGAGGGACGGCGAAACTCGCACGTAGACGTGCCCGAAACTGCCGCTACGACGGCTTTAGCCCTCCCATCTTCGAGAAGTAGCATCACGGGATATGGGGCGCCTGGCTTCTCGTCGGGGTTCAAGGCAGCGGGCATGCTCGATTCCACAAGGCAAGGATCGCACCACCACGCAGGTGGGCGCCACATCCTGCCCACGTCTAGGATACGTTCATCTTCACCTGGGGCGGGGATGCTCACACCAGATCAGATCCCCGAGGCCCTCAGCCTAACCCTCGCCCTGGCTAGCCGGGGTGCGCTCCCGCCTGCCCTTTCTGGCGACAGGCGAGGCAGCGCAGACTCCACTTCAAGTCAGGAGAAGGGCTTGTCCCGGAACAAGAGGAAAGCCGGAGCGATGAGCACGGCCAAGTGCCAGCCTAAGGATGGCTCAGGCGACGAGCGAGGGGAGCAAGAGGTTCAAATGCCCGCATGACGGCTGTGGCAAGTCGTATAGCTGGAAAGAGAATCTCACCAGGCATATGACGACGTAAGTTATTTTCCCAGGGCGCTTTCTTTTCTTCCCTACGTTACCTTCTTTTTCGGAATCCTCCGCTTCTCTCATCCCTTTATTCGCGCCTTTTGATGGCATAATTGCCCTCTCCACAATATAAAAGGCAGTTATGCTAACGGCCGTTTGCTATTCAATAGCTGGCACTCTCCAATGCAAAACCGATGCCCCTTTTGCAAGGACAACGCAATGAGGCCGAGCTTCAACAGGTTGGACAACTTCAAAGAGCACATCCTCCGCCACTTCCGCGACCGCAACAACTGCCGGGCGCGGACGGGGTTCGACCCGGCAGCAGAGGAGTTCTACCTCGGTATTACGGAGATGGTCAAGCAGAGGCGACAGCAGCAGCAGCACCAACAACACATGGGCATGTCGACAACAGCAGCGCAGCGAAAGAGGCTAGCCGATCATATGAACGCGGCGGAGAGCCCCGGTAGCACGGACACATGCGATACGGGGAGCGACGCGGCGAGCGATGTGGATGGCGACGTGGGCATGATGGGCTGATGAGACATCCAAAGTGGCTACGTTCTCAAGGGCGACTTTTCCATCTGTTTTGCACGCTCTCATCTCGCGTTCAGGCGGGGAAGAGAGCTAAGCATCTGTCGGGGACCAGCCATATTGGACAATCAAGTTGGAGTAAATTTCTTTCTCAACTGTACGATCACTATCTGGGGCTTTTTTGTTCCCCTTCTTCGCTTGGTCTCTTTGCCAGGGTTTGTTTGCCCGGGTTTGTTCCTATCTCTTTTCCTCGGGAGTTTTTCCTGGTTTTCTCTTCCAGGGGTTATTATTTTCTTTACGACATGGCCTTCGAAAAGAGGCCAAGAGGGAGAGAGGCACCCAAAAGCGGATCGAGAGCATGGTTTCTTTTTGCATGTTGGTACTGCGGGCGAACCTTACGAAGTCTCACGATTGTTTGTCATCTTTCTATTCTCTGCTCTCTTCTCTCTTTTTGGTTTTCTTGCCTCAATCTCGCTTTTCTTTTTCTTTTTTTTTCTTTTTTTCTTCATGTTTCTTTTTACCCTTTCAGACCAAAGCTGCTAGCTCGGTCCTGAGCCGGAACGCGACCATGACCAACAAGGGGCAGACCACGGGAAACAGAAAGATTCCCACCATCAAGGCAGGACAGACTCCGAATGGGAAACGGTGCTCGAGTGCTGGTCTGGTTTTGCACACAGAAAGGTTGTTAACCAGGCTAATTTTGGTTACTTTCGTTATTTTCGTAAAGAGGAGACAAAATAATGGGCTAGGCCAAGACTGCCGGTCCTAACCCGAGGGTATATCTGTTTTTGGGGAGTTCTTGCGATGGAGTTATTTGTATCGAAGAAGGGGAAAATAGGGAGCGGTTTGGTCAGGGGAAAAGATAGGGAGGGACGCTAAGGTCGTGCCCTTCCTAGCCCACAGACATCGATAGAGAACCGGGACACTGTTAATAGGTTGTTCATTGCTGACTAGAGGAAGTTATGAGAAGAGTATCTCAAGATCTATGCCGAGTATTTCCTTCGTGACGGATTTTTCTCCCTTACCTAGATTTTCGTGTGTCTTTCATTTACCTGCGGAGGGTTGAAGTGGTACAGTAAGTGGGCTTGAGTCCTGCCACGGCGGAGCTGATGACCGGGTCATCGGATCGGCCCCGCCCCGGATACCGGCCATGGTACATAAGTAGTCCCGGAAACTCGGACTAGGAGGGGGCGTCGATCGTAGCAGCACGCGTGTAAAAAGATTGTTTGCATTTTTCCCTCCCTTTCAATTCCTGCTTCCATCGCCCCGTTTCCCCACCCGACAGAAGAGGGAAAAAACCACGGACTGTTTCCCCTTACCACATAGCTCTTCAAATCACTTCGCATGATTACCTCGCGTCGTTTCTTCCATAGCAACTTCTGACGGTTTAGAGCGGGCTCTTGTCCTAATATAGCCGTAGTGTTCACGCAGCTGGACGCGTCTGTGCCTTAAATCAAGCATAAATGGTGGCTTTTATTGACCCTGTGATTCGTGCTGCAAGGTACGATGTGCCTACCCGGCCTCAGGACCCAGCTATCAGGTACCTCGGGAGGGTCGCATCACTTCGACCACAGCGTGGATCTCTCCGAGGTTCTTTGGCCACCAAAAAGGTCAGAGGATAATACCCAATACCTCAGGCTCTGCACGAGTCGCTGCGAATCGCTAGCCACAAATTGCAGTAGGTTTATCGATATCCTGGGGCTGTCTTGAAATAATTATCCCCCTTACTTCTTCCGCAGCCAAGAGGCTAAAGAGAGAAGGACGAGAAGGCTTCAATGCAAGTTGACAAAAATATCCTAGATTTCTTGGGCTTCATGTTCGACGCCAGGACCCCAGGTTGCCCACCCTACTTCATAAAGTAGGACGCGATAAAGGAGCGACAGTCCTAATAGCGCCAAGGCTGTTCAATAGTGATCCAAAGAGGTGTCTTTTTTGTCGAGAAGCGATGGCCACGTCGAGAGATAAGATGCTCAATCCCAGAAGTTTAACGTTTTTCTTGCCGAGTTAGGTTTAGTGCAGCACCTGTAAATCCTGGTTAGCAAAGGGACGCTGAGCCAGGAAAGCCACAAGACATCAGGGAACCCAAAAGCAGGCTGAGCAACGACGATATGGAACTGAGCCGGTGCTGGTGCGAGGCTCGAACAGCTTCCCGGGCTAATATTGACCTCTCCTTTACGACCAATTCATTTCTTCAAGAATAGAAACAGGTGGCCTGATTGCTGGGCACGGGAACGAGAAGGGCCGGAGGGGGTTTTTTTGTTTTGTTTTTCCTCCCACATTTTTATTCAGAGCTTTCAATGTTCAATATTGTGTATGACACTCACAGGCTCGGACATGCCAATGGGTGAAAGAGTGGGGCGCGTCAAAACGGAAGATAGAGGTCTGACGAGGAACGAGAGCTTGGAACTAGGAGAGGTTGGTTATTGAAGAGGCTGTAGCTCAGCCGCGCTAGGAGAGACTGGGCTGAGTGAGGTCTTATAATATTGTAAACGGGAAAGTAGGTTCAAGCATTGGTCTGAGACAAATCTAAAAGCCATTGCAACAGTCTCAACTGTCTCTTGTCAAACCTGAGACCGGAGGCTGTTGTGCAATACACTAGATGCCAAAGAAAATACCTCGGTAGGGAAAGAAGGGATGAAGGAAAAGATTGAGGACAAAGGTCTTCCCCGATCCATCGCAATGGTAATCTTAATCACGCGTCGTATGGAGCCCGGATTTTTCTCATGGGAAGAATTGCGGGCGGATCATGGGTCCATGGGTTGTGCTGCTCGGGAAGGGAGATCATCAGAAAGGCAATATTAACAGGGGAAAGGAAGCTACGGCGCCTTCCACCCTGGTGCCGGGCTGACAGCACTATCGACAATAAGCCAAGAATAGAACGAATGGGGGTAATGGCCAGTGCCCCAAGCACCGTAGGAGCGGGTCATTAAATTGAGGGCACGAGTGTCCTCGAACAGCTTCAGCATCTTACCTATTGGCGGCGTGTGTCCTTGCAGGAAGCGACAGTGCGATCAAGAGCTCCCATCAAATGTACTTGTACTTGTATCAAAAGCTGTCCTCCTTTGGCTCGTGTTAACCCAAGGCAGCTTAGGCGGCCCGCTCGACACTGGTACTTGTACCTAAGAGAGATATTTTTGGCTCCGTATCTTTACACCGTGTCCGCCTACGCAAGGTACTTTGAAGAAGCCGAAGCTTGATGGAGCTCCCACAGAGCCATCCCCAACCCGGATCAGGAGGGGTTAGTAATAATATAATTCGCACAACGGTTTGAGAGGTTGTTTATATGCACACTGTGAGTTGTAGTACAAAAAGCGTGTTGTCTCACAGTGCTTCTGTCGAGACACGTCACGTCTTGATTCGTGTTCCTGCCAAAAATGGGTTGATCCAATGGATCCATCAGTCTGTTGTGTCTAGCATTCCCCTTCCCCTGTCTCCGCGACAGCTGGATCCATTTCTGGGGGAGACAAAGAGGTACTTTGCTCAACTCTCCCTGGACCTCGTAATAATACAGCCCGCACATGTGCAGTCTACCAATCCGAGTGCTCCTCAGTAGCTTGCGAGTAGTCCTCGCACCAATAATCCCACACGGTTTTTTTGACCTTTCCACTGCGCGTCTGCACCTTCCCACGCCTGGCCAGCCGCAGCTGCTCCACGGGTTTGACATCGCATCGCTGTCCTCTTTTTCTTCTAGAGTCGTTATCGAACCCCTTTATCCTTCCCTCCCCCATTCCTTTCCATCCCCATCCCCCTTCCCATCTAACGAATCCCCTCCACTTGACGATCAATCATCTGGGGAGATCTATTTTTTTCTCCCTTGGGGTGCCTACTATTAAGGACTAAACTCGCAGGACCTTGGCATCTTTACAAGGTCTTGCGTGAGTAGAGTTTATTCGCCCTCCTTTTAATACTCCTCTTTTTTTCTGCCCCTTTTGACCTTGCCTCCTCGCTGCAGGACGTTGCTACCTCTTTCCCTGTCACCTTTTATTCTTCTTCTACTTGGTTTACACCTTCAAGTCATCTTGCAAGGGGCCCTTTTATGTCTTTCACCCTGACAAGCTAATTCTTCTTTTCTCAACTCTCCTTAATTACCAATTAGTTTCCTCTGCCTCTTCGGTGAGGAATCTGTGTCTTCTAAGCTAGACCCTTGGACCGGCACGACGATTGACGATTAGAACCTCGAAACGCGAAAGAAACGGGGCTGGATCGAAACCGCCCGAACGCAAGACTCTCCAGTCAGCAGCCTCGGCCGACCACCATGGCTCGGTCACGGACGCCGAAGCCCGATGAGGGCGCGAAGGCCATTGTCCCCCGCCTGTCTCTGTCCCAGCGCAAGCCCCACAGTCAAAGTCAAAGAAAGGCGGCAAGGCCTCGCAGTCGTACGCCTCGGAGGGTGTCGAAGACTACGACGTCTTCCTCCTCCCGGTCTCGGACTATCAGATCGTTTTTGGCATCACCATACTCGCTGCTGTCGTAAGGATGTTCCGCATCTACCAGCCCACCAGCGTTGTCTTTGACGAAGTACAGTATGTCCTTTACCCATCTAATTTTTCTCCAAACCTGCTGGGGCCCGTTTTCTTGTTCCTCGGCTCTCTATATAACGTCATGACAACATGCATACTAACCGGCTGGTTTCCTTCTACTCTAGTTTCGGCGGCTTCGCGACCAAGTACATCAAGGGCAAGTTCTTTATGGACGTGCACCCACCTCTCGCCAAGATGTTGATTGCCCTCACGGGCTGGCTCGCTGGCTTCAAGGGTGATTTCGACTTCAAGGAGATTGGCAAGGATTACCTCGAGCCCGGTGTCCCTTACGTTGCTATGCGCATGTTCCCTGCTATCTGCGGCACACTTTTGGCACCTACCATGTTCCTGACCCTCAAGGCTACCGGCTGTCGGACCATGACTGCTGTTCTCGGCGCTCTCTTCATCATCTTTGGTACGTAACTAATAGCTCCTCCTAACCCTCGCCGCTCCCTAGCACTCAAGGTCTTGGTGGATGTTCCTCTTATCCTTGATACCGTGGCTAACTAAAAGGCACTGTAGAGAATGGTCTCCTCACCCAAGCCCGCCTCATTCTTCTCGACTCGCCCCTAGTTCTTGCGACTGGCTTTGCCGCCATGGCCTTTTCTTCCTTCTGCAACCAGCACGAACAGGGCCCTTCAAAGGCTTTCCAGCTCAGCTGGTGGTTCTGGCTCGCCATGTCTGGTCTCGGCCTCGGCATCACCGTCAGCATCAAGTGGACTGGTCTCTTCACCATCGCCTGGGTCGGTAGCTTGACCCTACTCCAGCTCTGGCTCCTTCTCGGCGATACCAAAACCGTCACTGTCCGCCTTTGGTTCAAGCACCTCTTCGCCCGTGCCCTCTGCCTTATCGTCATTCCGCTCGCGTTTTACATGGCCATGTTCGCCATCCACTTCCAGATCCTCCGAAACCCCGGCGATGGTGACGGTTTCATGAGTTCCGAGTTTCAATCGACGCTTAACTCTAAGGGCATGCACGATGTTGCCGCGGACGTTTACTTTGGTAGCCGCGTCACTCTACGTCACGTCAACACCCAGGGCGGTTACCTCCACTCCCACCCCTCATGTATCCCACGGGTAGCAAGCAGCAGCAAATCACCCTCTACCCGCACAAGGACAACAATAACAATTGGCTGTTGGAGAACCAGACGCAACCCCTTGACATGCACGGCGAGCCCATCAACGGCACCGGTGCCTGGGATAACCTCGAGGCCCCCTTTTTATCAAGAACGGTGCTGTCCTTCGTCTCTACCACACCAACACCCATCGTCGTCTTCATTCTCACGATGTCCGTCCTCCCGTCACCGAGGCCGACTGGCAGAATGAGGTTTCTGCCTATGGATATGAAGGCTTTGAGGGAGATGCCAACGACTACTTCCGTGTCGAGATCGTCAAGTCCAAGTCCACTGGTGCCCTGGCCAAGGAGCGCGTCCGCGCCGTCCAGACTAAGTTCAAGCTCGTTCACGTCATGACGGGTTGCGTCCTCTTCTCTCACAAGGTCAAGCTTCCTGAGTGGGCCTCTGAGCAGCAGGAGGTCACCTGTGCCCGCGGTGGCACTCTCCCCAACTCTCTCTGGTATGTTGAGCGCAACGAGCACCCCTACTCGGCGAGGATGCCGAGAAAGTCAACTACAACAGGCCCGGTTTCCTTGGCAAGTTCATCGAGCTCCACAAGGTCATGTGGAGGACTAATGCTGGCCTCACCGACTCCCACGCCTGGGACTCCCGCCCCGAGTCGTGGCCCATCCTCCGCCGTGGTATCAACTTCTGGGGCCGCAATCACCGCCAAGTCTACCTCATGGGCAACCCTGTCGTTTGGTATACTTCGACTCTCGCTATCGTTGTCTACGTCCTCTTCAAAGGTTTCGCCGTCCTCCGCTGGCAGCGCAGTTGCGGCGATTACGAGCACGTGCTCTTCAAGCGCTTTGATTACGAGATTGGCAGTTCCGTTCTCGGCTGGGCGTTCCACTATTTCCCCTTCTTCCTCATGAAGCGCCAGCTGTTCCTTCACCACTACTTCCCTGCCTTGTTCTTTGGTATCCTAGCCTTTTGCCAGACCTTCGATTTTGTCACCGCCCGCGCTATTGTCGGTGCCTCTCGCCCTGGAGCTAATAACGCCGCCTTCAACAAGGGGGCTGCCGTGTTCTTCCTTGTTCTTTCCGCTATCGCCTTCGGCTTGTTTTCGCCCCTCGCCTATGGCAACACGTGGACCAAGTCGGAGTGCAAGCGCGTCAAGCTCTTCACCACATGGGACTTTGACTGCAACACTTTCCTCGAGGATGTAAGTTCCTGCCATGAATCGAACCCTGTTTTATAACTTGTTTTCGGGTAATATGGGAAAATATGAAGCACGGAATGGCTAACTCGTCTCGATCATGTAGTATGATGGTTACAAGAACCTTCCCTCTACTAGCGCTAGCTCTGCTCAGCAGACTTCGGCTAAGGGTGGAAAGTCGAAGGGCAAGGGTAAGAAGAAGGCCGTCGCTCCTGTCGTTCCCGCTGAGGAGATTGCCGACGCTGCCGAGGCCGCCATCAGCGGTGCGCCTCCCGTAGTGGCCGGTCAGAAGGTCCTCGACCAAGAGGAGCACGTGGAGTATCGCGATCAGGACGGCAACCTCCTGGATATTGAGCAGGTAAAGGCGCTTGAGGGAAAGGTCGAGTTTAAGACCCGATATGAGACGCGTACGCGCCTCGTCGACGAAGCCGGCAACGAGGTCGTCATTGGCGAGAATGGCGAGCCGATCGTGGATGCCGTCGCCCCTCCTCACCCCGACGTGGATGGCGTGGACCCCAACACCAAAAGCTTGGCCGCCCCGATGACCCGATCCCTAAGGAAGATCGTGAGGACGTGCCTAGCAAGGATGGCGAGGCTGAGGCCAAGGCCAGCTCCGCCAAACCTGCCAGCGAGGGCGGTAATGAGGCTACAGGCCAAGAAAAGGCTGTAGCACAGGAGGACGAGCCTGTGGTTGACGAGGCGTCAGCGGCCGCTGAACCCGTCCCGGCGGAGCAGGACAAGGTCGCGGACAAGCCCGCTGCTTAATGTCGGGAGGAAAATAATACTTCACGTATGGATCTGGGACGGACTGCGTTTACTTTTCTAATGAAGAAAAGAAAAGCTAACAACAAAAATGATGGGGTGTCATGACCTTTTTTCTTTTATCTTTGTAACCTTCTGTGGGGGAGAGGCTCCAGAAGACTAGAGGGTGGTCGACACAAGGCTTCCCACTCATGCCCTTTCCCCATATAACTAACTGGGTTCGTTTCTCGTGTCGTTGAAAGAAACGCGCACTCTGGTCTCGGCCCGCCTGTCACTAATATTTCCTATATCTTTGTGTTTTTAGGGGTTTATGTCAGTTGCTTATACACCAAAAAGTGTTACACAATCTCTACTCGCTTCCTGTATTTCCTGCGTGTGTAGTGTTGATGTCAGCCGATCCCTTTTGTTGCTCTTGCCTTTTCGTCCCTCCATACATTACTTTTGGATCAGGAGAGAAGGCTTATGTTGATCAACTAATGATTCGCCAGTTGTGATATACACTTTCAAGTATCACTAGGATCGAGATAGAGAGGTGCACCGCTCCAGTTTTAAAGGGACTGGGCTAGTTACTAAGATGGATTTAGAAAAGTAGGAGAGGGAGAGCAATTAGGGATCAAGATATGAAAAGTCAAGGAAGGGGCCTAGACGTAGCAGAGCTCATTGTAGGTCGTTTGAGGTGAGGTCTATGTGTTCATCATTGGTGTAGGTGTGATGCCCTCGATTGTAACGGAGCCCGGGGTCTCTGCATGCTGGGCGGCTTAGACATCTTCTGATTGTTCACCCCCGCCCGCCTTGCCCCTTGCGCGGCGACGATATATGAGCCGAACGGTTCCGCGGGAGACATGAAAAGAGAGGGGAAACACTTGAGCACTTGGATGACGAAGATGGTAATCTCAAAACTTGAATCGCGGCCTCTTTTGGCTCCCGGTGGAAAGTGGGTCCTCTTGCCGGCGGAGTGCGTACGCCTCACGCACGTCCTTGCCCGGCCTGCCCCGTCCACTATTGAGTAATACGTAGCTTCAGTGACGGCGAATTCTCCACCAAACCGCACTCTCTCGCCGTTATTAAACTCGGTTGAGGCCCAAAGGAAAAGCGTGGCGGAAGGAAGGAGATCGTTGGAACGCCGTCCCCCATACATGGTTGCCGGTAGGGCCCGGGAAGCAGACAAGTAAGGAGAGAGTATAAAATCGCGGAATGAGAAAAACGGTCAGTCTTTGTGTTCCTTCTAAGTAAACTATATGCCGAACTCTTTTCCCTGAGAAACGCACAGCAAGAACAAAGCAAAGAGTTAGGTATGACGCCGTTGATAGAGGTTTTCCAGGCCGAAAAATAAAAATAAGACACAAGGAAAACCCAGTAGGAATATAGTTCCTGAACCGGAACAAGAACGAATGTCAACTAGGAAGCAAGGACCCAAAAACACCCCGAAACCCCTCAAAGACAGAATGAGCAAGACTCTTTCCCAATGAACCGTGATGATGTTGAAAATGTAGTACCCCTCTCATTTCCCTGAAAAAGCATTATTCCTTAGCCGCCCCAAACGCCCTCATTTGATGTGCTGTACAACGAGTGTATAAGGTCCCCAGTGTTTCCCCAACCAATAGAGTAGAAAAAAAGGGCAAAGAGAGACGCAGAGAGAGAGAAGGGAAGAAGAATAAGGGGCAAGACACCGGGGCTCAATACCCTTCTTCCCTGCTCTAAATCAAAAATTAAGCCTCGAGACTTTATCTGAAGCGAAGATGAACACTTGAATATTATGGGCAAGAAGAGATAAAAAAGTTGAAGGAAGAAAAAGGTGCAAGATATGGTATATAGGACGAAACCGGGGAGAGAAAACAAGGGAAAAAAAGGTTTAGCTCTTTATGGCGGCGAGTACCTCAGAGACATTTGTGGTGCCCGGACTCGTCACGCTGATGGCCAGGCCTTTAGCGGGTTGAGTAGAGTTTCTCGGGCTCGGGCTCGGAGTGACTACCTCGCCGGTGACCTCGTCGTCCTCTCCATCTCTACCAGCGACGGCCGTCTCCGCTCGTTTTGGTTGTTGGCTTTCTGCGTGGTCCTCCGCCCCATCATTAGTGGGGTCCTGCGGAGGCGTCTTGTCGCCATCAACGACAACAACGTTGGTCGCTGACGCCGAAGCTGAGACTGGAAGGGAGGAAGATGGCGCAATGAGTTGGTTGGCGGGGACGACGCCTCCGCCGACGCGGGCCCAGAACATTTGTTCGCGCAGGCGCACAGCCTCTTCCCAGGCTGCCTTTTCCGCGTCTGCGTCGTCGGTCCTCCAAAGGCCGTCTTTGAGAATCCTCAGGAATCCAAGGAAGTCGCAGGTGGAGCGCACACGGCCTAGGCAGTACGCGCATAGTGGGTACCGCTGAGCAGAGTCGGATTCGCTCGTGCGAAAGCGGTGGGTCCTGAGGTGTTCGGTATCCTTGCGCGACTCGCCGCACAGGGAGCAGGCGACATGCTGGGGAGACGGCGCCGATGGCACGAGCGGGGAGGCAGGGGCAGGTTCAACGACGAGGGTACCCTCGGTCATAGCGGTGATGACGCTGCGGCGGGCAAGCCACGAGAGGCCCGGGGCGGTGTCGAGGCGTAGGGTGGGTTCGATATCCTCGACAAGAGCGCGTTTGTAAAATTTGGCGTCCTTGAGCGAGCCGACCGAGACGGGGGTGGCAGTCGGGGTTGGGGCTTGGGAGCCCTTGGGAGAGATGGCTGTTGACGACGGCGAATGGGCGAGCGGACCGCCTCCGGTGAGGGAGGAGGCCGAAGGTGAAGATGAATGGGTGCCGCTCCTGGTGGGGGAGGGAATAGAGCCGCCCGAGGCAATGTGCCCTAGGCCAAGGTTCATGACGTTGATGCCACTCAGAGACGAGGCGGAAGCGCGACTGGCGGAGCGATTATGCTTGCTTGCATGGCTGAGGAGCTTGAAGTCTTCAAAGGCAGCCAAGTCTGTACGTAGTACTGGTTGAATAAGGTGAACAAAGCTGGTGGGGTAGGCTGGAGATACGGGCTCGACAAAGGGCGATGAGGCAAAGAGACCGTCGCGCAGGCGGCCTTCCTGATCCTTGGAGTCAAACCTGCTGAAGCCGGGGGAGGAGGGGGCCGTTAGGTTGGTCTGGTCATCGTGGTCGGCTGTCATCTGCTCCATGACGAGTTTGAGTTCTGCGAGTTGCTCTTGTTGGGAGCGGAGTAGGCTCTCCGTGTCAGCAATCTGGGCACGAAGCTGTTCATTTTTCTTCTCCATGGTTTCCTGCTGCTTTTGAGCGTCCTCCTTGGCGGCGACAACCATTTTATTGGCCTCCTCAAACAAGGCGGTAGTTAAGTTCTCGAGCTCGCGCTCAATCTTACGTTTCTCCTCCTCAACCTCCTCCTTGGCCTTCCTCTCCTCGACAACCTTGGCGGCCCACGCCTTCTTTCCGTCTCAACGGTCTTGCGGCGGATCCAGACATCCCCGGCGAGCATCTCGCGCTGGGATTCTGTTAGCTCCTCAAGTTGACGGATGCGGTCACGGGCGACTTCCAGATCACGGCGGGCCTCGCCGAGATTATTGTCTAGAATGGTTTGGTGGTTGATGGCGCGAATGAGCTTGTTACTGAGTGTGGTGACTTCATCGTGGGACTCATTCTCGCCATCGCTCACGACGGATCCGTCACAGTTCGCAAGCGGGCTCATTGCGCGTATGCGTGGGTCAGGCAGGGTGCTCAGGTCGGAATCCTCATCGGGCGAGGGTATGGGGGAGGCGGGAGAGACCGAGGTTGGAGAGGACCTTAAGGGGAAGGTAAAGTCGGGTAGCTGAGAGGTCGAAGGCGAACGGCCGTGGCCTAACGGAGAGGGGCGGGTGGGACTCGAGGATTTGGTCGTGGTGATGGAGGAGAGGGAGCGGAAGTGGCCGAATGAAGAGCGACTCGCAGGCTTTGGCGCTGAGGTCTTTTCTGAAGTGGACGCTTCAGACGTAAAGGATGTCCAGGGGGATACGCGCATAAAGCTAGAGCGAGAAGTAACAAAAGTTTAAGTCAGTGACATTCAAGCCTGATTTTGCTTTTAGGAAAGCCAGTTGTTGGGTGCTCAACCTGCAAGAGGCGAGTCTAGCTTTCCTCTTCCCTGCTCAGTCCTTTTCGGCCTCCTCCTTTTTCTCGCTTTTTGGCGCCCCTGATACACGTCATAAGAAGGGGGTGGGCTCCCGGACGGGTTTTCCATTTTGACTCACGCTTCCATCTTTTTAGTCTTAGGCCTCGAGGGGCCTGGGAAAAAGTTTGTGGGTGAAATGGGTGAACGACACCCGACAGCGACAGCGACGGTGACGACAGCCACAGCGGCCGCGGCGGGTTAGTCGGAGCTAGAAGGTGCTCCTATTTACCGCCCACCTTTTGTCCCTCTTGGGGCTCGAATGTCTCTCTCTTCCGGTCGAGTCTCGTGAAGAACTTTGTGCAAAAAGCCGAATAAGAGCTTTCGGTGCTCAGAGGGGGCAGTGGATCCTGTCTCGGAGAAGGTTTCGATAGTTGAAGGGGAGCGAGTCAAGCCAGAACGTCAGTGGCGGCGGGTTCGGAAAAGAGGCAATAAAACAGCCCCGGCAAATTGATGCTGTGTAAAAGGGTATCCAAAGCCGCTATTCCTTCGAATATTGTAATATTATGGATTATTAAGGGAAATCTCTCAGTGAGATTTTCGGGATTCCTCGTGGCTTCTAAGAAAGGAGAGGCGAAGAATGAAAGGGAGAGAGGTTGTGGAGTGTTGTTGAGGATACAGACAGAGGGGTGAGGAGCGAAGGCAGGTGATGATGAGGACTTTGGGGGAAGGTGAACTTCAAGGCAAGCGCGGGCCGGTGGGTTTGGTTCAGTTGGGCCTTCAATGTTCCTTCCTTCTCTGGCACACCCGCGGACGGAGGTCTCTTGTCGGTTGAGAATGAAGAGGGACCTCATCCTTGGCCTCACAACTCATGGGTATCGAGTACCTACTCTTACATAAGAAAGATGGCTGGGAAGTATAGTACATGGTACGTGGCACAGCCGGACTGGGGACAGGGCTAGCGCCGTCCTAGGGTGGTATCGATGCAAAGAGAGTCAGAGGACGCAAAATCCTGGATTTATCACGGGCGGTTACGTCAATCACGGGATCAACCCACTCTTCCAGATTTCGCACATGGGCCTAGCGTCACAGGCACTATGAGCTTGCCATCGTCTGCAAGCAAGCACTCAAGACCAACGCTTGGAAGGAAGGGAAAAAGAAAAAAAAAAAAAAAACAAAAAGGCCATTCCCTCCAAACCTCGTAGGGACCCCGGGCGAAAACCAGAAGCACAAGCCAGAAAGAACACTGACAATGCACCGTGTGCGCACGCACTGATTGACCTAGGATTGAATCTATTGATCTATAATAATTGATCCATTCCATTGATCCATCCCATCGACTTAACTTGAGCTCCAAACAGACATTTGAAATTGGCAGACGTCGCGCAACCACGGAGGTCGCGGATCGACTGAATTATCTTCTTCTCTATTTTCCGGGATTGAGGACCGGACTGTCGCTATATTGAATATATGTTGACTAGCCTCGCGAACGGCAGGACACCAGGGGAAGAAGACGAAATTGAATAAACAATTCTTTGAGGACTCGCTGGCGTCAATAACAAAGGATTTCATTTGAATCTGAGCCGGAGAGAAACAAAACAGTATGTTACTTGTATATTGGATGCTACCTGAGCTTGGTTGACACTGACCCGGCCCGACCCAGCTATGGCCAGCTTCAGCTCCCGCCAGCAAGACAAATTGATCCAACATTGATGATCAGTCCAGCCTGCTACCAAAGCGCAGGCAAGCTCCTCGGCATCTGCCCTTCTCCCTCCCGCTCACTCTTGCCCCTCTCTACATGTACTTGTCTAGACCTACCTCCATTGATCTCTTCAGTCCCTCCGGAATACAAAGAAGGCCAACCCCCTTCTTCATCGGTTCGATCAATTGATATCAATGATCGTTCAAGCAATCGATAGCGCGCAGCTCCCCACATTCAATTGAATGGGTATTCGCATTTACGCCCACACCCACCAGACACATCCCCACCCATTCCCATGCGCCACGCCACGCCTGCACACCTGCACGTCCATCGATCGATCCACCCTTCCAGTGGTCAATTTGAAATTGATTGATGAATGGGAAAACCGGGGATGACGGGCGGGCTAATCAACTTCCTAGCGAGGGCATATGGATGGTGATGGCCACGTTGCTAATTGAATGAGTTAGCGCACATTAATGCAGGCAGCGGGAGTCCAGTTACTTCTAGGGAGATCAAGCAATCAATCAATCCATCGATTGGCGAGAAGCATTGTTGGCCTCCCGCAGCTTTTAGCATATCTGTGGAGATATATCGATTATCATCTGTGATATTCATTGTTTATCGGTGTTATCGCCCTTCCTTTCTATTTTCCGTCAAACACAACATTGAACACCAATCAACACTACCCTGGTACATACCCGTTCATTCACAGCCTCATCTATGGATCTATTGATCGCTGTTCGTCCGTTGACTGTTGAGTGACTGACACTTTGCCCGTCCATGGTTCCTACACAAAATGGATGAGAAGAAAACTTGCGCACGGCCAAACTCCGCCATTCCAAATCTTGCTCCCCTCTGGTGCGTTCAAGGCGGCGCCCTTCCACATCATGCGGGGACTGGGTTTCTTTCCGGACTGCCCTCTCCATCTCTAACCCCGCATCGAAAGAGAATAGATAATGAGATAAAAGAGGAACCCGAAATTGGGTGGTTTCTTGTCTCTTCCTTGCGCTTTCCCCGCCTTCCTCCATTCATCTTGAGTGTACATAGAATACGAAAACCTGAGTCCTTCGTAACAAGGAACACGAGCCCTTGGCACCGAACCCACCCTCCCACGTATCCTAGCCCTCAATCTTTGGCTCTCTGTCTCCTCCATGCTTCCACAGTCTCTAACTTCAATTCCCTCTGTTTCCGAATTCTTTTTCTTTCTAATGCCATGCAAACTTATCGACTCTCCCTTTACCGAGGTAGTGCAAGGAATGTCATCGCCAAGTGAGGGGGCAATTAGTGTAGACGCAGGTCCGCTCCCTCGTGTTATCCGCAGCCATTGATCACCCCGACGTACCTGCTTCCACGAGAGACCACCCCTGCTGCTCGGCGTTGACGCGACCCCTGTCAAAATAGCGCCACCACCACACCAACCTTTCTCCAAGCGCCGCTGGACGGGCCCCGAGCTCAGCCATCGATTGGGGTCTGTCTGTCAGGCGTTCAGGGATCTCCAGGAGGAGAGAAGAGGGGATAGAGGCTTTTGGCTGATCCTGCTAACTTGATTTGGGCAGGCGGGCATCCCAATTCCGCACGCTCTCGGGGCTGCTTCCCTTCAGCCTCCTCTCATGTGTCCTGTCCCTCTCGCATTCTTCACGGCTCCCGTCATGCCGATGAACCCGGTGGATCCGACTGACTTGCCCGGCTCCTCGCCCAAAGCTTGCCGCGCTTCGATCAATACCAAAGGGATTTTCCTTGCGGGTTCGGTTCCAAGATTGCGATTAGCAACCTTTCCCTTCCTCTGCTTCCTTTTTCCGCCTTCAACTGCGCGCTTCTCGCTGTCGGGCAACCTCCAATTCCTTGGGGAATGGGCGACACGTTCCGCGCGTTCGAAAATCGTTGGTCGTTGGGCCACTTTTCGGCTGCAATATCTTGTCTCCCTGCTGATCATTGATCACCTCGAGAATACGAAATCGGCCCTGCATGGACCCGTGCAGACGAACGGATCCCCTAGACCCTCACCCTCTTCAGCGCTGGCCCTTGTCAGACAACTTCGAACCAGAGCCCGTAAAGCTCAACACGAGCACCGTAAATACTTCGTATCTGTGATTGCCTTGTTGGCCACAGTGCTTCATTTCAATGGGCTCTCTCGTAGGTACATGCAAAGAGACCCTGTGACGCCCCAAGGAGTATCCCCGCAAAAAGTAAGGAATCCGAGACATCTAAAGAAAAAAAGTGTGCTTAATTAGTCCTATTTTTATTATTATCTTATTTTTTTCCTTCCCCTCATAGCCTGTACTTCGTCGATCATGAAGAGACTCTGACGTAGCTCTCCTATGACCCTCTCCGCATGTCATCCACCCCCTCAATTTATCCGCAAGCTTGAAGAGACTCCATATTCTTCCAAAAAAAAGAAAAACCAAAGTTGAAAAAGAAAGCAAACACCCGGGATCGCGTTTTGCATGAAAATTACCCTCAAATTGATGGTTGAAATTTCATCATGCCCTGCCTCTAAACCCCGTGGCCTCATGGCTGACTTTGGCTTGGCGCTGAGCTCAACCTGACGCTTCGCTGATTATCCAGCCGTGGACTGCACAACCACTAGCTCACTGAAAGGAGCAGTAATTCAGACTTGGAAAACAAACGCAGATGAATCGTTGAATGTAAATTTGTACTTTGGCTCATAATGCGAGGGCGAGCCTTGCGTTTATAGTAGGCCACTAATCTGCGAGGTAAACAAAGTGGTGATGTAAAACGAAAGGGAATGGTGACAAGACTGGCTGGTGATTATGGAGAAAGAGGGGGAAATGATAGGAAAGAAAGGAACAAGACGGGTGGAAAGAAAGAAGATGAGGATATCTTTTTTTTCAATACAAAACAAAGCAAAATAAATGATAGAGATGATGAATGGGAAAGAAACTCCTTCAAGATTACCGCCTTTATCTCTTCCTGCTTCCGTTTCTTACGAAGCGTATAGTCGCGTAGCCCCCTAGCTACCGGCCACTCAGTAATACTCGTACGAGTAAGGGTTCCACTCTTGCCCAGGATAGCTCGTTGCGCTCATCTGTGGCGCATCCTCAGTAACCTCGTTTCCGGGCAGGCCCTCCTGCCCTTCCACCAAAATCTTCTCCTGCTGCGCTTCTGCAAGGAGCTTCTGTCGCTTCTCCTCCTGGGCTACCTTCCACTCACGCAGGGCTGGGTCGTCGTTATCTTCCTCCTCTTCTTCTGATGAATCCAACGTCGCTTGGGTAGCTGGCTCTGCTTGTACGGTGGCTTGCGTTGCCTGTGTAGTCGTCTCGACTGTGTCCGCCGACCTCGTAGTCTGCACGCTATCTTGCGTGTTGTCCCTCCCGAGCACGGCAACACCCGCCGCGCCTGCGGCAAGGGCTGTGCCCGCCACAGTGACGGCCGCGGGCCCAGTATGCGCCAACACCCAGGGTCCCGGAGCACTCACATCTTCTGTTCCGCGCTGAGTGTCTGTGACGGGTAGCTTCCGCGGCGTAGCATTGTATAGATCATCCTGCGATATCCTCTTCGAAGCCGCCGCCCCTGTATCTACTGTGAGTTTCGCCCTGTCTGGGTCGGCCTTGGCGCTGCCCACGTCCGAAATGGTGCTGTGCTGGCCCACCGTCGCCTGCGAGATGTTCCTGCTATGTCCAAAGTTTGCCGCTGTGGCGATCCTCGGTTCGTCGGTCGGTCGCGGCGATTGTGATCCGGGGCTCTCCGTTGAGATTTGGCTCACATCGCTCATCGGGCGCTGGTCCGCCACGAGGTGACCAGGTACGGGAAGAGGCTTGTGGGCGCTGGGTGGCGGTGGCGGTGGCGTGGGGGTTGTGGCTACCCCGGGGACATCCGCGGAGGGGAGCACCGCGGGCAGAGGAATCTGCGGGGCGCCCGGCTGCGAGAGGGCTACTCCTCCGCCGCTAACCATCGGTGGATGTTGCATGACTCTGGGGTTGGCTTCACTCTGCTGGCTGGCGGACCTCATGTGGAGGCTAGCATGATGTTGTGAAAGGGCTGGCGATTGGCTGGCCTGGACGGTGGAGTGAATGGACGACCTTATCGAGGGCGCTGGGGGTGAACCGGTGCTTTGCCTATAAAGCTGCTGATACTGGCCCTGGGGAGGCGCTGGCCTGGCAGTTTCTTGTGCGGGCGTCGAATGTCCCGACGCGGGCGTCTGAGGCTGGCTGAACTGCTGTTGTTGGCCAGGGACGGGCACCATGACACCGCTAGACATAACGAGCTGCTGCTGCTGCTGCTGGCCAGGAATCACAAATTGCTGCGCTCCGAGAGGCATGCCGTATTGCATTCCAGGCACCGGTCCGTACATACCACCTTGCTGAGGCACAAAGCCCGGCCCAGCCCTCTGGCCGGGCGCTACCAGGACCACACCTGATCCGCCAGTAGGCTGTTGAGTGAGCTGGCCAGGTAGGCCTGCCTGGACTACGCCTGAGCCGCCAGTAGGCTGTTGGGTGAGCTGGTTGGGAGCGGGATGCGCGAAGACGGTCTGACTCGGGATACGCTGCTCGGGCATGCCTTGACCGGGGCGGTACGCGTATTGTCCTGGCTGGCCGGGATGCGCGTAGCCTTGTGGGTAACCCTGGGGCGTCGCCTGCCTAGGCTCAGGCTGTTTAGAGCTGCGCTTGAAAGCGTTAAGGAACGACTTCATCGATGACTTTTCGGGCTTGCCGCCCTGCGCAAGAGCTGGAGAGGGTGCTTGGACTACACTTCCCGGGCGCGACTGAGACTGTGGCTGCAACTGCTGCTGCTGCTGCAACTGCTGCTGCAACTGCTGTGGCGGCTGTTGCTGTCCGCTTTGGCCCGCCTTGGTCCACCACTTCGATGCTCCCTCTGCCGGCATCGACTGCTGGTGAGCTAGCTGAGGAGGTTGGCTAGGCCGAAACTGTGGAGGTACACCGGCAGCCTGAGGCGGAGCCGAAGCCGTTGAGGTCTGTGTAAGCGTGCGGTTCATCGCCCAAGGAGCAGGCGGCTGTTGTGACTGCGGGAGGCCTGCGCCCGGCGTGGCTTGGCCGGCAATTTGGGGGCTAGGCCTATACTGCCCGAGAATAGGTTGGCCAGGCATCGGCTGACCAGGCATCGGCTGACCAGGGACGAATTGACCTGGGAAGGGCCCTTGTCCTGGTCCAGGCCTCCACTGTCCGGCCACGGGCCTGGGAGGGTAGAATTGCTGCCCGGGTGCGACTTGCTGCTGGCCCGGCAGCATAGGCTGTTGGCCTTGAGGCAGCTGTTGCTGCATCGGCATCGGCATCGGCATCGGCATCGGTTGGCCCTGTTGAGGGATGGGGGAAACTGGCCGCTGGGCCCAGGCTGGCCTGGCTGGTTTTTAGGCACCGGCGGGTTCTGGAGCGCCCCGGCAACTGGTCGAATTGTTGGCATTTGGGAACCATGCACCGTTGCCGCGGCGGGCGGCTGCCCTGCAAATGCCCCTTGGTTTACAAGTGGAGAAACCTGCGAGACAGGCGTGGGAGCCTGCGATGCCGTTGCCGCGGGCGTAACTTCGGCAGCGAGAGAATGGCTCGCCGGGACATCGGGCTTTTGGATACCCAATGTATTCTCGGGTCCGGGTCGCGGTGACTCCATCGCCGACTCCGATAGGGGGCTCTGGGCCGTCTTAGTAGGTACTGAGGTGACAGACCCGCCACGGGATGGGGATTGATCAAGCGCGTGGGAGCTACGCGCGGATTCGGTAGCTGGGTCACCGAGGATTGGTGATGCGGTGTGTTGCTGTGTGGGCGTAGGTCCCGGGGATGCCGCGGACGAGAGCGACGCGCGGGCAGCTAGTAAAGCCGCCGTAGGCAGGGGCTGCTCCTCCCTGGCATGTTGCGGAATGGGTGCAATGATGGCCAGGGGCTGTGGGGTTGTTGTTGCGGCAGCGACTGATGCTGTGGCAGCGGCTGGGGTGCAGGGCTTGTCCCGTAGGGGTCCTCCCATTTCGCGGCCGGGATCTCTGGGCTAGCGGCGGAGACACCACCTGTCGCGGCTGGGCTTGTAGCTGGCGAAGGGGCGGAGACGTCACCAGTAGAGATGGGGGACTTGACCGAAGGACTTCCGGTAGTGGTAGGAGGATCTACAAGTTCAGCCTTGACTTGAAGCTGAGGCTGAGGCTCAGGCTGAGGTTGGGTCTGCGGTTGCTGTGTCTGCTGCGTAGCCCCCACCTGTTCATGCCCTTGCTGCTGCACAGCAATGGGTCTCCAAAGTTGCGCTGGATCGGGCGAGCCACCAGCCGCGGTTGCCTGCGGTCCCTGTGGGCCTTCGAGGTTTCGGGCACTAGCGGGACTCGCCCGTAAGTCAGTTGTTGGGTGAAGAGGCGGCGCGGCTGTGGGCAATTGCTTGTGAATAGGGGACCCTTGGTTGGTGATGCTCTGAGGCGCGGGGGTGACGGGGGATGCCGGTTGCTGTGGCTGGGCTTGCTGGGCAACTGGCGCGGGACTAGGTTGGCTTATCGGAAGCCCGCCGCCGACCTGGGGTTGGGCTGGACGACCTTGAAGTCCTTGAGGTCCCTGAAGTCCCTGCGGTCCTCGAGGACCGAGAACACCTTCTGTAGTCTGGGGTGCAGGCATCATCATCATGCGCTGTCCTAGAGGGGGTTGACCAACGGGGGTGTTGCTGCGGCTGACCGGGAAGAGGCTGGCCAGAAGCAAACTGGCCTAGGGGATCAGATTGGCCAGGTCGGGCGGGGAAGAATCCGGGGGAACGCCAGCCGGCATGCCCGCTGGTGGAAGGCCCTGCGGGTATATGGCGCCAGGGAAGGGCTGCTGGCTCGGCTGCCCCGGCCCGCGGTATCCAAGAGGCTGTTGCTGCCCGGGTTGCTGCTGACCAAAGACTACAGGGGTGGGTTGCCTGGTCTCCTTGGACTTGGAAGATGAACGCCCGTGGAAAATGTTGGTCAAGAACGCGCCTGGGCCTGAGACCCTGCGGCCACGTTCCTCAGGCGCTGGGGGTGCCTGAGCCGCAGCGAAATGGTGCCCGAGGGGCTAGGTCCCGGTAGCGATCCCGTCGTGCCGCTCCTACCCCGCGACGGTGGCGGCACCCCAACGCCTCCAGTGCTGTTGTTCAGAGGTGCAGCAGTGGCCATGTTCGGGGGCAGTTGGTTGGATGTGTTACGTGAGTGAGGCGGGGCCGAGGAGGCTACGGAGCTAGAAGCGCCCGGCTCTGGGTGTTGTGCCACTTGGTGAGGCAAGAGTTGCTGTTGCTGCTGCTGTTGTTGTTGGGGAGATGGCTGCCCCTGTTGCTGCTGTTGTTGTTGAGGAGATTGTTGCTGCTGCTGCTGCTGCTGCTGAGGAGATTGCTGCTGTGGTTGCTGTTGCTGTTGTTGCGGTTGTTGGAATTGCGCCTGCTGGAGCTGCGGTTGCTGGGGTTGGGGCTGTTGTTGCGACTGAGGTCCCTGTCGGAAAGGTACAAACTGCGGGTGCGGACCCTGGGCCTGGGGCGGGGGCTGTTGGAACTGCTGTTGGACCTGTTGCTGCGCAGCGGCTTCCCCTCCTGCAATCCTGTGGACCTCCTGAACAAGCCCCCTAGTGTAGACAGCCGAGGTTGCTTCATCTCCCTCGCCCTAGTTCCCCCAACGTCCTCCGCTCCCGCCGTCGAAGACCGTGCAAACGAGGGAATAAATTTACCAGGGCCTCCTGCTGAGCCAGGCTTCGCAGGCGATGATTCAACGGCGACGCCATCGCCAAGCTGTGATGCCGCGCCGCCGCCACCGCTCCCCCTGGACGATCCGAAAAAGAGCCTCCTCTTCCCCACGGGCTGCGCCGCCGCCGCGTCGAACGAGGTAACGGTTGCGGGGCTCCGTTGGTCTAGAGTGCCTGGCGAGTGCGCTAGCATACTGTCCCTACTACGCGGAGGCGCACTGTTTCCATCTCCCGCATGAGCTGAGGAGGACCCCGGTTTAAGGTTGAGGAAGAAGCTCGAGCGGCGGCGCTCACGCGTTACGGGTGCCGGCTGGCCGCCGGTCGCAAAACTCGCCTCGGAGACCGCATCGTCGTCGGCTCCCACCGGAGGCTTTGGTCCCAGCTGAGATGAGGGCCGTGAGGAAGTAGATTTAATGATGCGCTCCCCCAATTGGCTGAAAATGCCCGAGTTGCGCCTCGACCCTCCATCGGCCGAAGGGGGTCGATGGGCGGTCGTAGGGCCGCTACCTGGCCCATACATGATAGGCTGGCTCTGCGGAGGGACCTGGCCGGGGTGTTGGATGTGCATGTGTGGCTGAGGTTGTCCCGGGCGTTGCTGCTGGGGTGGAAGGAATAGATTGGGGTATCGGTGCGCCGCCACGGGCGGTGTGGAGGTCTGTCTATCGGGGCGCTCCTGGCAACGGCAGAAATCTGAGGCTGAGGCAGGTCAAATGCGGTCGCAGGCGAGGGAACGGCTGGGGCCTGTGGGTTGGGTACCGGATCGTCCGGATGGGACGCTGGGTTCCTTAGGGCGTGATCCGAAGCGGGAGAAGGGGCAACCGCGGCGCCACCTACAGTGGCTGCGGTGGCAGCCGCGATAGCAGCTGCCAGGACAGGCTTAGCGACAGGCGCGGCAGGCACAGACCCGGAGAGAGGAGCCGGGGGTTCTGAAGCTTGAATAACAACGGCCCCTCCACCTCGTCATCCGAGTCAATTAGCGCCTTGGCCTTTTCTTCATCGCGGTCATTCTCAACTGTCGCTAACGTGACACCGCCTCTCTGCTTCTCCTCATCCACTCCGTCATCGCTTGACTCGTCGGCGGCAACTTCCTCATCAACGCCCGTCTCCTTCTCGTACCCAACAAAGCTTGGCCGTTGCGATGCGGAACTTGAAGGGCGCCTCCTCGAAGGCGAGATGAGCGGTTCCGATAAATACGACTCTTGTAAATTCCACTGACCACCACCCGGAGGCAGTCTTTGGACAGGATTGGCTGTGATGGTGGTTGGCAGGTTACGCGAGATAGAAGGGCCAGGCGTGCCGATGGGATGGTGCTCCGCCCCTCCTGCGGCTGTTGATAGAAGGTGCGTGCGGTCTCCGCGGGCGGTGTGACCGTTGGGACCTGAGGTTGAAGGCCGCTGTGGGCCGGGGCGGGGGCCTCGGGGGATGGTGGAGCCAACTCTTTGCCTTTACCAAGAATGTCCTCGTCAGAACGGCTAAAGTCATTACCAATCGTCTGGCCATCGAGCGCCTGAGCAAGAACCTCCTCGGGGACACTAGGGATGGGCGGCGTGTTCGTGACAGGCGTGATGGGGACCGAATCCGAGTTGTTGGCAGCAACTCGGTCCACGCCGAAGGTCGAGGACCGCCGAATCGGAGGCAGCCCGACAAAGGAAGTTTGGCGTTGGGGAGACTGGTTTAGCAGCGCAGCATCACCCGCGCCACCCACATCACTGACTCCGTTCTGCTCGGCAGGCTGACCAGGCGACACGACAACCCAATCCTCGGATGGAGCCCCGCTGAGGCGGCTCCCGGCCCTAGTGGGAGTGTCCGGATTGGGACCCTCCGCCCCTACTTGTTCGGGGCTATTCCGTTGCGCCAAGGGGCTCTTACCCACAGGGGCCCACCTAGACTTGAGCGTGGGTGGAGTCTGCGGCCTCGTGTCGCCGGTGTTAGCGGCGGCGTTTGTAGCGCCCGGCCCGCGGACCTGCGGGGCAAAAACGTCGTCGCCGTCTCGAGAAGGCGGTTTGGAATTGAAATCGGAAACGGGCGACACCATCTCAGAGGAGCTGGTGAGGACGGACGGCGGGGGCAGGATCGGCTGGAGGTGGGATTGTCGTGAGTCCGGGTCGGTGGCGGCGGGTTGCGATGGTGGTTGGCCGGGACCCTCCGGATGTGGACTAGCCTTGGCGCCAAACTTGACGCCCCACGACATGCGCCTATCGGACTGAGTCTTGGCTGGATAAGGTTGGGAGATCGGGCGTGGGGACGGTGGCTCGGACTGCTACAGGAAAGAAAAAAATCATTAATCAACCATCTATCATCTCTTTTTGTTTCAATGTGTGGGTTTTGTTTCTTCCTTCCACCCAAGGCCAAAAGAATAGTGGGGTAAATCTTGTTTTCCCTTTGCTTTTCTTCGCTCCCTTTCGCCCTTCTTCCAGCCCTGTTTCCCTTGTTTCAAGGGGAGGGGGGCGAGGGACGACATCGATCGACCAGGAGAAAGGGAAAAAAGAATCTGTGTCATGTGCATCGAAGGGAGAGGTAGAAGTGGGGAGGGGAAAACAAAGGGCTTCGGGACTCCGAGGGGGAAAATAGGGGACAAGGGAATACAAAATCGTCAGACATAAAACCGTCCCAATAAGTAACAAAATAGCCTTAATTCATAGCGCCATCTCCATCATTAGGGCCAGCACATATACATTATTGTCTTCCTGATTTCTGTCCCCCAAGTTCCATGTCCCCATTCCAAATAGATGTTCAAGAAAATTGCAGCCAACCCCTTTGCATGTATGTGAATGGCTGGTTTCTCAAAAGATGATTTGGGAAAGAAAGAAAAAACAAGTGTAAAGGGGAGAGAAGCGGTGTAGCAAGAGTTGCAGCAAGAAGGGATAGACAAGAGGGTGGAGGTAGGATAAGGACACATAGCAGTTGCTATGTCTCGAGACGGGACACCGTTAGGTGGTGATAAAATGGTGGGAAAGCATCTTAGAGCTCCGAGAAACCAAATGAAATCAAAGAAAAATCCTCACATTATCAATTGGAAGGAGCAAAGAGGACAAGGGAGAACGAAGCATAGAAAAAGAAGGGGAAGAAGGAGGAGGGAAATCCGAATTTCGAGGAAACATGAAGAAGGGGAAGGAAGAAATGAAGGAACGAAGGAACGAAAGAAAAAAAGAAGAAGAAAGCATTAAAGAAATACCTTATCGCCAGTTGATCCACGTAGTTTATTCTTGCCCTTGCTTAAAGTCCCTTCCCAGCCTTACCAGCCGCCATGAGAAGCTCCTTGCTCTTCGTGCCCACCTGCTGGCTCGAGTGCCTAAAGTCGCTGCTATGGTTGTGAGTGGCGGTGCCCGGCATGGTATTCCGGACGGGTGTGCCAAGTTGCGTCGAGCTGGCGTTGAGGTATTGCTGGAAGTAGGGCTGTTGCGCATGCTGATTCACGCCAGCCGTCGTGGGCGAACCCACCAAGCCAGCACCGCCCGCTTCCGCAGGACCCGGTATCATCTGGATCCCAGGAGCTTGGAATGCGGACGACACGGTGCTGTGCTCCGGGTGCGCCCTCATGGTGACAATCCAGTTGTTAAGGCCTTGGTCCATGGTGGCGAACTGCACACGGGTCTCGTCGAACTTCTGGATGCGCTCTTGGGGAGTGGCGATCTCCATAATTTCCCGGAAAGAGAGTAGTTTCGGCGGCTGTGGAGCCGAAGTTTCTGCAGGCGGTGGTACCGGGAGGGATTCCGGATGGGTATCCTGGAGGGCGGGGTGTCCCTCAGACAGGTCGTTCTCAACTTCCTCCGATGATAATTGCATGATTTGCTTCTCAGCCGCGAGCGAGAGACGGCGAGGGTCGCCTTCGGGTAACGGCTCCATCGTGGTGGCATTGTCAGCCAAAAGACCAGCATCGGAGGCAAGCGCTGCTGCGGTAGTAGCATCCAGTGTCGCGCTCGCCTCAGACCCTCGTCTGGACTCAGCATCCTCACGGCTTACGAGAGCGTCAAGTTCCGCCGATTTGTTCTCGTCGGCCCCTTGATGCGTTATCTGTAGACTAGCAGTAGCAACGTCCGCAGCTGTAGCAGGTGTTCCGAGAGACGAATCTACAGGAGCAGCAACCGGGCCGTTTACTGTTGCAGGTGACTTAGTGGGCTCGGCTTCGGCCTCCCACGAGAACCGGCGCCGCAACTCCGCAGACGAGTCCGTGACAGGCGAGGATTCGCCCTTTTCCGGCGACTTTGCGCGCGGCAGAAGAGGAGCGACCGCCTGTTCAGGTAGAGGAGGGACATCGGGTTGGACATTATCCTTGTCGTCTGCGGTAGTGGCCCAGTAGTCATCGTAAACGGACGGAAGATAGGTACTTTCTCGTATTCCGCTGTCTTGGGGTTGGTGAGGCCGGAGAACATCGGTAGGGGTGCTGCCCCGATAGGGCTCAAGCTTTGAATGATCTCTTCGCGGAGAACGTCGCTCTCTTTCACGGGGGACGAGGTTGTGGTGTCGAAGGTCGATTGGCGATGGGGCAGCGGCAGATCGAAGGTTTCGTTCGGCACAACCCTAGGATTCAATGGAGCCGTAGGCGTGATGTTCATGGTGGATGACTGGTCCTCCGTCGTGGCAGGAATTGAGGTTGCGATAGTAGGCTGAGGAAGGTCAGCCGATACGGTAGAAATCACCGCTGGGCTAGTGATGGCGGGGCTCAAAACAGATGACTCCTCTCCAGCAGGTTCGGCATCATCGGGAATTTGGGATCGGGCACGCTCGTTCACTGATAACCCTGACGGGGATTGAGGTGACCTCGCCTCAAGTATTGGCGACAGTGCAGCGACCGGCTGCTCCTGAACAAGATTTTCGCTATGCGGCGGTGGTTGGTTAGACTGCACGCCTAACCCGGAGTTGGCAGGGAAGGGGTTAGCGGGCTGCTGGAGAATCGTGTTGGGCGATTCGCCTGCAAGGGGCCGTGGCGAGTCAGCGATTGCAGGAGGTTGCGGCTGAGAAGTGGTCTGTGGAGGAGAGGTGTTTGCGGTGGCGGTTGGTGCGGGGACTTTTCTTCCTCAATGATAGCCGGAGAATTTTTGACGTAATAAAGGCCGATGAAAGCGCAGGTAGAGGGGGCGGTGAATCCTTTCGTAGAGCGGACGCGAAAAGTCGTCCCCAAACATCGACATGCGTGCCACGTCGGGCAATTGAGGGCTACGAGAAAATCGACGTGAGGGAGACACAGATGGTGAGGGGGCCTCCGCGGCAGTGTCAATGGAAGTCACTGTGGAAGGTACCTTCCCTGGTTGGTACGAAGCCTGCGGCTGGCCCACAGCAGCAAGGCTGTATTCACTCTTCCTCTCGGCAACCGGTTCCAAAGCAGGACGAGCCTGTTGTTGTTGTGATGGCAGTGCTACAGGTCGTCGAGATGCGACTGGGGTCGGCTGGGGAGGCACAGGCGAAGAAGTAGCGACGGGTGAAGCAGCGCTGTCATGGTCAATTGCAGATGGCGCGCTCTCCAAGCTATGCCTTGAGGACTCCAGGGATTGTCGCTCCTTCTCCTTTTCCTTTTCCACCTCCATTCGACGGTATATGTCAGCCGGCCGAACAAAGGGCAGCGGCTTAGACGCAAGTGTTGGAGACTTGTTGCTTTGTGGGGAGGCTGCCCTTTGCTCAGCCCAGGGTTGCTGGGGAGGCCCATGACGGGGCGAGGCCGTCCTAGCTGGACTGTTCAACGACTCGTGTCCATCTTTTGGGCCATTGCTTGCGCCCTGAGGAAATTGGCCCGAGGTCGGTGCCTGGTGGTGAGGCGAGGCAGATGTTGGGGACGCCTGCTGGAGGGGTGCAGCATTGTAGACCGGGCTCGTGGCAGTAGATGTCGGGCTTCTTTGTTCGGAACGGGCGGCTTTAGGGGTGAATTGGGAATATCGTCACCCCATCCCTCTCCGTCATAGTTGGCCGCCCTGAACTTAGCCCACTTATCGGCCTTATTATTGGCGCTCATTGTGGAAGCGATGCTCGATGGCCTAGTTCATCGTACTTTTCCGAGCAAAAGTCAAAAGGCCCCGAGGGTTTCGGCGTCAGGGATAGCGATGCCAGATGTGAAAACCCGATGTCCAAGGTCACGCAATGATTGATGATTATGCAAAGCCACGCGGCTATTGAGGTGTTCTTATCGCAGGAGGGCGGCTAGTCGTGAGCACTCGGGAGACGTGAGACCAAAGAAAGAGAGTCGTGTCTCGGTAGAGACAGATCGCGGGGTGCACAGCGGCAAGGAGGGAAATAGAATGAAAATAGACAAGAAAAACCACAATAATTAATAATGGAGGGCAGAATGTGTCCTCGGGATTCAACACTAAATCAAAGCGGCTCAGCGAAGGTATCGCGACGGCAACGGTGACCGACAATTGAAAATTATGCGTGTTTTGGATCCGATGGGATGGGATGGAAGGTGGAGGAAGGCAGGTTCTCCAAGTGGGTCGTGGAGGTTTGGAGTGAGAATCGAAGATGGGATGACGACCACGTCTGCGCGCGATGGATGGTGGAACTCGCTTGGGACGACGGGTCGGTCCTGACACCTTTTCATTGAGGAGGGAATAATTTCCCAGCGCGCCGAGGATTGCCTTATTCCTGCAGGCTCGACTTCCAAAGATAGCCAGCCACCGATTCCATCAGCGAGCTTCCTCCGTTACGCAGGTACATTGTACACGACCTTTGGGGCTATGCAAGAGAAGGAACTGCCATTTTAACATTGCTATCGGCATGCTGTGTACTCGTAAGCCCATCCTCGTATCAAGGGGTACTTCGCTTCCTCCGGATCTGCTAGCGCTGATGTCTTGATGGTACCCCCAGATCCACATTTACCCTGGCTCAGGGGACAGACAAGAGGGTCTCCAAAAACAATTTGAGCAAGCGAAGCCTCTCCTTTAATACTAGTTCCGTGGCAGAGGAATGGGATTAGCGATCCTATGGAAGGTTCAAATGTTATGATGGGGGCTGCAAGGCCTGCACCAACAAAACGAGAATTGTCTCTTCGAGACTGAGATGCACCACAGGAAATGAAATCCCCTTCCAATCCTAACATCCCCATTAGAAAGACGAATATTAATAGAAATTACGTCTGGATCGGAAAGGGCTACCAGAGAGTCGGCGATGTGAGGTGCAAGGCAAACGGTCTACTCGTCGCTTGCAAGGCAATCTCCCCGTGCGAACCCCCATTGGGTCAATTCGACGACTGAGAGTAACGTTATGATTATTATCATTTCAACCTTCTCCTAGCCGAGCTTTATTTTTTTCCCAAGCCTCCATGAATGTGTTGAAAAGAGGGAACGAGTACCTCCGTCTCGAAATAGCATTGCTACCAACTCGAAACCCTTCGTTCAAGAGCATCACGGCAGACTCCATCACTAATCAAGCGGATACGCAGATGTGCATCTACGACGCAATTAAACCCTATTAGAGAAAACGGCTATAGTATATTGGTGGGTATCTTGTTGCGCTCTTCCTTATCACGGCCTCATTTACTAGATACTGTCGTCCTTCTACGCCTGTGCGTGCCAGACCACTGCCGATTTCATTCCCTCCTCCACCAATCTTTGCACTAGGTCTGGGCTCAAGATATCTCTCCGGAACCTCTCTTGCTGTAGCAACTCGAGATGACGCAGCGTAGGGCCCGGGTATGTGAGATATTTCAGGTAAGGCGGCCGCGCCCAATATTGGAGGTAGTCGAGGTAGGCAACAAACTCGGGGCGCGAGAGGTATTTCTGGGCGGCGAGATGGTTGAGATAGTACGGGTTCGCTAGACACTGCACGAACTAGTAGCCGGGAACGACCGTGTCTACCTGTTAGCTTTTCTCTCCCCTTGAGACACGATTGGGACCTCCCGCCGCTTTCCCGGCCACGGGGATGCGATCAAGTTGGGACTGATCATACCTCAAGCTCAATCTCAAAACGCGAGTAGCCACCATACTTGGGTTCTTCGCCCGAATCCACGGCCATTGAAGAGTCCGGGACGGTGGGCGGGAGCATCTCTACGTCTCCATCATTCATATTTATCGCGTAAAGGTGTTTGCAAGCGTGGTGTGGGGTTGCGAGTGTTGGGTTTAGGGATGTTGATCAATGGCAAAACGTTGAAACAGGTCCGTCGTGGGGCTGGTGAAGTTACCGCGCCGTTTTGCGCCACTGGTAAGTGCAAGCCACAGCATGAGAGCCAGCACCATTGCATCCATCCATCCATCCACCCTCACCTACCCACTCGCCTTCGCTGACCGCAACACGACAAATCTCCCTAGAGAGAGATACGATATATACTATTTACCATTTCAATACTAACAATGCAAGAGTCAGTGCTCGGCCCTGAGTTAGGGTTTTGGCTAGGGTTTTAACTCGCGGACAAGTCCAGCGGCTGTTCCTCTTGTCTCGTTCAAGGCCAATTTCCCCGGCCGACGATTACATTATCCTCCTTTCCCTCTCGACTTTTAACTTCATTGTCGAAGACCACGCTACGCACCAGATGCGTCTCTAGTGTTCCGCGCGCACTCTTCATTTAAACTGTGTAGCGTTATAGCGTCTCTATTCAGAGAAATCTGTCAAGCAGGGCGCAAAGCGGTACCAAATATGGACTGTGCCCCAGCCCAGTAAACAACACCTGTGTGCAAGGTGACCATAGGTCAAGCTCACGTAGATACACAAGATAATAAACAATCCCTCGTCGGGAACGAAGCAGATTGGCCCAGATCTACGAGCCCTTCAGTAAATGTGATGGAAGGTCCTCTTTCCCGAGAAGACGTATAAACACGCATGCCCACTCGAGGTCCCCGCGACATATTCACAGACCGAATAGTCCACTCCCTGGTAGTTTGGTGAGAGAATCTTAGATGGTTAGGCGATTGGTGAGTCTACTAGTAGTACCTTGCGAGCAACATTTCTTCCCACCAATGCGAATATGATCCTACCTACCATCAGTTAAGTCAATTCCATAATAGACATCAAAGCCGTGACGATGGCCCACTGAGTCATTGCCAGCTGGGTGAGAATTGTCACCTGACAAGCCTCATGGGTTCGTCCCCCACTCCACTGTCAACCCCGACCGACATTGACGTAACAGTGGCGTTGGGCCCAGCTTGACGTCGATCAAAGCCACCCGCAGGCTGCATCACCCCGGCAGAGCAATAATAACTTCCCCCACAATAGGCAGCCGCGGCCCTCAGGCTCTTTTTCCTTCCTCTCGAGGCCCAGTCGCTTGAACGCAACCCCTGCCCGTCCCAAGCGCCCCTCCCGCCAATTCCTTGTCCTTCATCTGGCGAATATCCAGCATTGTGAGCTGACAACAAGGTTGACGAAAGCCTGGCGACTCATCACCACCCCAGCCAGGCACATACTATTTTCTGCCTTCACACAAGATAGCCTCCCAACCCTCGCCCTCCAGGGTGGAAACCAGCAGCTCTTTACTTTTCGTTATCACTTCGTATATTGGAGATTGACCCCTTCACCCGAACCCGTGGCCCCTACCGAGCTACACCTTGGCCCATCTCCTTTTCCCCATTGCGCTCTCCTCCCACCGACCAGCGGCGCCTATCGCGGGGTGCCTCGATTGATTTGCGTGACAGTACTCATTTAGGGAAGAATCTGCCAACCTAAATTAGTTTTAGCGCTGGGAGGGATAGCACGAAGAAAGGCAGAGCCTGTCATCACAACCATCTTTCGTGACGTTACTGCGTACAGCTTATACCAGCCAGCCCACTTGAAACCCACCTCTAGGTTGTTTCTTCTTAACCGTCCCTTTTACTTCCACCCGTTCCCCTTCTCCAAGTGCCCATAATCTTGGCTGGGCCGGGGACGCCGCGATTCTTTCGTCTTCATTTCCCTGGCTGGACGCAAAGGAGGGTGAGAAACAAGACCAGGGTGTTTCAAACTACCTCTTGGTTTTTCGAGAACTAATATCGGTGACACCCTGGCCCACCAGGAGATCAAGAGAGAGGTGCAGGTGGGCAGGTGCAAGACCAAGGAAGCCAACGCGCATCGCACTAGCAAGTGTCAGGCAAGCCCGTGTGCTGTGCCAGCGTGGGCTGAATGAAAGACCGGGTCGGTGTGCCCAATTTCTTTCCCGCGTCCCACTCAACGATAACGGCGCCTGCCCCAGAGGCAGCCCAACCAGCCGGGTCGCCAGGTCGCACGCGGAGAAGACACAAGCTCAAATCCAGCTGCCTCTGTCTCCCCTTTCACTGCAACACCTCTTCCGCCTCGTCCGCCGATTGTCAGCAACATCCCGTTGTGGCAATGGATCCGATACCCGCCCCCGTCTCCCACACGCAGGGTACCCTCCCAGGCGTATGTGCTTCTTCTAATTCTACCGTCAAGACTCGGATCCTCATCATATCGGACACCCACGGTATGCGCCCCACCGATAGCCCACCATCCAACCCCGAAACCCTATCTTCCCCTACACGCTATACGGCCACACTGCGACCCGCTCACCGTTCCACCTACCTTTACCGGCCGTGGATGTCCTTATCCATTGCGGCGATCTCACAAAACGTTCCTCGGCGGAGGAGTACCGTTCAACCATGGCAGCCATTCGACAAGTTCAGGCGCCCGTCAAAATCATAATCGCCGGGAATCATGACCTTTCTCTGCACCAGCAGTTCGTAAAAGACAACATGAACGAAAACGTCAGCAAGAGCCAACGGGCCCTGGCTTTCCATGCCGAGGCTAAGCACATTGTCGCCGGTAGCAAGGATGTGACTTACCTAGAGGAGGGTACGCACGAGGTGTCGCTCCCCAACGGTGCGAGGCTCCGTCTGTATACGAGCCCATGGACTCCCTCTTATGGCGGCTGGGCATTCCAGTACGAAGGCTCCCACAACTTCAGTATACCTGCGGGCATTGACGTAGCCGTCACACATGGTCCTCCCCTCGGCATCCAGGACTCAGCCTCCAACGGCGACTACGCAGGCTGTCCCATGCTCTTCAATTCCATACAAAAAGCCCGACCCCGCATCCACTGCTTTGGCCATATCCATGAGGCTTGGGGTGGCTATTACGCCCATTGGGCTTCGCCTGAGGGCACCCCTTGGCAGCAGGCTACCGGCTCAGGTCGTAGCCCAGGCGGCAGCCATCCTTCTTATACGAGTGGAACCTACAACGACCTGCACTTTGATTATGATGACTCGAATTCTGATGTCTCAATGCCAGATGCTCCCCCACGTACCCTCGAAGCCCTTGACCAGGCGCGCTCCCGGGCCGTTGAAACCGTCGACTCGCTGCGACTGCTCGATAAGGACTCGGATAAGGAGATGGCGCATAAGCGTGAGAGATACGCGCGACATTCGGCCGAGGGCTGCTGTCGTGTCGATGTCTCCCCTGAGGGTGACGCCCCCGTCGAGCGAGGCAAGCAAACGCTCTTCCTCAACGCGGCGATTCTAGACCGGCGTTACAAGATCGCGCACTTTCCTTGGCTTGTGGAGATCGACCTTCCTATAGCATAGATTAGAGAGACAACCGGGCGCATAAAAGGTTTTAAAGGAGGATTCCCCAGGTACCCTCTACCCCCAAAAGCCTATCTAATATAGAGGTCGGTTTCTTTTCTTGGAGAGGGAGTGAATAGATTTGCTAGACAAGATACGAAGTGTGCAGTATATATGAAGCGGAAATTGAGACGAACGGCCCCAACCTCATAGGCGTAGGGTAGAAAGTAAGCGACGGGAAGAACGATCTCCCCACGAGACGCAGCCTTGGAGACATACATCCATAGATGTTGAGAAAAGACGCCAGCTCCGAAGAGGGGTGAGGGCGTTCTGTAACCCGTCAAGCTAGATGTTGATAAAAGCACCTGACATCGAAGACGAGGTGCCTGTTTTCGTCAAAACCACTCGGAATCTTTTCCTCTCCAATACATTAACTCCGTGCATGCCTAGAGCGAGGGCAGGTTATCTTAGAGGGAGAGAGAGGTCGAAAAGAAAGCCACTTCATTATCAATTCCTAGTTACTACAAGTGTCAGGGCGTTCGTCATGTGCCATGACGGTTCCCAACATAAAAACATCTAATTCCTCCTTGTCCTCTTTTGGCCAACGGAAAAAAAAAAACAAGGCTAATCATTTCATATTCCACATTAAACGGTGCGGTGGACATTCAAGGCGTCTCTGCTCCCAACACAATACGTTGCACGGGCTTCCACCGCCACTGAACGTACGCGCGACCAAGAGTACTACCCTGGCTAAGCCAAGACCCTACTGTTTGCAAGTGAAGAACTCGCTTAGAGAGCGAAGAAGGCAGCGAGGAAGGCAGCACCGCCGAAGATGGCGTTGATGGAAGCACCAGAGCCAGCATCGTTGTTTGAGTCGGAATCGGAACCAGAGCCAGAATCGGAGCCAGAGCCCGAGCCCGAGCCCGAGCCGGAACCAGAGCCGGAACCAGAGCCTGAGCCTGAGCCAGTAGGAGAAGGACCGGAGCCGGTGTTAGTGACGGTGGTGTTGGAGCCCGAGCCGCCAGAGGGAGTGGAGGATGAGGTGTCGCTTGGCTTGGTATCGTCGTCGGTGGGAGTGGCACTGGCACTGTCAGAGCCCGAGGGGCTGCCACCAGCACAGAGCGCGGTTCCGGCCTGGGCGGCGGCGGCAAGCTCGGCGGGGTCAGTGCAAGAGGTAGTTAGGCACGTAATAAGGGTGGCATCAGTGCCGAGCTTAGCGAGGTTGGCTTCGGTGCAAGCGCAGGCGGTATCAGAGATATCGCAGCCGATGCTAGCGATACCGGCGGTGATGCAGTCAACCTGTTGATTGCGGCAAACGTCAGTCTCGGTCACGGTTCACTGCTTTGGGGGATGACAGCTTGGGACTCAACCCGAAGTGACGGCGCCACCCGGAGTGTTGAGGATAGGGAAAGAGGACAATCACATACAGCGCAATGGGGGATAGAATCACCGAAAGGGTTGTCGTGGGCGGAGGCGAGACCGGCGAGGACAGCGAGGGTGGCGGTGGTGTACTTCATTTTGGCTGAGTTGTGTTGGCGAAAACGCGATTGTCTTGTTTTGTTCCTTGCGGATGGGTATGAGATTGTTGGTCTTTAGGAAATTGAAAGCTGACAGCAACGAAGAAATGGGATGGAGAAAAAGGACAGGAAAAGAAAGGAGAGGAAAAGGGAAAGCGCGAGGTTCTTGTACTTTTTCCCACCTCTTCCTTCTCTTGTTGGAGGGGAATATCACCGCCCTCGTTCGTTCCTGCTCGGGGACATGTCACTTGAAGTGAGTAGCTACTTGTAATTTGCTCGTCGTCCCACGGACGGGCTATTGCTCGCTGCACCAATCTCCGCCCTGTCCCAATTTCCTTGTTCACCATTATCCAGACTCCCAGCCCACACCCGCCCATTCCCGCCCCGGATTAGCTCCCAGTTGCTGGGACAGTGAGCTGGAGCACACGCCAACGCGAGAGCTCAGGTGAAATTGATGCGACATCCGGCGGTCGATGCAATACCACGCTGCTCTGTAGTGCCAGGCGACAAATCAGCCTGCATTGAGAATGAATGCAGGAGGTTCGAGGTACTTCGTTGATTTTTTGATTTTTTATATACACACCCTCAACAAAGTGACAGCCAATCAATTCCTCTCCCCTTTTGCCACTCCCCTCTCCCCTGACAGGCAGGCCCACGAGTTCAGCTACAAGTATTACAAGTAGATCACTGATCAATTATTGCGCTGTCTTCTTGGTCTTCCTTTTCTGTTGATTCTTCCCAGTGCTCTTTGTTGTGTATAACCAAATATTGATTCCCATAAGTACATCAGGGTCCAGCGCTCGATGGGAAACAAGCACGGCTGGGACCAACTTAGCCAATTGATTTGTGATCTCCGTCCGACTCACTACAGCCCGACCCCAACCGTTTGAGTCCGCTCTCAAGCCTGGTTATCCTCTTGATCTGCATTCTTTGGACTGTCTTGGACTGTGGCTGATCCCAAACCCTCTCACGGGGTACTAGCGTTGATCGATAAATAGTTGTCGCATCCATCTCATCATTCAGGGTCGCCCCCAACGCTCCCTCTCTGGTTTTTTTTTTTTTACTCCTTGCATGCGATTTCAATGGCCACTACTTGTAGACTTTGAGAGGTTTGCGTCCAACCAAACCAGCTCTTGGGATGCTCTGAGATTGGGTGGGCAAGGTGGGGCATGATGGGCGACTGGGCATGATTCCTAAGCCGAGTTGGACCAATCTAGCCAAAAGGCTCTTCGCGTTCTCTCCACTAGGCAGTTTTGGAGCAGGGTGGAGAACCCTGAATCACAGCACCCTTGGTGTGATGGGTTTATAACCAGTGGGACACTGAGCTCAGACGAGATGAGTGGCCACCCAAGCTGGCAAGCTGGAGGAAGCTAGTAGATAACTGGATGTCAAGTGCCCACGCTCTCCGAGTGGTACATCAGCACAACACAAAGTCGGGCCACCAACCGAGGTACTGAGGTATCGAACACGACATGGGCAAGAAGGGCAGGGTGCTCCCCGCCTCTCATCAAGAGGTATCCGACGATCTTGGTCGTGGGGTCTCGCCCACCCCGAATGAGTTCCCCTGAACCTTGAAGCTCCGCGCCAGGTTTCGAATTCCCACTAAAGGCAAGCCGCAGGGCCCACTAGGCAATGCCCAAAACTTGCAAACCAAGCCATCCACCATCACTTTTCTCGCAAACTCCATACCAACCTTGCCAACCAAGTACACCAGCTTGACCAATATTGGAGTGAATACATCCTGGCTTGCCTGGATGCGCAAGGGAGAGAATCGCTGATCCCCGGGCAGATGTGATCGACAAGGTGGTTCCCTCCCAAATCGGCAGGAAACAACTCAAAGGAACGAAACAAAGGAGAAAGGACGAAGCGGGTGCGATTCGAAGGTGCAGCCGGTGGATGGAAAACTTGCTCAGTCCGCACTGAAAGCAAGTGCCAACGCTCTTAACCGAATCAATGGTAATGATTTCGTGCCTCGTGTGTTAAATCCTCGTCTCAATAACATAAGCGAGCCTCTCTTTCCTCTTTTCCGCCGTTTCCCGTTTCCGTCCATCCCTCTTGTATGCAGTAGGTCTTGTCGTACTAGCAATTCCTCTAGTTCTAGTGCTCCATCGTACAAAACATGGCAAGCTTTAGTTGTTTACGAGACCACCTGCAGCACGCCTCATGCACGATTCCGGAGGTTCCACGTAAGCTTTTCCCGAGAAGCTCGTTTGGCGGCTCCGCATGGAAGCAGCGAGTATTCTACATTCGAGTTCTTGTCCCGACCGCCTCTGATTAAGAGCTGGCCCTTATTAATCAATGTGGCGGGGGATGTGAAGAATGGTGCTCTTTGAAAATTTCCACTTGAGGTCTCTGCCTGCCGAAGGCCATGGTGCCCAGTCCCCTTCCGATAGACAAACATAAAGCTCGGGTACTTCAAGCCGTCGATCTCTGCCGCGCTTCCGGATCGGTAAGGGGCCGAGTGAACTTTCTGGCTATCGAGAACGTAGAAAAGCAAGGTGTGGCTGGTTGTTGATAGGCCTTATGCTAGTCAGGGGGAACCAGCAAGGAAGGGGCGAGGTACGAAGCAGCAACAGACAACAACGACAGATGCCACTGCGGACTCGAAACGAGACATCGAATTATGGATTGATTGATGTCTACAAGTATTGTGTTCCGTCCCAGCGACGGGGCTAGAAATTGGTGGTTGGCGATTACACGACTTGTATGTTCTCCCATTCGCCACCTCACCCAAGTGGACTGGATTCTGAAGCATTCGCGTTATTGGGTCCTCCTCTTCTGGCTCGAGCGACTCCGGTTATCACCTCTCGTCCAACCAATGCGCACACCCTTCGTTGAGCCCGTGAACCTTTCTCTCGGAATGCAAGTTTGGCAAGTTTGTTCGAAAACCAAGCGTGCGTTTCTCAGGGGGCCACCCTCAAAAGAGTGATCTTCAAAGCCTGGACCTTGTCCTTGAAACTAGAACGAAAACATGCTGAGGAGGCCATGTCGCGCGACTTCGACAATCCCTTCTTCTTCAACTCTCTGAGGTTGGGATGAGAAACCCCGGTCTCAATTGAAAACTTCCTAGAGAGCAGAGTCCCCCTCCCCCTACAAGCGCACTTCATCTGTCACACGTCCTTGGTCGACTCGACGATTCCGAGTCAATGCCATCGAACCTTTCATCTTGCCAATTTCCCCACGCTGAATCATGAAAGGGCACGGTACGAGCGGCCTCGAGACGCCTTACAAAAAGAGGAGAAAGAATGAAAGAATAAGAAAAAAGCCTACAGGCCAAAAGAGAGCCTTGACTAACTAACCTTTCATGATCTGCCAACAATTTCTCACGATGTTAGTACTTCGTCTCAATCCCGCCGATGACACAGTCTTCTTTCTTTCTTTAAAAAGAATACATAAAAATACAAATATAAAAATCTAGAATATGGATAAGCCCCTCGAGCGCTGAACACTCTTGACACGTTCCCAAGCGTTCAATACTTGGCTATGCCAGCTCACGCTGCAACCAGCCCGGTCGCCCCTCATGAGTTACTACAGCATACACTAGGTAATCCCTGTCCGTTGTGGCTTGCACCTTCCGGGCCTGTCATATTTTACGGATTATTAACAATCTGGCACGCTCAGCTCACAAGAGCCTTGAAGCACAGCTACGTGTGCTGCGCCATCCATAATTCACCCAGTTTAGTTAGGTCCACAATCCTCGCTAGGATTCATCATGCTGTGGAGTTGGTCTTGTGGATAGGATGGGACCCGTGGCTGGCATTGTCTACGCAGAATGTGCAAGTACTACCGAGGTATGTATCGTCTTCTACGCTCTCAACAGCTGGGGCGGCTTCATCATCAACGACAAGCTAGATATGTTCGATAGACCATCGCCACATCCTTCCGGGGCCAAGCCTCGGCGGAGGACCACCCGTGAGATCTTAGATCTTAACAGCCACCCAACCTACGTGTGTATTTTGATCCATGAGGTCGTCAAAAGGGATGAGCAAGGGAGGAGAGACATGAGTGTACTACGGCTTGAAAGGCCCATCGCCCGTCCTCCGCCATCGCCATCAAAGCAAGAGGTAAACGCCATCGATAACCCCTACCACGGATTAGGGATGACAACCTTTGGGATATGCGATGAGCATGCCTGTGACGCTTGTTGTCGATATCTCATCACCTCCCTTGGAGCCTTATCCTCGAAGGATGGGGGCGGATTTTCCTATATTAGATAAGGCCTTTCCCAGAATTGGACCCTCGGGCCTCGTTCGAACATAGGTTGCCTTGTGGCACCCGTGCCGTATGGGACCAAAGCCGAGCAGCAACAAGATTCTGCCTTTGCTCCGCTCGCCTCACGGGGCAGCTACTCATATGCCTGTCTATTATTTACTACTCCTTCTCCCTATTTTTCTCTCTGTGAGGCTCGACGACGGTATGATCTCCGAGGGACCTACTCCTCCAGGGATCCACCCTTCCACCGCTTTCGGATCCCGCTTCTTGTGCCCGGCAGCTATAGGCGCATGAGCGCCCCATCAGGCTCCCCCAGCCTCGAAGGAAAATGCCTTGGAGCCTGGGCTTTTTCTTCTCTACTCCTATGGGGTCAGTCCTCTCCTCAGGGCCAGGGTTGGTGTTTCTCACCTTCCAGGAGATTCTTCTTCCGGCTAGTTCAAAGGCGGCCCGACGTGTCCGCGGAACCGCCTTGCACACTCGCGTTTTGTCTAGTCCATAGCCCGCCATGGGCTCTCAATAAAGACACTCCATATGAGCCCTAGAGGACGATGCAGGAAGGGCGGGCTGAGTCTAGACTTCGCCCCTCTCCTCGCAGGAAGGGCGTAATTGACCTATCTATGGATTCATAACCCAAAGAGCACTGTTTACGAAGGTAGATGCATCAACTATTACCCCGATCTGGAGATAAGAATGTGATAAGGTTGTCATTCTTTTTCTCATCCGCCGCATTAAAAACCCTGCCACCCAAACTATATATCAAGATAACGCCGTAGGTTCAAGTCAAACAAACAGCCTAAGAAACCCCCATCTCTTTTTCTCGCACATTTGACCCTTCGCCCCTCATGACCATCAAAATGCCTACCTCGATATAGGGATTTAAAACTATAGGCTATGAGTGGTCGCTGGTCCCCCAACGCGTTCAGGTTTCATCCCTATGGGGAAGGGACACAGACTATGGCTGTCCTTGAGCCTGAAAGTTCTCCTCTGCAGTGCCATTTACATGGCCTCCTACGAGGGTCTCGAGAAGATCGGGATCCCGCACCATTGGGATGGTGATGGGTGACCCGTTCAAATATCCCACCGGGCCGGTATGAAATGCGACCCCGGGGTATCCAGAGTCCAACGATTGGGATCGGGGAACCGGAACATCCATGCGGTTGCGGGCAGACATGCTGAGATCATCATCGTCACCTTTCAGGGCCCCTCTGCCACGTTGCTCTGAGGCGTGGCGTGTGAAAAGAGTTTTCGAAGCAGACCTTCTCGCCTCGGGCCTGTATTCTGGCTGAGATCTCTACGTCTGCCCATGTACAAGTAATCGTCGTCCGAATCGATGTCTGCCAGGTCCGGGCAGGAAAGTCGGGTGCGTCGGGCCATTGAAGACTCCAGGGGACTTCCGAGCACAAAAGGGTTTAGGGTAACCGCCGGGCCGCAAGGCACGTAGGGCGTGGTTGATGGTGAGAGAGCATAGTTATCGTCGCAAAGGTCTTCGAGATCATCTTCCAGATTTCGGGACGGCCCCGGGGTTTCAAAGGGATTAGTGATAAATTTCGGGGTCGCCGCCTGGACTTGATGAGTATCGCCTTTCTTTGGCCTAGGGGTTGAGGATTCCTCATCCAATACCGCAGACAAGCTGATTCCTCCTTCTCCTCGCGGGATGGGCGATCCAACGGTGCTGTTGGCCGGGGTATACAGTTCCTCGTCCCACTCCTGAGATGGGTGAGAAGACCGCCTCTCTCCTTCCGTCTTCTTCACATCTCCCTTGGCAAGGGATTCTAGAAGGCAGTGTTTGAGCTTGGTCAGGTGTTCTATCTGGCTGAGAGCCGATTCCCTGGATGGGATGGCGATGGTGGGAGATTTGGATACGCCACTCTCCAGATGTGTCGACAAGAGTGCCTTCTCAGCCTCGATGTCATACCGATCTAACTCTGGAGCCTCGTTGATAGCCTCCTTCTCCGGAAGACTTGTGGCGGCAAGGCCTCCTTTCCGGGCGCACTGAGGACTAAGGACTTGACCTCCACCAGCATTAAAGCTACCTTCTCGCCCGACGACTTGCGTGTGTGAGTATGCTCTCTGGAGCACCAAGCCCTCGGTTTGGGCTTCCCTACCGAACGCCATGATTTCTTCTTTCGTAAGATCTGGAAAGTAGCACTGGAGGTTCGTGTCGGGAACTTGGGGGTCTGTTTCCGTGGGCAATGTTTTCGGCGCTGCTATATATGGTGGAATGGATTTCGGTCGGTCCCTCTAGGCTGTCCTCTTCTACCTCACGGAGGAGAAGACTTGGGAAGGGGGTGATTATGTATGTTGTCGTTTTGATGGGCAGTTTCGCGGCCCGAATCAACCTTAACCCAGGCAAGGGATGGCTTTTGGCTGGGTATGCCGGTGCATCAAGTAGTAGGAACAACTTGAATGGACCGAGCAGGGTGGATACAGGCTAATAAATAGAGTATGGGGGATAGACATGGGGTACTGATCGTGACCAGCATCATCTGGCAGCCACGAAGAGTCCGGGGAAGTAAGAGACTCTCTCCACAGCTAGGTCTCAAGTCCCTCCCTCAGAGTCTCCTTACCTTGCGACTACAAGTAGTTGCTTCCTATGCTTTCCACTTGCCCATTTCACCCTAGACAAATGCCAATCCGACCGAGTTGCCACCCCATGTTGTCTTCTCCCAAGGTTGCGCGCTATCCTCCCACTACAGACTCTTGGAAATCCTACATATCTCTCCACAGAGCATCGTCATCATGTTGGAGGCAGGCCTGGACCACGTGGATTGGCTCCCATTCACTACACTGGACACTGGCTGCGCTTTCGCTTTCGAGTAGGCCTTCTAAGCCTTGAGGGACTCCGCAAAGATGCAGGTCTCACCTTAAATGAGGGCACCGGCCAATCTGGGGGAATGAAAAGCAAGGAACAGCGCATCGAGCTACTTCAATGTATTGACCGCCAAAGAGAAGGGAGTTTCTGGCCAGCCGCCAAAGTATCTTGTGGGTGATGTTTCGGAGTTGTTGTCGTGGAGAGGTAGGCTTGTGTGCTCGTCAGTATTACCTGTCGGCGCCCTGGCTGGTCCGAACATGGACTGGTTGTCAAGCATCAATGATGGAGGAACAGCCACCCCGTTGGAGCTAATTTTTGGTCCACCTCTAGCTACACTCTTTCCACGGGATGTGCAAGGCGCCATCTCCTAGCTGAAAGCTACGCCATTTGCCAGCAACCGTGATGCAAATGAATGGATGGATCCATTCCATGTGCTCTTCGCCGTCGAAGGAGTAGCGTAGCCTCCCCTTTCAACAATTTCTCCTAAAAGCCTAATTCCCCGAGAAAAGATACACAAGAGGGAAGAAAAACCGTTGGCCCGTTTATTATTGGTTCTTTTTATACATCCACATGACCGAGACACCCTTTTTTCTTTTCTTCGTCATTGTTGAAGAGTCAGGTAAAGGGAGAAAACGACCTCCCGATCGCCCTCTGCTGAACTTGCGAGTCCGAAGTGAATGGAATAGATCGATCATCTGTTCGGGTGTGGGGATCAGGTGAAGAGCGGGATCATGCAAGTGGCATAATCATGCGCAAGACCACTTGATTGTGAAATGTTCTGATTTTAGCGGCGGCGAAACAAAAGTCCACTAAGAGTTGAAGATCTGCCTTGATTGCCCTTTTCTAGAATTCTTGTATTCTTATGGCTCATAAAAAGGTCCACCCCCGAGATGTCTCCAATAGTAGGTGATTCGGTGAGTGTGTAACTAGGACATCTATTAAAAGAAGAAGGGCGAAATGAGTTGCTATCAAGCTAGAGCTGAGGAGTAACCACTTTTCATTAAGATTGTTTTCGAAGGCAGACTGTGAGAGCTGTAAGAAGTTCTTGAGTTACGTAGGTGTATGAAACGTTCAGTATGAGGGAGCATCAATATCATTACATGGCCCCGAGGAGAACCTTGTTCATCATGGGCGAGACTGTCCGGCTTACTTCTTGCGGTGCTTGTAGCGGTTGTCGTGTTCCCTTTTTCTACTCCGAGACAACCTAGCCATCATTGATTGTATGTGGGTTTTATCTCCCACACAAAAATAGTTTGCGCTTTTGCTCTCTTTCCTCCCTACCAAATAGAAAATCCTGTTTGGAGTGGAAGGGGAATCCGCCGTCACGTTTGCGAGGTAGTAGGGATCTGGGTTTTGCAGAGAACATCAACGATCAAATAGTTGTAATCGCTGGGGTGAATGTGGACTGGAAGCGATTCTACTGTATATACGATACCGGCCACCACGGTCGGACGATCTGTGACTGTATGAAACCTAGCTTAACATTAGAATCTATATACGACCATCAGGCATAGAAAAACGAGTCAGCCTGGTAATGTGAGAGACACCACACTTCTAAGTTATAGCGTAAGGTTCTTTTCTTGATATTCCCCTTGTCCACCAGCCTCGGCGCGTGCCGCCAAACTCAAGTTTAATTCCGCCACGGAATGAACGGCACCCGTTGTCCATTCTAGGAAAGCATCAGGTTCAACTATTGCCATCTGTGGGCCAATAACGCTTTGAGTAATGGGTACTGCCATGGCCGTTCTTTGGATACCAGGCCATTTTTGCCAGTCGGCGGTTTAGGTGTCGTCATCGAAAGATCCTCGCGCGATTCTCTTTATTTTTCGGAAAACAGAGTCCGAAAGCCAGGGCTAAAGGAGAATGAAGAGATTTGGTCGTCGATGAGCTCTGTGAACCCAACGCACCATTTGCGGTGCGTATTCCGGAGACAGCACACAGCCAGTTTATACTACCTTGGTAATTCACCCCGCATCTATCGGATCGCTACAGGGTCGATCGAGGGTTCGCGCATGTGGGGGTACAGTAATCTTTTTTTCGGTTCGTTTATCTGGTTTGGGGATTGGGGAAATGTGGGATGGTTTGAGATGTCCTTGGGGCCATGGTATGCCGCAAGCTAGAAAGATCTACACGGCTGCCGGAGGACGGCGTTGTCGCGGAATATGAACCCGCCAGCCCCGGCCTCAACCTCCGTTGTCCCCTCTAAAAAGACTTTAACGATGGGGTCACAAAAGGGCACTACGGTCGAGCCTACAATGGATGTAGGCCTCTCACTTCAAACCGTGCTATTTTTACCAATCGATGCTATGTATCTGTTGCCTTATCCTGAGACTGTGAACGCCGTGGCTGATAGTTGGAACATTAGTTTTTACTGAGGGAGCGACTCGCCGCTCGTGTTGGCGTTCAACAGATACATCCAGTACCCCTCAATAATGGATGCAACAATGGAGGTACCTTATAGATTATCCCGAGGGGGCGACAAGGCCAGATGCAAATTAGCTAAGTGTCCTGCTGCGGGTTCCACCTACGGTCTAATCAATACACGTGAAGATTGATAGAGGGAGGTAGTTCCTGGCGTGAAGTCTGTCTATGGCCGTTTCAGTTCGTTGATGTCAGCAGTGGGGACGGGGCTCTCGATGTACAAGCCCTCCCAAACCCTTTCCCCCCTCTTCAGTCCCGTCTTCTTTACATGTAACTTCCGGCAATTGCTCGTGTAGCGACTCTGCTTTCAGGAGCTGGGCCTCGTCTCTCTTCCGTGAACGTTTAGGGTTGGCGAATGGGCGTCTAGACATCATGGTCTGAGTGGGGTTCGCGATAGGATAAAAATGGACCTGCAAGGAGGCTAACGTCTAAGAGCAGCGTTCTTTAAGTTCATCGCCTGCTCTTCATTTGCCCTGGTCGGCCGGAGGCTTGGCCTGCCGGAGACCTTGAGCGGAGCTACATCGGCCCTTTGGTCTAGTCCTGAGCCTCTACAAGCTGGGTGTTGGGGCAAAACACGGTAATTGATGTGACACTTGGCTAGAAACCTAGAGCCGCTCAGAGCTGATCCTGGATACGCCCTTTAAACACTATGCTGAGAGCTGTGGAGGTGGCGTGAGATTAATTGATCAAAGGCCAAGGGAATCTCGTCTCGAATTCATCGGGGAGCCGTTGACTTCACTAGCGGCTTGTGCGTTCCGTTCCATCAGCGCCTCAGGTACGCTCTGCAGCTCAAATCCGACGTACCTGGTGGGAGATGGATGGGCTGACGAGTTGGTCCAGTTCAGGCTAACGAGCACGTTATCGATCCTGCTAGCTATGGCAACTTAAATACCTAATGTTTCACAGTAGCTGCGCATCATTTCAAATTGAATTGGGATTGGTTGAGAACGTGATTTTGATATAGAAAGTATGGAAATTGGGTATTGATGTTAAAAACTCCTCTCCTTCAGCACGATCAGGACCAAGACCGCCACTGCTCAGTCGAATGATGTTTGCGGGATCCGTCAGAAAGACAGATACAAAATTACTATTATCAGGACAAGCTACACTCTCCAATAAGAGGCAGGCCGTCTCACACGGTTACACGATAGGGTAAACATATGCTTCCACTTGAACCACAATAGCTAGCACCACAACACATGGCACCCTAGGGGAGCAGAGCGAATGCAGAAAACGAAGAAGGAAAAAAGGAAAGAGGTGAGGGGCAGAAGAAAAAAGGGAAAAACCCCTCCGTCGAGTAAGTTCATTCCGTTTTCATTCTTCTTAAAGCCGGACCAGGCAGCCTTAGGCCCTCTCCCTTCGGGCCTCGGTGGGGGTCTCGTCATCCGAGCTCATATTGGACTCCCAGTTCTCGGCCAGGGTTTGCCTATCGGTGAGCTTGGGGTTGCGTAGGGTGAAGGCGAAGAAGATGAGGGGCGCGCAAAGGCAGATACCGACAATGGTGAGGATACGCTGGGCGTGCTTGTAAGACTCGATGATGGCATCACGCTCGGGGGTACCGACGGGGTAGGTGGCCGCCACCTCGAAGGGGTTGGCGTAGGCCTCCATGGCGAGAGTGTCGTTGATGCCCGCCAGGTTCTGGGAGAGCTGACTGGGGAGGACCTGGGTCCAGATAGCACCGGAGACGGCGTTACCGAGGGCGGAACCGACGTTGTAGAGGGCGAGGTAGATACCAGTCATGACGGCAAGGTGCTCATGCTTCAGGTAGGCCTGAAGAGAGGCCTGGGCGGGGTACGGGAACATACCACCGGCAATACCGAGCACGATCTGGGCGCCGATGATACCGGCGCGGCTGGATCCGTGGGCGTCACCACGGAACCGGATGAGGAGACCAAAGGCAACCATGAAAAGACAGGTACCGAAGACGATGAAGATCTTGAGGCGCCTGACATAGTAGACAATGAATCCGAGGATGAAACCGGTGATGACACTGAAGAAGGAGTAGAAGGAGGTAATGCGAGTGGCGGACTTGATGCTGAAGTCGAAGGCGACAACGCACACGGTGTACAGGTAGTCACCTTGAAGATACCAGGCGAAGTTGAGGAAGCAGGCGATGCCGAGAGGACCCCAAACGGCGCGGTTCTTCATGAGGCGGAAGGGCACAAGAGGGTGGGGGCACCAGAACTCCCAGAGAACGAAGGCGGGGATGGTGCAGACACCAACGACGAGGGGAGCAATGATCTCAGCGCTCTTCCACTTGGACTGGGAGACGAAACCACCGGCAAGAGTGAGAGGGACGAGGATGAGGGCAAACACGGCGATGACAAGGATGATACCGACCACGTCCAGACGCCAGAACAAGTCAACGAAGAACTTGCTGAAACCGAGCTGGGAGTAGAGGGACTTGTGGTTGGCCAAAAGGCCTCGGTTCTTGGCGCGGCGGCCGACAACGGAGAGGCTGATGATAAGAGGCAAAGAGCAGACGGTGTAGATGATGGTCCACATGCCGATACCCCATCGCCAAGTGGTAGCTTCGAGGACCGCCTGGGAGATGTCACCGCTCACCCAGGTGTTGATAATGAACGGGAGAGCGGGAATGTAGGAGAAGAGGAGACGGGAACGAGTGGAGGTGATATCGGCAATGATAACTTCCACGAGGAAGATGATCATCGTGTAGCCGACCTGGTAGATGACGGAGCCGCCGGCAAAGGTTTCAATGTTCTTGGCAGACGCCTCGACAATGGTGCCGACGACGTAGAAGACGACAGAAGCGCAGATGAGCTCGACACGGCCAAACACGTCGGCAATCTTGGCCGAGGTGGGCTGGGCAGCAGCAGCGATGACGGCTCGGATGACATTGATGGAGGCGTTGAGGGAGTGCTTCCCAAAGTCGGCGGTGGCGGTGGGTTGGTAGGCGTAACGCAGCGTGCCGTCGAGACCGTACGCGTAGGCGATGAGGAATACGCCGAAGAAGATGAAGACGCGATCCCACCGGGTCATGACGGAGTGGATGGCTTCCATGCGCAGCACACCGGGGACTTGGTGTCCTCGGAGACCTTGTCCTTGGGGCCCAGGATGGGGACGGTCGTCTTCTCATTGGTGTAGATGGGGCCATCCTCGCCGGGCTTGGACGCGAGGGCCGCGGGCACCTCGGCGTCGTGGGTGGTAGCCATGGTAGATGGTAGGGGTGAAGAAGGGAAGAAAGACAAGATGATCAGGGCTTCGCTTCTCGGCTAATCCAAGGACACGCCGGGCGGAGAGTGTAAATGCAGGTCTTGTGTCAGCAATTTGAATGCCTTCGACACTAGCACACGGGTACAGAGGCAGAAGATTGCTTCCGGGAGCGCGATGGGTGTTAGGGCAAGAAGAACGGTCGAGGGGTGAGGGGTGGGAGACTGTCCATCTTTAAATGATTCCGCCGATCTTCGACGGCCGCTTCTCACATATTAACCATGTGGGTTGCCTCGAGGCAGGGAAGGGGAAAAAACGATCCAGTGGGACCATATTATGGGACAAGCTAGAAAAAAAAAAAAAGTAGGGTCGCCCGGGGTGGGTCAAGGACGCAAGCGAGCCTAAACACAGGGACGATGTGATAGCTGGGCGCGGTACCGCAGCTTGCTTTGGTAGTAGGAAAAAGCACTTGATCTCCATCGAAATCAACCTGGTAATCCTGATGTCGCAGTTACCTGCTCGGCTCAGGACGGGGACACAATGGGGCCCATGCCGTCCCCAATGGTATGGACCCCATTAAACTGCATGGGGGACCGAAATGCTCGCCGAACTTGGTAATAGATGTACGTGATGCATGCGCACTCTCCCCAATCTCTTTTTTTTTTTTTTTTTTTTTTTTCTCTTTTCGCCCTTCCCTGAATTTGGGCTTCTCTCGCCTTCAGCTCACGGTTAGTGACCTAATAATCCCCACCCGAGATGCTCTTGAGCGACCTTGCCTCCCCCACCCAGCCTGTCATGGATGTCGTCGATGGCATGAGGCGGGAGGAGAGGATAGGTCGCACACCGGACATATCGGGTGCAGGCCCTCGAGATCGAGCTTCAAAAGTATCAAGGGAGTGTATTCTCTACCCTGTACTTTAGAAAGCGGGGAGAGGCCAGGACAAAAGCATTTCTTCCCTTCTTACATCTTTTGGGTTCACCCATTTCCGCTTTTGGTGGGCGGAGATTGATAAGATTTACTAGTGGCGCCAGAAAAGTATGATAAAAATTTTTAGGTAGTGTCGTTTCCTTTTCCTTTTCCGTTTTTTTTTTCTTTTCTTTTCTGGGCTGGCTGTCCTACTTTTTATCAGATCCAAGGATGATGGATCTGATAAAACACTTGGCGAGACCAAAGTGGGAGCTAATATGCCAGAATGGTGCGTGACACATGCTAATAACGCACATGTTTTGAAGGAGCGCAGACCAAGCGGACTGGGGGACAAGTTCGCAAAGCGCCCCTGGGGTATCATTGGCCATGAGGAGTTCATGGTGATCATCCTTCTCATCCGATATCGCCGTCGGAAGGAAACATGCCATTGATCGAAGCGGCGATGGGAGGAGCGAATATCGAAGCTACGCCAAGTGAGCAGGATTGGCAGTGAATTAATGACTTGAGCGAATCCTTCCGTCTGCTGTTCCGGCACGGCAGCTGGAGGTTACGTCGCTGGAGTGTATTGGCTTGTGTACCTCTTCGCAAAGGGTGTGTCTGGCGGTACTGCTACTTGCGAATTCAGCATCGGTGGACTTCCACGGCGCTCGATTGGGGTTTTGAAACAACCAACTTCCTTTCCAGGATCCCAGAAGGAGCAGGCTGGGGGCCGGGATCAAGGGCTTTCGGGGCCGGCCTCCCAGTCATTGTCATTACTTCATGCTCAAGCCAGCTGATCACAGCGTCCCGGATGATGGCCGAAGTTTGGTTCTGGAAGAGACTGGCGGAATGGTGGCACCCAAGAGCCAGCCAGCCCCTCACCCTACGCCTTCGGTCCTTCCTCCACTTTCCGTCTCTTGTTCCTTCTATCTTCGGCTCGACTTTATTGCATTTGTCCTGCCCTTGCCCTTCCCCTTCTATTTTCCTCTTTGCTCACATAAACGTTTTCATACTAAATCAGAAATTTGCGCCCTCGAGACAGACCATTAGCCGCTAGTTTCTTTTCATCGTTCGCATTCACTCGGTTGGGGAATTTTTTTCCCGCTGCTATTTTGGCGCCAGACGCCCGTACCGGCGTCGTCCGAGCGCCAGCATGTCTCCGGGAGGTGGGATTCGGAGCGATGGAGGGGCGCGCATTAGCTTTCGCTAATCGAGTATGGTGCAGGCGAGCAGGAAGGGCGTGGCGCATGCGCGAGCCAGACATGGTGGGGAATCCTGCATCGTTGCGCAACTTTTTTGAGAGCTCGAAATTCGAATGGGAGAGGGAATGCCCAAAAGGAAGTCGCGTTTTGGATTGCACTAATCTTTCCCATCGCCATCTTGCGTGCTTGATTGATTTGACCCTCTGGATTTCCTGCAAGTTTGTTTCTCTTTGGGTCCCTCGCATCAGACACAATGGATCAATCGAGCGCACGTCTTGACGAGAAGTGCAGAGATGTTTGCAGAGTCAAAGTGGGAAAAAGAGCACTCCATGGTGATCAAAGACACGACAGCCAAGCTGCCGGCGCCGGGAATAGTGGAGTGCGTGCTGTGAGCTGCTAGTGATCCCGGCGGTTTTAGTTCCCCCAAGACCCGGCAGAGGCAGCACGACAACCGTATGTAGCGGACCAGCCGTTCCTTTTTCTTCATTTGATCTTTTGGGCCTCTTCCCTTCCTTTGATGTATTTCACCCTCCAAGTCGTACAAGTATGTACATTTTAGTGTGGGGGTAATACTCCTTTCGCAGCTTGGCAACTTTTAATGGTACAAAGCCGCCAAGGATCCAGAGACTTCACCATTTTTGCCATGGCAGGGTGCGTGCCCTGTCATTACCAAGGATATTATTTTTTTCTTCTGCTTTTCTTTTCTTTCCTTTTTCTTCTCCAGCAAAGGCGAACCCTTGTCAGCGCCTCCCCAGATGTGGCGCGTCGGAAGCATGCGAAAGCGGTGCTTGTACTGCTTCGGCGGGACAATAATTACGCCGCCTATATCCGAGGAGCGTGAATGTCGACCTCCTGGTTTCTTTCTTTGTTGGTTCTTTCGTCGAGGCTGGATTAGCAGCAGCATGCAGACGCATCTATGGATCCATGTATGTGGCTGGAAGGACGGGTCCAGCTCGAACAGTTTTCTGGAATAGGGAGGCGGCAAATGGACAATAACTTGGCTTACGGGTTAATAACAGAAACTCAGGCTCGGGCAAAGCCTACGGACACAACACAGCTTGGCCTATCCATTGGCCGCCGCCAACTGCAGCTCGAGGAGAAGAACTATTCCTTGTCCCGGGAAACACGAGGTAAATCGTCCAAGTTTTCCTGGCCATGTCGGTGTAAGATCGGCAGGCCCGAGGGGCGGAATGGATCAATATGGATGGGATGGTTTGCGACGTTACCCCTCCCCTTCATCGATCAATTGGAAGGTGTGGGCGGCTTTCCGTCCCCACTGGAGGAGACCAGTTCTTGGGTGCATCTACTCGTTGAAGAAGACATCACCGCCTCGGGATAGATCAACCGGTTAGTGAGCGAGGGTTTTGGCGGTCCGCATTGAAACAACGGAAGAAAAGGACCAGTCAACGATACCAAGAGCGGAGATGCTTCTCCCCTGGTATTCTTCTCCGAAAGCACGTCGACTAATACCCTTGGCGAGAAGAGAAGAGCGAAAAATTTGGTCTTCCAATAGTGGGGAGCGGGGAGGCAAGAGATCAAGGGGATCCATCGTTCATCTCCTCTCCATCCTGGATGTGAATCCTTCTCGTCCTCCGTCAGACGGACGGACATGCTATTACATCTCTAAATCGCTCAAGCTCCACGACCTTCCCTGCCACTCCCGCCAGCAACTTTCTCTTGACGGGTATTAGGCTTTCCCATCGTGCCTTGCGGCCTCGTGGTAAGTCGATGCCCACATAGCTTGAACGTTGGCGTAACCCACGGGAGGGTCTGCTCGGGCGAGCCGTCGTGGTCGTGAATTGTGGGCACGGCTATCCAAGAGCCCCACCTACATCTTCGAAGAAGCGAAGAAGAAAAACTATCGAACTCGCCATCCACTCTGAAATGGCTTCTGAAACTTTTTTTCCTTTCCCTCTCAATGGATCAATTGATGGATCAATATTTCCGCCGCCGCCCCATCCCTTCCAGTGGGGCGAGCTTGCGTCTACACTATACTAAACGCACATATGCCGGGAGCTTACTTCTCGTCCTCGTCTCTTGTCTGCCAGCACCACCACGCTTTTCAATTAATGTTATGTAAAGGAGGAAGCACACACCACCTTGAAGCCCCCAAGCCTTGCGCTCTTAGCTCTTGGCTGGTGGAGGCGGGTTCTCTTGGCCAGGGCGCCCCCTTGCTAGACACCGCTTCAGCACTAGCCAGGCCTAGGAGATCAGCTTGTCATGGAGATGGAGCTAATCGATTGATTATATCCCCATGGCGCTGTCGACACACGGGCACCTGATTTTCTATTCCGTGTGTTGAAGAAGGAGGCGGTCGACAACGATTGAGTGCATCAGGAAGCTAGACAAGCATTCCAATCCGACTGATTTCCGGGCTTGGTGCGCATCCGCTCCAGTGCGTCAGTGCTGCGAGGCAGGCAAGGATCAATCGCTGCATGATGCGGGTTGGGGGAAGTGGGGGAAACAAGTTCAATGGCCTGGCCCAAGCCAAACTACAAGTGGTAGTATTAGCTTCAAGGCACAGAGGGTGTGCCTTGAAGCTAATACTACCGGCACTGTGCTTGTAGGCCAGTGCTGGGTTGTCCACAAGGCTGGTTCGGCGCAGGCCACCCTATTCGTTCATCTTACGAAACTCTCCTCTGACCCTTGTCTGTGGACGGCCTAGGTTCCCTTTTTTGTCAACACGACCTGCCGATTTTCTGCATCATTCCTTTCCTCGCCGAGGGTTTGGCCGAGATAATCAATCACCTTTGTCCTTGTTCGAGATTTGTTTTCCCCTTTCTCCACTGGAGCGAAAACGGCGGGTCTAGACGTGTTTTTGGCATTGACCCGATCTTATTTATCTATTTTATCTATTTTTCGTTGTCTGACTTGCGGACAACCAAGTGTCGGAAAGGCCGTTGAAAGAAATTTTGAACGAAAGCGGCAGGAAAAGTCCCTCGACTGGTTGTCAAGCTCGACATGTAAACTGGTAGACTAGCGTGGACCCTCACCATCACAACCTTCAATCCTGACCGTCGACTGACAATGCGACTAACCATTGACCCCCAAGGATGATTCACCCATGCCCCTTTGTTCACCATGACAGCGAACTGCATGATCTCCCTCGAGATGACATACTTCGTAGCAGGTCGATGGTACGGGACCTAGGAGGATTAGGTTCGTCTTGCCTGCCAGTGCTGCTCACTCGATCCGCCTTGCCCCCAATTGTACCTACGTCTGCTTTTTACTTCCCACCTTGCCGCGTACTCCCCTTTGCTCTCGCTCCCTTGGAAAATCATACTGGCGTCTCTGGCTTCAATACAAGTTGGCCGTTTGGATTGATCGACGCTATTTATCTCCAAGCCCCCACCTCCCTCCACCCTGAGAAGCGGAATGAAACGTCGACATGCGGCGACTTCGTGGAGAAATACCCGACCCATGGCGCTGGATATCAGGAGTGAAAGAGAAAAAAATCCAAGAAATGTAACTCTCTTCTCTCATCAAGTATCCGGCCGTGCCAACAGAAACGACGTTGTTCGATCATGGTCCACACCATCGAACTATTTGAGTCTCGACTCGAATCATTTGATATAGCAGGCCGGCCCTTTTGCGCCTGCACTTGTCGAGTCAGGGCCGCTACCATTAGCCCCGATATTTGACCATGCGTATTGCCCGTGAATCAACCGTAATCCGAGCCTGGAGGAGAGCACGAGGACAAGGGGCAAAAAGAAAACTTGTCTATTGTCTACTCGGTATGCGGCGTCGTTTTCAGAACAATCCCATTCACCTTCTCCTCTTCAACGCCCTCGGTGGCCGTAACATGAGATCCTTGGGGTCTACGTTGTTCTGGGCCATCCTCAAATGCCCGGTCTCATGACCAGCCTCCTTCATATGCATGGTCCCGCATACACTACTCTGCAGTGGCCTGCAGTTTATTTTGTTTTGCTGCTTGTCGGCTTTTCCTTTGCCTCGCCTGCTCCCCCACCGCATGCAGGATGCGCGAAGGGAAGTGGGACCCGAGTTTGTGATCATTCACGCTCGTTGACGCTTTGCGTTTTGTTCCCGTATCTGCAGCAGCGACAAGAGCCGGCCGGCTCTTCGTAAGTCGGGTACGGGTATCCTGAAATCTGATCTGGGGTTCAAAGGTTTCCATGTAGAGGTACAGGTACAACTTGTGAACTGGTTACGACCTCGTTGTGACTTACAAGTATTATTGAGTTTGAGCCAACCCAGCGCGCGGTGGCCCAATAGCTGCCGACGAAGCTTTAAAGATTGATAAACACTGCGTTCAAGAGCATGACCCTGGCGAAGTTGATTGTGGCCTGCTGTCGGGCGAATCGGCGCTAGACCAACAAAAGTAAGTGATCACGCTTTGCCTGGTATGCTCAAAAAGAATGACCGACTAATATGTAACTGAGCATAACAGTTCGCCCCCTCCCAACTGTTGATGGTCAGTCAACAACGGGATGCACGGCCTGGCCTGGGTGATTAAGTGTTCAGGGCCTTCTTCTTTTTCACCCGAGCCCTAATTGATCTCTCGTACCTCGAGGCCCTGGCGCCAACACTAGCCGCCTGCCTCGTCACCTTGGTACCTTACCCACCATAAACGTCAAGCGCTGCAACTTGCATGTCTGTTTTACGTCAAGGGTCCCCCTTCATCACAAATCGGGGAATCGAGATGATACTGACTGCAGAAGGGGAAGTACTAGTGGAGAAGGAAAATACGTAGATGTATAGCACAAGGGTGACGGCACTCTGAGGCTCAGCGTGGCTATCGTCCCATGAGACCTCGGCGCCTCTGCAGAGGTTGGAGGGTGTAGTCCGTTATCCGTTATCCGATCCATATGTCAGGATATTCTCGCTCCTGCGAGGAGCTGGAGCTTTTGCACTTGCCTGTTGGGCATGCTCGACGTAGCGATACCGCATTGACAGCGTGGTCTCTATTGGACAACGGCAGCAGTAGTGAGGGACATAGACTGCCCATGTTCTGCTCGCCTCTTGATTCGACAAAGCACCCGAGAGAGCCATTGACCTAACCATAAGTTTTGCCTTGAGCTTCTATTGATGCCTTCATGTTCTTATAATGACTATACTTTATTTGCCTTCACGAATGACTGATATGCGGCATTGTTATTCAACGACCAGCTTCCCGACCTCGGCGCCTATGTGTTGCTGCGGTTTTATGTTGCTCTCAAGCGCACCCGAGTACCTCGGTTGGTCGTACTGATGTCAGTATCTGAGAGCATATAGGTCACTTGGCCTTAACCGGCTTTGCACATATTTCTCTGGTCGTTAGTTTGTCCCAATGCATCTTGCTACCCGTTCAATATAACCCATGGGTGATTTCACGAATGGTCAGCGGACGTCAACCTGAATCTATCATCATGGACACTCGTTACGGTCCATGATAAGAGGAGCTTCAGCTCGGTATCTGATCCCTTTTCTGGCTGGGTTCCACCACCTGACTCACCAGCTCCCCGAGCCTGTATCGTATCTACTTGTATGGGCAGCCAGCCAAGGACGAGGCCGCCAAGCTTAGGTCCGACCGCCCTCTCAGCCCTGGTTTGGTGGGCCATCAAGCGTGGGGGAAGGGGCTGCAGGATACTCTGGCCTATCATCGAAAGCTAACCGCAGTTATTACACAACTTAAATGGAACGGGCTTCGGTTTAGGGATGAAGCACCGAATCAAGTGCTTGTCATGGAGTCCCCGGGTTACCCTTGCAGGTTTTCCCTCATCTTGCAGCGCCCTTGTATCTGAGGTGAGTGGCTGGTTTGAGCTCATATTGGTGCTCCAGGTTGGACAGATGTGTGTGGGAAGCGGACTCGAGGCAACCTGCGTTGGACGTGGCGCCTGCAGCCCAGGATATTGGGAAGCGGCCATGGTGATCCTTGGTTGAGAGCACGCCTCCGTGCCGCGCTATTGTCTTAAGTCTCGCCTGCGTTGAACCAGCTCTCTTCTCACGTGCCCCTCTTTAAACTTACGCTAGTACTGTACCATGCCTCCTGGTCATGGCCGCAGACCGAGTGGTCGAGCATTCATCCATCTTTATTTCGGACCTCGATTTGTCGGTCTGTGGGACGAAGTTTATTATAGTGCCTTTCTTAATTCGTGATTACTGTTTAGCTGTATGCAGGAAGAGGAGAATCGAAGCTAGACGGCGGTGAATTAAACGTAATGATCTCTGCACGTGGGCAAGAACTAGTGCCTGGCCAAGCGTAAAAGGTTGGCAAAAGATCAATTAACGCCGGTGTCGGAATGTTGAGATCCTGCGGTCTCGTCAAGAATTCGAAGCTTTTAAATGCTCTGCCAGCAGAGGGATAGTTACGATAGTGAGAGATACTCTTGTACTGTAAAGCTAACGATGGAATAACTGTGAGATCTATGGATGTTACAGGGACAACGGCTGTTGAGGTTGATAGTGGATCTTAGGTAACATCCACTCCGTCCTGGGGCGGAAGCCTTTCAAAGAATACTCGGCCAAAGCCCTTGGGTCTACCGAGATGCACGGAATGGGCGATTGACGATAGTAGAACGAACGAAGCGTAGAATCTACGGAGCTAGAGGGCAAGGAACACTCTCGGCGTGAACCCGTCAATCGACCTGTCAACAACTTCCCAGCCGTACCGCCGTGGTTTTGTCGATCGATGGTGGATGGATCCATTGGATCCATTCTAAAAGTACCGGGCTGGATTTCGTTCAGAGCAGCAAAGGGAACAGGAGCTTCCCAGCCACAGTGGCAGCTAAGGTACGCCACAACTTTTTTATGGATTGGATCATTGGTGTGTATGTTCTAGAACCACCGCGCACCCGTTCGACTTGAACTTGATGAATGTGACGGTATTGGATTGATCAATGGAGCCTTGGATTTGATGCTCTAAGCCTCTCCACTCGACCCACGCAAACGCAAACAAAGACGCGATATTAACTTGTTCACATCAATTCACCCTAACTCCAGGAATTTTTGTAATCGGATATTTTTAAGCCATGGACGACGAGCTTGAACAGGTAGGCTTTTTTGGTTCTTTCTTTTCCCATGTTTCCCTCTTTCTCTTACCCCTCCATGGCGCGGGGTAGATCGCGCGACACCATCCTGCAGGGACCTCTAGTTATGGCGCGGGGCTGAGAAAAATTCCCCAACTTTGGTTATAGATCCGTAAGGCTCGCCTCGAGCAGCTCAAGTCTTCCGGCGGCGGAAAGGGCGGTGGCCAGCAGGCCGACCAAGAGCAGTAGGTGTTTTCCTCGTCTTCTACAACGCCCCCACGCACGCATCGCATCACTAACCAAGGCGCAACGTTGGCCCACGGACACAGGCAGAAGCGACAGCAACAAGGTAACGCTATCCTAGAAGGGGCACATCACCTCTACAAATGAATTCAGCTGACGTGAGACCTCGACACTTCCGATAGCCGACGCACGTAGATCGATGTTGGACCAAATCCTGCACCCGGAGGCGGCGGATCGCCTCGGCCGTATCCGCATGGTGAAGGAGTCGCGAGCGACCGAGATCGAGAATCGCCTCCTCATGTTGGCGCAGTCAGGGCAGCTCAGGCAAAAGGTGACCGAGGAGCAGCTCAAGGAACTCTTGAACGCTGTAGCAGATAACAAGGAGGAGGAGAAGATCGTGGTGAGCAGGAGGAAGGCGTGGGATGACGATGACGACCTTTGGACCTATAATTAGGAGGATGGTATTGATTGGCTTTGCCTTTGTGGTATTACAGACTGTCCGCGAATTTTTCAGCGGGAGGTGCGTTGGGGACTGAAGGATCGAGAGCGATACGACGCATCGTGCCCACTCGCTGCCATGAAAATCATGGGATACTAATACAAGAAATGAAAAGAAAGAAAACAAGGTTCCTCCCTTTTGTTCCAAATCGACCACGCCTAGGAAGCTTCCGCCGTGGCCTTCCTCCTCTTCATCTCCTCCCTTGCCTGCTTGCGTATATGCCGCATATCGGGGGCTTCTCTATGCCCAGCTCCGCCCGCAGCTCGCCCACGTCCCTCTCCATCTGCTCCTCCCAGTACACATTGATGACGTCTTTTGCCTTGAGCCCGTTTCTCAGCGCCCAGGGCAGGTACGTTTCAAAGAATCGCTTTCTCTCTGCCGGCTTCAGTGTCAGCACAGACAGAGTGCTCAGCCCTGTCATGGGGATCACCAAGTTTGCAAACTCGAAGGCCTTTAGCGCGACCTCGCCCTCGCGCACGATGGGGAGTCCCGTGAGGGCGTGGTAAAAGTCGTGACACTCGCGGTACCGCTGCATGACGTACGCGCACTCGGCGTCGTCGATAAACCGAACGTGCGGCCGTGTGTCTGGAGAAACCCTTCACGGTCCAACCACCCGACGTAGGCACGCCCTACGCTGTTCTCGGAAGTGTGCGAAGGTACTCGAGGTTGAGGGAGGTAGACGTCATGCGGGGGCGGTCGCGAAGGATACGACGGCCTGTGGGGTCGGCAAGCATGGCGTCGCGAAGACGGTAGATGAAGTATGGGGTAGCAGTAGTCTCGCCGAATGCCGAAATCATATCTATTGTAAGGCCAATTGAATGTGAGCCAAGATACCGGTGATTACGGTAGGAGGGAGTGAGGATGTGGGAATAGAGGTGCACCCGGAAATGAAGAAGAAAAAAGCATCTCCTAGGGCTACCGTGAGCTTGTTGTCATAGACTCACCTCCACGGTACGGATCGAAAAAGAGGTGAGGCCGGACCCAATTGCCAGCGCAGCGCGCTCGATGCGTGTGAGTGGGACATGCCCGGGATAGTTCGGCGGAGGGCGATTGAGGACCGAGAAGGGCTGCGCACAAGTTATGACCTTCACGGGCTGTAGCGCAGCCCGTGAAATCCTTACCGGGGCCCTCGTTAAGCTCATTTCTTGGACCAAATTTTGCGTGAAGGCTTCAGAGCGGGAATGGGAAAAGAAAAAGCTCTGAGCCAACGACGATCTCGCTCCAGCTGCTGCTCCCAAAAACCGTACGATGCAATATTTGGGGAAGAGATGAGGCAGGTAAGCTGTCAACAGCTGACGGTGGCCGTGGCACAGAACATGTGTAGTGCTGTGGCGCCACACCGCCACAGCTCAAGGTGGCTGCGGCACACGAAAAATGACCAAATGAGCGCCTGTTAATTCCTGAGGCACCAATTGGTAATCCAAGGACCGAGGTGGTCTGACTGCAGAACCACTCTCAAAACTGGAAACGCAAAGCTCTCTCCATTTCACCTTTCCGACTTCAGCGACAACGAACGAAAATAGCTAGGAAAGACCAGGCAGCCTTCCCTCGATCACGATGCTCTCCCAGCGATTCACCCGCGGGGCAACCCGATTGAACGCCCAGATGCGTTCCCCGTTGTCCGCTCGACCGTCCAGCGACGATTCAACTCCACCTCCCCCAACGAGTTCGTCAAGGAGCGCCAGCACACCAAGGACCACGCCAACGGCACCACTGGTGAGAATGCCTTCCAAGACGCCGTAGAGGCATGAATAGAAGGGCCAATTGAATGCTAATTCGCTTTTTTCTCTCTTTCTCTTAGACCTCTGGCGAAAGATCTCCATCTTGTATGCATAATCCGGCACTCTGCCACGCGTGATTATTTCTCCCTCTCTCCAATTGGCTCGGTCGCCGACCGTTTCGGCTTGCTCGAGTCGCCGGCGATACAAGTTACTAGACCATGCGCGTTTTTTTCGAAGGCCGAACTGGTGATGCTAACCTTGGTCCCTAGCGCCTGCATTCCTGCCCTCGTCCTCGCCAGCGCCAACGCCTACAAGCTCTGGAACGATCACTGGGAGCACTGGTCTCACCTCCCTCCTCTGGAGGAGCGCACCGAGTACCCTTACCAGAACGTCCGCTCTAGGAACTTCAGCTGGGGTGATGGTGACAAGGTATGTAACATCTCCCCATCTTTCCAAGCTGTCTTGTACACCATGGCCACCTGACTAACGCTTTGTTTAGACTCTTTTGTAAGCAAGCCTAACTGATGTGCCCTCACATCAATCAGTGAACCCGATGACTAACGAAGCAATAGCTGGAATGAGAATGTCAACTACCACAACCACGACAAGGTTAAATAAGTGCATTGCCTCTGAGACCCTTGCTGAGCGAGCGTGACGTCGAGGACGACCTTTGTTATTAGCTCGGGAACGAGCAGGGGGACGAGGGGTAGTCGAAAGGATTAAACCGAGATCTTTGAATCAACACTTGTACACACGCGTTTCCTAGACTAAGATATACTAGAACCTAGAAAATCTGCCCGGATTTGCTGATGTTCTTGAGCACGTGTGATTGTCGACTTGGCGTGGTGAGATCGGACAACTCGCTACGACTAAGGATGTTTGAAATCAAGGTACGAGGCCTTGACTTCCCGTTATATCTGGACTAGCGCGTCGTTCCCATTTCCTCAATCTGCCCAACCCGATGTTCATGCCCAAGCCTTGGACGGGGCGGTACTTCCGTCAGAAGGGAATACTTATTTCACATTAACCAGCCTCAATTCTGTGATGGGCTGGGAGTGTTGGTATAAGTGCTGGCTTCCCTCTGACTACCTCCGATCAAATTTATGCTGCGGGATCAACAGGTGAGAGACGGATATTATCCTTAAAAATCGAAGACTTGAAATTCTGTTTCACGTCTCCTTACGCCTAGAATACATGTGAGCCCTCGGTTTTGTTGTTGCCTTTCCTAATTATACCTCGCTATAACAAAGGAAATCGTAGAACGGAAGAAAGGGAAGAAGATACAAAGGAGATAGAGGCCCTGACTGAGCCCTTTTCATCTAATCATCCGGTCGTGAACTTAGCCGTCCCTCGGATGGGGAGAGGGCGGGGGTAAGAAGCCATTCTAAACGCTCTGCTATGCCGCGTGCAGATTTGCAACTGGCAATGCATGTACCAAGGCAAGATTAAAAGGGAAAAGTCGTAGATAAAGGAAAGATATTATGCGGCCAAAAGACCGGGAAGTCCGAGTCTGGGAGGCGCGGAGCTGTCAAAGCCACGAACCCGCTCATCCAGGGTAGCCGAGAGCCCTGCCCTGTGTGGCTGAGAGAGACAGGACGGTCCTCTCTTACCACCGCCTGTATGGCTTCAAGATGCCTGCTAGGTTCTAGGGCTGTGCTTCGAAGGCTTCTTCTTTTGAAAAAGTAATAACCTTGAATGGTGGTTTTGATGTACACCAAGTGTAAAGGGACTGAAGCTCAGCGCCGCCACTTCTTTGATTTATCTTCGTCGTCCGTTTGAGATTCTGTTTAAGAATCGGGAGAACTGTCGCCTGGTACACGAGAATGGCGTGAGTTTAGCTCCCAAGTTGTAGACTGTCGAGCTGGCATACCTTCTTCCCCTTCTTCGTCATCATCGTCATCCTCGTCGTCGTCGTCGTCATCGTCGTCGACATCCTCGTCTTCGTCCTCTTCCTCATCTTCGTCTTCGTCTTCATCTTCTTCATCACCTTCGCTATCTTGACCTAATCCATTCCCCTGTCCTTCTCGAGGCAGGGTCAACCTAGATGTGAGGTCTGTTCGCCTCGCAAGGCGCGCGATCCCAGCGACCTCGGCAGCTTCAGCAACAACCATGCGATTCACCTGTCGAGCGAGGGCATAAGGATGAGGGCTATAAGGGCACTCAATGATCCCTCCATTCCGGTAACGGTGGACGCCGGTCACGGGGTGCTTCCCCTGGGTGCATCCTTGGGCGGCGACCGCATCGGTTGTGGATTTAGTATAGCACCACAAACACGACAACGGAGCTGAGAGCGTCTAGGTCTGGAGGGTTCCGGGCTCCCCTTGTCGTCTTTGTCATGGGAATCATCGTGATTGCTATCACTTCCGGACAGGTCGGAAGGGTGGCGGTTTGAAGGAAGTGCATGCAACGCCATGGCTATCTGGTTGGGATGGGGTTGGCTAAGTTGTCTAAGGGGCTAAGAATATGCTCAGGACCGGCGCTGGCGTTTAAAAAGTGTAGGAACGAGTAAGCGAGAGAAATCCAACGCGGGGATCGACGGTAAGTTTGTAAAAGATCTAGTAGAAGGCGCACTGGGAGGTTGAGGGACAAGCAAGGTTTTTAAGTCGTTGCGAGAAAATCGAGGATTCACCTTTTTTTCTTGCACGAGGTCCGGACCCTAGAATACGAGTCCCTGACGACTGCCCGAGGGGTTCAAGGATCGGAGAAAAAAAGAACGTGGACGCGCTCTAATCCCCTTGCTCTGGGGCGTGTGTACACTACAGCTCTTTCTATTCTCCTTTTGTGTTCTTTTGTTTTCTTTTCTTTTTTCCCTCGTCCCTTTCGTTTCCGGCACAATGAAATGGAATAAAAAACCCTCGGAACAATAGCTTACCGGTATCGCGGCCGCTCGGTGCGTTGCCCCTTGTGGACGGGTTTGAGGGAAGGGGGCGCCTCCATCCACTTGCCACTAAAGAGGTTTCGTTGGGCTGTCAGAAAAGGTCATCAATACAGCTGCACAAAGATCATGTCCCTGGACATCGATGCGGGTTTTGGAAGTGGGACGACAGAAAGAAAGTCTCCGCTCCCACAAGCACATGGGTGTGTTGAATGGCCGGTAGGAGTACCGGGCCTACTCAACCACATGCGGCCTTGACAGTATGCGTCAATGGTGCTGTCAGGGTGTTTCCTCTCGAGGCCGTATTGACGACAAAAACCATCGTAGAGGCTGGCTCATTTCCCATCTCTTTCTCGGTGCATGGTCAAGCCTTGACCAGGAACCCAATATGCAAAGTTCTCTGCCCAACAAGAGACCAGGTATTAACCTTGCTATTTAAGATTTAAGATATAGATATACCCATATGTGGCAGGGCATATATTTTCGTCAAAGAAAATTCTCAACTCCTCATAGCTCCGTTGATCGGCTGGGTATTGACGGAGCTGGGGGTGGTGCTTGGGATACAGGGTAGACATGGATCCCTATGCCCTAGCCCTGAATCGAAGAGGCGAAGGGCAAACCTTGGTATGGTTGACTTCCTGTGTGAGCTGTCAGGCACTTCCCGATGCAGCCTACACCCCTTTCCTGCACCAGCTTGACTCTTGCACGATAGAGAGACCTTGCCGTCGATAACGGCCCGATGAACGAGGCACAGGCGGGGGCTCGGGGAGAGGGGGCTCTAATAAACCTGCTTTGAGAGGCAAGGACTGAAGAGCCTCCAGGAAGATCCACCCGCCATATTGCCGATTCTCATGGTCGGGGACCGGATGAAGAGAACCGCCTCAGATTGTCCCCTCATGCAGGTAGACGCGAAAGTTCAAGCCCATGACCTCAATAGTATCACTGCTGCTTGAAGGAGGGTGGAGCAGAGATGGGCCATCCTTAACGAAGTGTCTGGGGATCCAATTTTTTTCTTTTCTCGACGGGAGCGTACATAGAATAAGAGATCACTTGGTACTCCCAGAATGAGAAAATCTGAACTAGAGAATCGGGTTCAAAGTCGTAGTCGTGGCGTCGCTAGCCATGGCTGTCACTGCGGTCCTAGACAGCACAGTGCACCCATTCCACGCAACATCCATGGATCCATGCACTAAGATCCTGGTAGCTGGGTTTTCCTCTCTTTTTCGACGGACTTTTTCCCCATGCTTCTTTTGTTTGTTTGGCTCCCGCTTTCGAGTAGTCGATTCCAAGTAGCCTGAGCAGTCTGAAGGGCAGCGTGAGGGAGAGGCCGGGGAAGATTCAAACAAACCCCAAAACATATACCGAGGCAGAGTGGGAAGCGCCAAACTCTCACCATAAATCCGCCCAGCTAAGACCGTCACTTTTTTCCTTTTTCTTTTTTTTTTTTTTGTGTTGCTGGTTCCTGCGCTGCGGATGGGAATCCTTCCACGAGCGAGCCGGAGGATTCATCAAGATGTCAATGTTAAGATGGCGAGCGAAAGCACCCCTTTTCCCTCGTTCTTCCCCGTGGCTACCCCTCTATTTTCTGGATCATGGCAGGACCCTAGTATCTAGTGCAAGGTGAAAGATGTTGAGCGATGAAAGGTGACTGGGCAAGGGTAGCGATGTGGCCGAAGTCATGCAGGACTGTGACACTCCGACCAGGAATCTGGTATAATGGCTAAAGCCGAAGCCACCACCACGTATTTCGCCCCATCCGGGTCTCAAATCAGGTCGAGCTCGGTATGTAGGCGAAGACAAGCCGGGTGATGATGATGAGAATCCACTAGCCTCGTGGCCCCGTGCTTGCTTCTTTTCTCTCTCTTCGCATCCTGCAAGCAACCTCATCTCGACACATCCATTCGGCTTCTGGTGAGCCCCTCGTTGACGCTTCTTTCTGATGCAGGAAACGTATGCCTCGCACGGCTCCATTGAAGCAAATGCTCCAATCGTCAATGCTGGTCTCTGAGCAGTTAGTTAAAATGCGGTATCGCCATGCCGCAGTATGCACCCTGCGCGTGACCTATCACTTTTCTTTCCTTTTGCCCCCTTCTTCTTGTTCTTCTGCACCTTCTGCCCCCTTCCTCCGCCCCTTTGATCCCTTATCATCAGAATTTGGTTTCCTTTCTTTTTCCACACTCGCTCCCCCTCTCCTCCACATATTTAACATTGCAGCGCAGCAGGAGTTCCCCGTCGGCATCGGGGAAAGTCGGTGGGCGCGAGGGAAGCAGAGCCCAAGGCGTCCCAGTGTGTTGGGAGTCTGAGTCGTGCGCTGCCAGCCTGGCATCCTTCGTGGGGTCCACACAATTATAGGAGAAAGCTTTAAGGAGGCTAATTGAAGGTGATTCAACCCTAGCGAAATTGCTCTGGGAATTTGTTGGTGGTTGTTAAGTCGCACAGCAGATTCTCAAAACCACTTCCTTCGAGGTCGTCAGCGACGACGAGACGACTAAGCCTCTTTGCCGTCCCTTGCCAGGTCTCCTCAACGCGAAACAGAGTGAATCAATGATTAATATGAACTCGGCCACTTCCCAGCCGTTTCCTGCACGAGATCGGTGCATCATTGTGAAGACGAGTTACACGATGCAGAAGGTCCTTCGAGTTTGAAAGGTTCCGACCATCTTTGTTGGCTCGGGCAGCCGTACACAAATGCTGCATCAACCCCAAGTGGAGGGAGGATTGAAGAGGGTACCTGCAGGGGTTCAAGGGCAGGAATTTAGCTTCTGCAACGCGTACAGCAGATCCATTCGAAGTCCAAATTTTCGTCAACACAGATGTAGACTAACGCTTCGCTCACCTGGCTATGAACTCCTGCGAGGCGATTTGCGATACTTACTTTTCTCCGCAAGAGCAAGGTTGGGTGCTGGAGCAGGAGCCCATCGTGTGTGGTTCCATTCTTGGCTGAGGGAGGGTGAGTTCGACGTGGTCCCTGCTCAGCGCCGACTACCCGATGCGGCCAGCTTGAGGGGAGGCAGATAGTGCGAGACACTAAAAGTCAAGGAGCTGCGGCTTCTGAGACCTTCGAACTCGACAGCGGGAGACACGAGGGAAAGTGGGGAGGGCAACACGCCCGCTGGGTCTTGAGGTGTCGAGGTGTGGTGTCCTGCATACCCACCGCACGCTCTCTATGTATTCTTTGACCTAATTTTGCTAAAATATATCCTGTGCATCCGGGATCAGATTTTGATATGTGACCGCGATGTTAGCGCACAGAGAGAAAAAGGAAAAGAAGAAAAAAAAAAAAAAAAAAAAAAAGAGAAAAAAAGAGGTGAAAGGGAAGAGGTGGGGACTGCCAAAAGGTTGGGAGGTGGGCCGCGGGCGGTGCCGCGGGCGGAGGTGGCCAAACCGGCACCTAATACCGGGGCTCGTCGGACACCCTCCCTAGCTTCTTCTTGCACTGGCCGCCTTTTTCGTCCCGTCAGCCCTCAGCTCATACTTTCATCATCTTTCCCTCAGCTTGTTGGCCAAGGGGGAACTCTTGACTGGCTCGATCATCCCCACTTGCGGCGGAATGCACTGGTATTGGTGGTGTAGCAGAGCGGGGCGGCGGGCATTTGCCGCGGAGGCAGCTGCTCTTAGATCAATTAGATCTATCCATGGGTCTCAAGCTTGGATTTTGATGTATTGATTGATGTATGCCCATGCCCTTGCACTCGTCTGCGTCAATTGATGTTTCCAGAAAGTCGAGGTCCACAGGGCCGCAGATTTCGGGGAGGGGCGCATACATTCACACACAGCTCTTGTTTCTACAGAGCCTTCATCTCTCTCTTCTTTTCCTTTCTACTGCATTCTTTCGTCTGAACGATTTGGTCATCTTATTTTATCTCGTTGTTCCTTCTCTTTTATTATTATTATCTTTATAGCTGATGGGGGCCGCGTTAGTGTCGGCAGCAGGCAAGAGATTGTTGATGGCTGCCAGTCTTGTTCTTCATCGAGGTTGTTCGCTGAGAGGGAAAATTTCCTCCTTCTTGACGCATATCCCAGTATTTGATGTGATTTACGCATGTTCATCGGGTATACTGATTGCACGAAGGTACTTTGGAGTAGCTTCACAGGTCTCTATCCATCTTGGAGGAGACTGACTTGATCTATTACTTGTTCTCCATTGCATGAGAAGAGGTTTGTCCCGGTATCTTGTTTAGCAGCTGAGGGATGTTGTGGGACCCGGTGCCGTCATCCGTCATCTTCCTACCAACATTTTTTCGCCAGATTGACCTGGGACCAATCTTGATTCTTGCCGAACATTGAAGGGTTCTGGACCACACCATTGATGGGCTACCCTTCTGGGCAACATGTCGGCTTTTGCTGGCTGAACTGGGTGAACGCCCTAGGAGAAAAGTCTCCGGATCCTTCGCTCGATATTGGCGTTTAGCAATCGACACGGAATAAGGCCTCTGCGAGGGGCGGAAGGGGTGGCCGTGGACTGCCAGAAATGGATTTCATGGAGAAAGGGGAAATAAAAGTTCGGAATATTACCTTCCCAGCTGCCGTCACAAGGGTCCAAGCCGCCCACCGAAAGACGCACTGTGAGCCACACCAAGCTGAACAGGGCCAACATTTGAATGTGCCAGCGCGAATACCACCTACCGGCAGTCGATCCGCGCAAGTGGCGGCGCTGCGGGTAGCCTGTAGTGGAGCTCGCTACTGCAGACTCAGACTCACACACTCACGTGATTTCGCGGCTGACGGGACAGACAACGTCTTCTGTGCTGTGTGTTGGAAGGGCGTTGCTACGCGTGATGTACGTAAATTGTTAGACGTGCACTCACGCGGTGTGTGGCAACAGAGGGATTGGCGACGTCACCAGTCAAATGCGCCCTATCTCTACCAAGACCAAGTCAACGAATACTGTTGGCAACCAAATCGGTGCGACGTGATCGTCTGATTTGTTGCTTCTGTTAGGTATCTCTTGCTGCGAGTCTGACTGTGTATCGTTCTTCTGCGTCTTGGAAGTAGAACTCACCTCTTCGCCTGCATGACACCAGCGATTAGTCGCTCCTCTAGCATTATCCAAACAACTCCGCCGCGCAACAGCGTAATTATTGGGTCTGGTTATGGGGCGCTTCAAGGAAGCGAGGGGCTTAAAAATATTCTAGCGTGATTAACGGCTTCGACGCCCAATGCCCAACGCTGCTCCGAAGGAACTGGGTCCCACTGTCATAAAGAAGCTGGGAAACGAGCCACGATGCCTCTCCGGATAACAACTTGGAATGGTGGGAATTTCCCTCTTTATAAATCAAAAATATCGGTGCAGTCACATGAAACTAACAATATCCGGCCGTGTAGTAAACGGTATAAGGTTAGTAACGGAGTTCGCAAGAGACGAATATGGAACGAGAAGATAGAGCTCTCTGACAACTAGATTTCTTGCAGAAATCCGTTTTCTTACCAGCCGTGGAATCAGACGCGTTCGTTTGAGGTGAGTTTTGCACTCTAACCCCCATTTTGCTTTTGTGGGTCATATCTACCGTTTCGCCAACTCTGACATCTGATAATGGAAGGCCATGTTCGATATATTGGAGGCCGATATTGTAGTGATACAAGAGACTAAAATTCAACGGAAAGATTTAAGGGATGACATGGTCCTCGTTCCAGGCTGGGATGTGCACTTTAGTCTACCGAAGCACAAGAAGGGTACGTCTTCTGAATACTCATCCTCGTCGAACTTGCCTGGCTACGTGTTTTCTTTTTTCGGTTGTTTTTGTTTGTTTTGTTGCCTAACTCACCACCTATCTTCTAGGTTACTCTGGGGTCGCAATCTATACTCGTACCTCAAAATGCTGTCCGATCCGTGCTGAAGAGGGGATCACAGGTGTCTTGACCCGTCCTAATTCCCAGACCAGTTTTAGAGATCTCCCCGTCTCTGAGCAGATTGGAGGGTACCCGAAACCCGGCCAGCTATCCAATGTTGTCGACGAGGTTACGCTGGATTCGGAAGGGAGATGCGTGATGCTTGAGTTCCCTGCCTTCATTCTTATCGGGGTTTATTGCCCCGCAAACCGGGATGAGACGCGGGATGAGTTTCGCGTGAGCTTCCTCGAAGCGCTTGACGTGCGGGTGCGTAACCTTGTTACTGAAGGGAAACAAGTGATACTCACCGGCGATATGAATGTCGTCTGCTCGGAGAAAGATACATCGAATCTTGCGGAAAGATTGAGGAAGGAGGGACTCACGGTCGAGGACTTCTTCTCTGCGCCTTCGCGCAGATTGTTCAATCACCTTCTTTATGAAGGTCGCGTGTTCGGCCCCCGTGATAGCGATAAGGATCCTATTCTTTGGGATCTATGTCGAATTTTCCATCAGGACCGAGAAGGCATGTTCACGTGCTGGGACACAAAAAGAACACGCGCCCCGCAAATGTGGGAAGCCGAATCGATTACGTCTTTTGTAGCAATGGCATTAAAGACTGGTTCATCGACGCTAATATCCAGGAAGGCTTGATGGGCTCAGACCACTGCCCTGTATTCGCCGTGTCTTTGGAGAACGTGATACACAATGGAGCGCATGCGCATCTCCTCGACCTGATGAACCCAAAGGGTATGTTTCATCATGGCAAGAGACTGAGAGAGTGGTCAAACAAAGATCTCTTGCCATCGTCAGCTCGGCTGATTCCAGAATTTGATAAGCGTCGCAGTATCAAGGATATGTTCATGAAGAAGGCGCCACCTGCGAAGAGCGGGTCAACGACCGACTCAACGCTCAAGGCCGGTCAAATTTCGTCTTCAATAGCAAGCGATGATGGCCGCGATGCCACCTACTCCAGTTCGACTACCGCACCCCCGACACCACAGAACCTACCCGAAACTGGAGAACCCCTCCGGAATAACCATGCCTTTTCCGGACCAATGCCTATCGATCCACCGATAAAGAGGCCCGCCGAGGCATCCCCAACTAAACCTTCTACACGGGCAAATAAGAGACTGAGACCGGCCCAGACCCAGATGCCTATGCTAACCAAGACGGCCTCGGGACAAAGCACCCTCAAGGCCTTCTTTCAGCCCAAGTCGATTTCGAATAGCCCAAAGCCGGCGCCGATGCCGAGCACGACTGTAGCCAATGTTGAGACAGCGCCTGAGGATGCTTCAGCCCCGATACTCACTACCGCTGCGCGGTTGCAGGGTTCCGCAACGCCCATTCTAGTAGTAGACGAAGAACTCTCCGAGGATAAAACAGAGGAATCTGACCGCGTGTTTGACCCGATAGAAAACAAAGAGTCGTGGTCGAAGTTGTTGGGGAAGAGGGTGCTGCCGCGGTGTGAACATGGAGAAACTTGCATCAGTCTGGTGGCGAAGAAAGCCGGAGTAAACTACGGTAAGAGGCCACCCGCGTTGCATACTCCCAACAGGGGAACCAACATGTTCATCCCATTTACCCAAACGCGAAAACATTGGCTAACATGCACCTCTTCCTCCCTTTTCAAAGGTCGGTCGTTTTTCATATGTCCCAGGCCACTCGGGCCATCGGGCGAGAAAGAGAAGGGAACGCAGTGGAGATGTGGAACGTTTATATGGAGTAGTGACTGGAAGGAGTCGCGGGCGTAGACAGCAATAGCAGTGGCCTGCGCCATAATGGGTGGTACGGGTTGGACGAGCCGTAGCCTGCGTGTTATTTGAACTCTGTCCATCAACTTTGATTTAGCGCTCTGAGCCTTGTGATTCCGGCTAAACGACGTGAGGTTAAACATATCATTCCATACCTCGCGTATTGAACGCTCGGTTCATCGTCTTCTCTAGAAAACATCAGACTATAGTCGCAATTTCGCGCGGGTACGACTATAGGTCTCGCTACCTTTGCCTACCCATCTCTTCTATTTTGTGGTGAGATCGTTAGGTGAATAAAAAGAAAAGTGAGTACAAGGTATCATATTCCGTCTACGATCAATATCACGATGCTCAAAATTCGGTTTCTTCCTCGCGTACACCGAGTTACCTGCAAAATTTCAACTCGACAGGCAACATCAATATTGTCTAAGGTTTAGGGTGAGAAGGCTGAGGTGGTTTACGACGAGTGACTAAGCACTTATCATCATTCGTTTTTCTCTTTTTCGAAAGTGCTAGTCTTGGGGCAGGACATCGTGAAGTATGGTGGTCTTCATGGTCCAGTTCCCTGTAAGGTGCGATGATTGGTTGAGAAAGCCGCATTCGAGGTCGGGGAGTGGGAGTATTCATGCATCTTAAGCCCTGTTCCAGTCTTGAGGGGGGCCAGCCAGTGTCCTGTATTCATATGGCGTTTTTCTATACCGGAGAAAATATGTCTGAATAGTGTTTTATAGCTGGTTCGGACCTTCCTCATTTTGGATCTCGAAGCTGGATAGGCACCCTCGCAACCTCGCCCCGGGGACGTCTTTTCTGCTGGTCCCTCGTCTGAGTGGGCTACACCTGCCACTCGATCACCCATTATGAAAAGCTGAAAATAAATACTTTTATCTGGCCGTCCCCCTCCTTCAACTCTCTACTCACATCTCAACCACTTCTTACCTTCCACTTCTCGAATACTCACCACTTTGTCCAAGCCTGCTTCAATTCGGTTCTTGATGGATTCGGGTTGAAGGCCAAACCTACAGATAGCTCTTCGTCATCGTCTTTAGCTACGACCTAGGGTCTGGACATTCAACCTCTTTTTCCTCGCCTCAACTCGACCCCCCTCCCCCATCCCAGCAGAGTTCCTGCAGATGATAACGGCATATGATAGCCTGGTGCACATTATCCCATTGCCCACATATACGTGCACCTACCTAGCTACCTACCTACACACACCCCGTCTAATCCCTGCATTTTTCCCTTCTCGCGCCACCCCTTCCCCCAATCCACCCTTACCCTTCCTTGCCCTTTCATTGAGTACCGCTTTTCTTTTCCCTCCTCATAGCGGCCACCCTTCCCCACTGGTACGGAAAGGTTCCTATTACTTCCCCAGTCGACAATAATCACACACACACGTATTAGATATACGTACATACGCACATTACACAACCTCATACAAAAAGAATCGCTAATATCCATGCCATGGCGGACCAAGCCGCCGCGCGCAACCGCCTCGTCGCCTTCATCCGCGGCCTGAGCCCCGAGCAGGTTCTCGAACTCCTCCCCGACTCGACGGTCACACGCCTATCCGAAATTCTCACCGAGCACTCTGCTGGACAGAACGCCTCAATCGTCTCTAGAGACGCTAGCCGGTTCGTTAGCGGTACTGCAGCGGCGGCCGCCGTCGCTGTTGCCACGCCGCCTATGGTAGCGGCCCAGCAGGCAAGCCAAGATGCATCTAGCGTTGCGTCTGATGACACGGACGTCAAAGTCGTCAAGGCAAAGCGTCCTTTGAATGCCTTCATTGCCTTTCGCAGTAAGTGACCCAAGTCTTTGCCCCCAGCACTCCAACGAGGAAAGAAAAGGAGCCGACCTTGCTAACGAACCCGTCACTTGCCGCTACGATGGTGTATAAAGGCTACTATAAAACCATTTTCCTCAAATCACCACAGAAAGAGGTTTCGTCGTACATCACAGGTCTATGGACTGGCGAGCATTTTCGCAACAAGTGGGCTCTAATCGCAAAAGTCTACTCCTTTGTCCGCGATGAGCTTGACCAGACAGATATCAGCCTCAAAGAGTTCCTCGAGATTGCCTGCCCCATTATGCTCGTTGTGCCTCCCGCCAACTACCTTGACGCCCTTGGGTGGGTTCGGGGTCACGATGCCAGCGGTGCTTCCTTCATTGTTCAAGACAAAACTGTCGCGCAAAATCTCATCACCGCCATCGAATCGCAAGACAGCCCAGACACAGAGCTGGAGCTTTTGCTTCGTTGCCTCGCCTCAGGATACATGACTGATCACGCGGACTATCTCGCTGCTAAACTCTCCGCCAAATCAGATGCCATTATGACGCCGACGCTGGTAGCTAGCAATACTGCCGGACCTCGAGAGAGCAGTGCGACCGCGCGAAACGCCACCGCGGCTGCCACGGAGGCTTTCCAGGCATCATACTTCCAACCCATGGTATCGAGCGGCATCGGTGGAAACTCGAACTTTGGCATTTTGCAGGCCGAGCAGCTCATGGCCCACGTCGCCGGCACGGATCTCCAGATGCAGGATATGGGATTTACGGGCTAGCAGCCTGCCCAAGTAACGCAACCTGCGGACATGAACACAATGACAAATTTTGGCCCAACGCTAGAGATCCCCAACGATCTCGGTATCCTCTTAGGCTCCAACAAGGCACTCTTCCCGCCCCAAGCACAGAAATGCGTGCCGATGGGGCTCGCTGGGCAAGCTCCTAACAGCACCGACCCACCGGCCAACTACCAACTCCAGGTACAGTTTGCCAGTGATGCCCAGCCACTCGGATACTCATGTCAAGCTTCACTCAACGGAAGCGAAGAGGGGTTTATGGACCTCACAGCAGCTGACATGGAAGCCGTCAGCGCCTGGGCTACAGCCCCATGCCCAAACTGGAGCTTCTAATTCCTATTTGGAGCATGTGGAAATTGGGCGGTTACCTTCTTCCAAGCCTGCCTTTTCTTTCGTTTTTTTTCTTCCTTTTCTTTTCCCTTTCGTATTTTCATTGGCTAGAAGTTATAATTTCCAGCAATGGTTTCATTCGCTTACGATTACGAGGGTTAGTTTTATCTTTGATTCTCATGACTATACAATCTTTTATCGAAAACATGGGGAGGTCGACTAAGAGTGGAACTCTACAAACGATAGTAATGATGAATGATGAATGGAGGAGGAATGCCAGTTTTGCTTTTGCGGTTGAGTGGAATCTTTGCTTTCCTTCTGTCTTCTTTTCCCTCTTCTTCTTCTGTCACTGTTATTTTCCAGTCGTATTTCCTTGATTTGGCCTTTTCACCTCGTTTCGCTTTTTCGCTCTCTATTATACACAGAACTGCCATGATTTCCATAGCTGGCGGGATGAGAGACATGACTACGATGATATTACCGTTATGAGCCATGAGTATGACGACGCAAGAGCCCACGACCTCTCAGTCGCGGGGGATCCCGACACGGCTCAGGGACTGAACTTGTTGGTTGATAGGATGATGAAGACGGAGGAAAAATAGAAAGAAAATATTTACAGGTCATAATAGCAAACATTGAGTGACTGTACTACTTCCTGCAATGCAAGAGTAAAAGCAGATCTTGAAAGAACAACGGTTGCATCGATGCCTGCTGGTGAACTAGAGTCAAGTTATCCGGGTTGGAAATAGAGGGCGTTCCGAGGTATGTCAAGCAAGGATCGATGACGTACGAGGACCCTGGCCTGCAGGCCACACAGGCCGAGGCCGAGGCACGAGGAAGAAAACCATATAGGTTGTGCTATCTCCCGTGGATTTGCGTAGCAAACATACCGACTGAACCCTAGGACCCTTCCCGTCCGTATGGATCCGTCTAGGAATACTTGCCTGGAGCGTAAGAGAAGAGAGACACATGGCCCACCAAATGACCAAAAGAGAGTGATCAGAAGGAGATTAAAGGATCATACATAACACCAAGTGACCGGTCACCGAGCGGCTAGACCCGCCAACCCCTTCCACCAATCCATCCTTGAACGTGCAATGCCCGTCAGCACAAGAGTGATGAAAAGGCTTCCCTGTTCTTTCCTGGTTTTCCAAAAGTACAAACTTTGCTGCAAGGGGACACTGGTCTTTGCGGATGCTTTCTAATCCTCATCATTTCCGTCCATACAAACAGTTCTCGTCCCCTGCAGCCTTGCTTGCCATTGCCACGTCGACGATGGGGAGAACAAAAGGAGGACCGGATGCGTTTGCTAGCGGAGCACGGAGGTGCGAATGATGGCGAGAAGTGGCGTTGACTTAAGGCTCGTCTGAGCAGACCAATCAGAGCTTGACGACCCTTCTGACTATCTGGATGTGGGCCTCACCCGGAGAAGTGGGGCATGAGTGCGTCGGTACTTCCAATGTTGGCCATGGCCATGCACGCTTGTGCTTGCTTGCGGTCTCTGCGGCTGTAAAGAGGGGGACGGAGTTCAGAATCTGTCCGGTCCACCTTTCCTTGCCCAGCATTTTGTCAACGCGATGAGGGCCGCTTCTTCTTGTGCCTGCGGAAGCTTTATGCTCCATATGTCGAGGTGCGTTTATCCAGCTGCCACTCAAGATACAATAACATCATTTGTCAATTTCTAGTCATCGCTGATGAGAGACTTTGGGGGCCGCCAGGCACCCGATTCTTCTCAGAAAGGGAGAAAACTACCAAATTACTGACGCACGCAGAAGGCGTGGGAATATCAAAATATCTCTCCTGGATTTAATCCCGGGATTAATACTTGCCCTCTGCTGCGATGACTGGCCTGTCATCCTGTCTACTTGTAGTCTGCTTGTGCCTACCCTTGGATGGATGTAACGTCAAAAGGAATCCATCCTTTCGAGCGGGACAACAGCGATGAGACCCAGACCAGCAGGGTGGGAATAGGTGGGTCACCGGCAACCTGGATGAAATGGGATGGATTAAAAATGTCTGCGTGCTTTGGGCATGGGCCCGTCGTATCCAGGGACTCGGGATCGGCAACTCTGGCTCCCCGGTCTTTTGGACTTGGTCAAGTCCGATATGGGATAACGACACATCATACTCTTGAGTCCGGCGACGAAAGAGCACGCGGCGCGGGCCCTGGCGAGTACGACGCACGTAATTGCGCTCTTCATCTTCACCGCTTACCGTTTTCTTGACCTCCCTCTATTATCCATCCGTCCCTTGACTGGGTTGCGAGTCCCACCGTTATTTGGCGAGAGCCGGGGGTTGGCGACTTCCACGGTCCCCCTCCCCTTGTCCTTGCCCGGTTGCACGAACGGGGAAGGGGTTGGAGGACTCGACGCTGCTTTGTGGGAACGAGATGCCACTGCAACACAAACGAAAGGCTTCGGATCGTCCTGAACCCTCTCCCTCTTCTCTCTTCCGACGTGATTGTCATGTTGATCAGGTTCGAACAAAAAGGAAAGAAAAAGAGAAGAAAATCCGGAAACACATCAAATAATTCCCATCTTCCCCCACCCTCTTCCTTTCAAGAGGAGGAGGAAAATATTATAGGAAACAGGCAAACCGTTAAACCCCTCTCCGTGGCGCCCAATCCCGATCCTCCGCCTTCCCCCTCCCTTGTTTGCTGCGTGCCACCTCATCCAACACTTGCCAACCCGCGTCCCCGGGTTCACTCATCGGATTTTTCTCGCCATCGTCCCTTTCTCTCTTCAAGTGGAACCGGGTTCTTCTTGCCTTTTTTTTTTTTCTTTTTTTTTTTAAGCCTCCTCTTTCGTTTCTTTTGGGGGTGTGTCATGCCAGAAGGAAGGACTCAATGCTCCCTGTCCTTTTCATCCATGTAGACTCGACGACCCACACCCTTGACCGTCATATTTGAAGCCCACTGATGGTGTCAACTACGCGCCAGGAACTACAGGGCAGGGACATGTGAAGCTGCTACTCTCCCAAGTCAAGAGGCCCTGCCTCTCGTCCCTTGTCTTCAATGTTATTTGTTTTCCGGTCACCGAGGGTTGAAATATGTCGACCAAATCAATGTTTGCTAGCAAACCAAGCTTCTTCTCTTCAGTAGGAAGGTAGTATAGTTATTGCATGTAGTACCAATAGCCGCTTTTGTGTCCAAGGGCGGTGTTTCCAGTGATGGCAACGACAGGCGCAACGGGGAAAGGGACGAAGTTCCGGAGCAAGAAAATGTCGCAGACACAGCTCAGCCCCTCCTCTGCCCTGGATTCTGCTTTCAATGTCCCTCCTCATGCTTTTTTCTTCTTTTTTGTTCTGGGGTTGACTCCTCCCCCTTTTCCTTTATTCCTTTTTCTTTTCTTCTCCTTTCCTTTTCCTGCCTTTTCCTGCCTTTTCCTGCCTTTTCCCTCTTTTTCTCTTTTCTTTTTTTCTCCCTTCCCTTCTTCACCTTTGCCCTCTTTTCGTCGACTTTCGCGCTGTAGTCGTAAGGGGTGTAGTAGGCGGCAGCAGATACGAGAGCGAGACGCGAGAACAGATATACAACAGGGAATGAGTAGATGCACCTGTGATGCATCTAATGAGTACATGTAATATCCACGAAAGAAAGATGATGGTGTAATACAGGGGTGAAGACATCAAGATTGAAGGGATCCAGAGATTTCAGTCACGTCACAGGACGCACCGCTCGAATGAGTGCCAACGCCAATTGTCAACCCGACAGTATATTCATACATAACTGATAGGTTAAAAGTGAAAGGGCGACGACTCCCAAATATTGAAAAGGTAGACCAGTAGCTCGTTATTTGGGGAGAAGAACCACAACAGTTCAGAAAAACACCGGGCGCGTTGGGATGCTCGCTAATACATCAATTCTACGAGCTACCTCCAAAAATAAAGTGAAAAAGAGGGAAAGGGGAATATGTAATAAAAGCCACCCTAACACGGTGATGGCGGATCCGAGCAGAGATATCGTCTGCTTTCTCTTGTATCCTGTCTGTAAGCCGGATCCTCCATCACTCATTCTCCTACCCAAAGCTCCCTCTTCCCCATCATGACTTACAGCACTACGAAAAAGTCGATTTGCATCCACCTGCCCTTCGTTTGGGATTCTTCCGCTTCTCCTTCTTCCTCCTCCTCCTCTTTTGCTATTCGCTGGTGGTAAAGGTCCATCGTACAAAATCTCCTACTCCTCCTGGTATGAGATTTTGCGCATCTCGCCGAGTCGGGTGCGGGCCGCGGAGAGCGCATTTTCGAGTTGGAGAATCTCGACCTAGTGGTTCGCATAGACGCCCGGTTAGTTCCTGACCAGAAGGAAGGGGTAGAAGAAACAAGGAAAAAAAGATGTAGTGTGTCGACTGACCTGCTGTTCCATCTCCCGCACCTTGAACTCGTGCGCGCCGAGCGTGGAGTAATCGACCCTTTCCTCCCCTTCCTGGTTTCTCTCCTTGATAATGGCCTGTACCTGTCGGACGAGCGCCCTGCACGCCGCCCCGACTGCCTTGCTGGCCTGCTCCAACTCCTCCTGGCTCTTGCTCATGAAGCCTGCCTTGACGCGGCTGGCCGCCACTAACTGCGCCGTCGAGGCCGCCACGTCGTTGGACGCGACAATGAGTTGCTCTGGGCTGTTGCGCCCCGAGTACGCCGTCGGCCGTCTCGATGAGCGTGTTGGTCGACGAAGCTACTGCCTTGGCGGCTGAAATCAGTCCCTGCGTCCATCTGTTGTTCTTCTTGTAAAACGCCGTGCGTGAGGACGAGCCCCGACCCGCCTGCACAATTTCTTGCTGCGTCATGGCGGCCGCCTTAATCAACCGACCAATTGCTGTCGTGATAGCCGTTGCCGCGTCCAGGATCGAGTCGTGGACCTTGAGCTCGTACGTCGAGTATCCGTCCCGCGGCTTGTTGCGCAGCTTGGCTAGTCGCGCCGCCGCCGCCGCGATCGCGTCTGCCGCCTTGGACAGCTCCGAGTCCACAAGGTCACCGAGGTCTCCCTTGCCCACGAGCTTTCCAAACGTCGGCGCAAACGTCTCCACCAACTTGTTCAGCTTCTGCAGGTTCATCTGCACATCGTTGTTGTTGTTAATAACTACGTCTGTCTTCTGGATCGGGTCCATGCCATCTAGGCGGAAGCTCTGTACTGCCCGGAAAAATCGGACCGTCGCCTGTGCCGACTGCCGTGCCCGGCCATCAGGTTATCGCCTTGCTTGTCATCTGACGCCAATCGGAGGATACCCTTGGTGTTGCTGCACACATCCGCGATGGAGCCCCGAACACGTTGATCGACTTGATGAGCTCTCCATGCGTCGCGTTGGGGCCATCCGCGATAAAGTTGTTGAACGCCGTCGCGAATTCCATCGCACTGGCCGACGACTTCTCAATTTGCGAGAGCACAAAGGTCGGCGATGCGTTCTGGTTACCCGCCTGCATCGTCGAGTCCAGCTCATACAGCGCCTCGTCCACCCTGACTACCGCGGACTGCAGCACAGAGTCAATAATGTCGTTGATCTTGTCGAGATTGGCCAGGATGATGGCATCAATCTCCCCATCCAACGCGTGATCCGTCTCTCCGTGGTTTTGCCTAAGCTCATTGAGTTCCAGGAGGGTCTGATCCATGCCTGCCTTGTACACCTCGAGTTCCTCCTCCTTCTCTCGCAACAGCTGCTCGAGGTCTGAGCTGCCATCGCGCATCTTGTTCTGCGCATCCTCGAGCGCGCGTGACTTATTGCGGAGGGCCTCCTCAAGATCCGCCACCTCGCGGTTGTACTTGGACAGCATCGCCGACAGCTCGTTGCCCTTCGCTCGCTCGAGATTGTCTGCGCGGTCGAGAGCCATGCGCAGCTCGCGCTTGAGCTTCTCCACCTCATCCTTGTTTGAGCCGTTGAGCCGGTCTTTTTCGTGCAGCGCGCGGTCACGCTCGCGAATCATGTCCGCTAGCTCTAGATTCTTCGTCTTAATTTCGCGTTCCAACTTCTCCCGCTTGTCAATTGCCTCCTGCGCACTGGCCGCCTTGAGCTGGACGGACTTGAACTTTTGAAGCAGATCGAGATGTTCGTGGCGAAGTTGTGAGTAGAGCTTCGCGAGCGCCTCGTACTTGGATCGCCAAGTGTTGACCTGGTCCTGGAGAGCGCGGATCTGCTCGTCCCTGCTGGTGATCTGCTGGCCATAGTTGGCCTGGATGGCACCGAGCTCGCTCTCGAGAGCCTTGACCCGCTGGTCGTACTGCTGTAGCATGAGTTGGTCACGCTCGTATTGCGCTCTGGCGTTGAGGTTTTCGCGCTCAAGCTCAGCGAGGCGACCCTGGGTTTGCCACTGCGCTTGCTGCTGGAGGAGACGCTCCTGCTCGAGACGTTGTTGTTCCGCAAGTTTTCGCTGCTGGTCTTCAAAATCACGCTGAGCCTGAAGCTGTGCCTGCTGTTGCGCCATCACGGCCTGCTGCTGCTTCTCCTGAAGTATGCGCTGTTGCTCCTCGTATTCGCGGTTTTGGCGGTCTAGCTCATTCTTCCAGAACTCGTTGATCTCATCCGGCGCATCATCCTTCGGTGCCGGGGTCGGGGAGGGCCCTCTCGACTTCTTGTTTCGGCCTCGCGGGTAGAGCGGGCGCCTCATCGTCGCTGCTCAAGAGATTCGGGGATCCTGGGGAAGCTTGGGGATGCTGATCAAACTCGTTAGGTATCGCAGGTTAGAGCATTCGTAATAAAACTTGACAAGTCGGTAATGCTGGGCACCGTATCGCTCGCGGAGAGGTTCGAGTGCCTCCTCGTCGCCGGTAGCTGATGGGAACAAGGGTTAGAGGACAAGTCATGACAGGGATAATCGGTCGACTGAGTCTGGATATGCGCTGATATCACAGGGTAGGTAGTGGGGCGCGTGGGGGTTTGGGGGGGTACGAGGAATCGACGTTTGGATATTGGAGGTGATGCAAACGATGGAGACCAAAGAAAAGAGAAAGACGGGGCAGCCAAGCCAGCCCAAGACTTACATGAATGCATGGCTCTTAGCATGCTAGTGATAAACTTGTAGATACCGTAACTCTCCTGTACGAGAGGTACCAGCGCCGAGATGCGGCATTCGTTGTTTCCCACGTGACGGAAGTGCGAGAAGATGAGCTTCTGGAACTGCTCGATTCGGTCTTGCAATGTCATCAGGTCGGTAATGGTCTCGTAGCCCTCGTTCGGGTCGTTGATCGCCTTCAGACTAAGGTACTCCTCATACTCGAAGGTGCCATTGAATTCGGGGTGCTGGCGGTGGAAGGAAAGCTTGGCGAGCAAGTAGTTGACGTAATCGCGGATAAGCTGGCCGTATCCTCGAACGCCATCCCCTGAAACGCCGCGGTTGAGGCTATCTAACCAAGCGCGATTGGCCATGGCTTCCTTGAGAGTGTTGGGATGACCCTCTTGAAGTACCTTGTGGACGGTGATGAGAGCTTTGAAGGTCTGGACCTCATCAGCGAGGATGGGTTGGCTGCAAAGTGCGTCGGGAACAAGTTAGCCTCGCGCACGGCGTTTGAAGCGATTGTTTCCCATAACCTGAAAGGGCGCGAGAAGAGAGGGGAGGGGGCGACATACACTTTCATCCCGGACCAAAAGGCATGCGAAGACCGATGGTCCCAGGTATAAACAATACAGCTTCGGACATGCTTGCGTTTAGGAGCTGTCTCTTCGGGACTCGTCGCCTTCTTAATGCTGATATTGAGATCCTGATCGGTCCTACGAAGAAAAGAGGCAGGAAGCCTTGTTAGATCTTGTTGTTGACGAGCTCAAATATCTCAGGGGCTAGAAGAAGGGGGGCTAAGGACAGCTCGATCTTGGTGCTGGAGAGACCTTGGGAAAGGGATTCAACGTACTTGGTATGCGCTGTGACAGACATTTTGACTCCCGCTGCTGCACACGAGCAGCTTCGTTAGTTGGGGGAAGCAGTTTGGATACAATTCGTATGGGTAGGTATGTTGAGCCACAGGGCCGATTCGTCTTTTAATCCATCCAAAGCTGACGTATTGGGGGGTTTCATGGAGAAGCTTGGTTCACCCAACAGCATCAATCTGGCAGGCTCCAACATTATTAGTTAATCCGTCACTGCGGGTCTCAGCTTCTGTCGGGAAATTGAGTTGAGTATAGTCACGTGATGCACGCGTGGCTCCAGTCCAGCAAGCTCTCCTGCAATGGCAGGCTCTCTAGCGTCGCGTTGACCCATCAATGTTGTGCCACCCTCTATGTGAGATGCAAGGGCTTGAATGATCATTGATTCCAGATGTTTGGCTAGATGTTCGTGAATCTGGCTTATATCCTTCGAACTCTTTTTCACTGTCTCTCCTTAATCCATCCAATTATCTACAGTAGCCTGGTTGTAGCCTCGGGATATTTTCAGTTGAAGATTACTCGATCCTCGAAAAGCACCGTGGAAGTCTTGGACTTTTTTCTTGGTTTCAGTTTAGGGGATTCACTCATAGAACGCTGAAGATTAAACTGCTAACTCTCGAGCTCTCTTCAAGGCCGCAATTCCTTGGCGGGCTTCGCAAGCTCTTACGACACCAACCCCACGAGTCTAGCAGCACACCTCTTGGTGAGGGCGCCAATGTATGATGGTGGCCATTGTTGCTTGAGAAGACTTGCCCGAGGCGCGAATCACACCTCTGCCAAGAGCCTGAAAGCTACCTAAATTTCTGAGGACGACCACAGCGAGGGTCGCCGTTAGAGAGACATCGAAGCCTTTGGCGAGTCTGAGGCAACACGGATCGCATAATAGATCATGACTATGTAGCCTTGGGAATTTTGACTGGCCCGTGACCGCAGCTCGCTGTTTTGGCTATTCTGGCACATATTGTTCGGCCCAGGCTGCCTGATTTTGGGAGAAGGCCAAGTTCGACCACCGTAGAATGGCCCTTTCCCGGGCTTTGCATCCAGTACATCGAAATGTACCGTCACGATACCGAAGCTCCGTGGACTACCACACCCACCATCCTGGCCCACCTTCAAAGACAAAATAGGCAGAGGAGATGATGGGACGAGAAAAGACAAGAAAAGAGACCTTCATCATCAAGAATACCTCGTTAGAAAAAGACAATGCAGAATGCACAAAATCGACACTCGAGCTACTTTCTAGGTCGGCCTGGCCATCATTCCGGAGATCAAATGCTACTCGAAGTACAAATGAGGTGAATGCTTGTGTCAAATAGAGATACCTTGGTTTAACGGAGCCAAGGGTGCATACATGGACAAATTGTTCATTGGACGAAGAACTGGATTTATTAAAGATGGCGCAGACCTCAAGCTGGTTGTTCGCCTCATTTTGCAGAGGGTAGGTCCGGGCAAGGGTTCCAACCTTGGTAAGCCCACCAACAGCAAATGGCTGCCCTGCCGCCCTGGTGATCCGGAGCGATTGAAAAGCTTACTGCTGCAGCTCACAGCTCATAGCAGATGCTTGATGGGTCATGTTATGTCTAGATCTCGACGCCAATAACCGGGACAAATATCTACCATGGCGAAGTGCACGTTCGTCTACACTCAAACGCAGATTTCAAGCAGAGATAATTAGATTGAATCACAAGGGCCACAATAACTTCCCACCCCGCCTCCCATTTCTATCTCCAGTAATATGGAGGGGGAAGGAGTGCCAGGCCGTCTGTCATGTCGGGGCGGGGACCCTCTTGCTCGTCCTGCCTTGGCTTGCGCCTGTGCAGCGAACCCCGGCAACTTGCAGGAAATAAACCAAGAACTAGAACTAGCGTGGGGCTCAGCCCCCAAAGTTTGCCGCTCTCAGGCCTGTCCACGCGACTCGGGATCGGTGACGGCCACTGGCGCCATGCAGCAATGCCTCTAGCTGCCAGCACGGGGACTAAGCTTCTTTTTAAATGCACAGCTTCCCACCCCCGCACAGCGTGCCCTCTAAACTAGAAGGGAAAGCGAAAGGACACACAAGTCCAAGACACCCTCTGCGCCGCGAGGCGTGGCTGCGCGGCTAGCAAGCTTTCCTTTCTCGAGGAGGAATCAGGACGATCCTCCCTTCATCACGGATCGTGGTCGTCGCTTCAGCCATTCTGCTGGAGAAAAAAAGAAAAAGGGAAGAAAGGGGGAAAAGGCCCTTCGTTACTAAGTAATATATCATTTGCCGTTCGAAACAGCATCCTTCCCTCGCAAAAGAAATCATCCTTCGCGCTTATCCTGTTTCGTGTTGAAGCGAAACTCTCTCTCGTGTGAGCATTCTCGAAACGGGAGGCGAGGGCCGGGCTGACGGCCTTGATGGATCCATTGTCGATCGCGGCCGGTGCCGCTTCCTTAGCAGGAGTTACTGCCTCGGTGGGTTTTTGACCTTTGACTCTCACCCCGCCGTTCCTTCTAGCATGCTTTGAGACTTTCTACACAGACGTTGACTCTGGACCTATGCTGATTTTTCCACCTTGCCCAAAGCTCTCGGTCTGGCTGTTCAACTTCGTCAACTCTGTCAAAGGCGTCGATACCAAGGTCGTAAACCTTTCAGAGGAAGTCACTCGATTATCGAATCTCCTTTCCTCTGTCGAGAAGACCGTCCGCAAATGCAGCAGTCAGTCCCTGATCCTTGGCCATCTGGACGATCACATGTGGCAACAGATTGAGAACGCCCTTGTGGACTGCAAAGTGACAGTGGATGGGCTGGATCAGGTTGTTATGCGGCTCATGAACACATACGATGCAGAGGCCAGTAAACTTGTCCAGATGATAAAAAGCCCAACCTCCATTTTTGGCTTCAACTACGCAACGACGAGATTCAAGAATTTCGTGACAAGATTTACAAGTGCATATGTGCCATGCAGACCACTTTGGCCGTTGTGAATGTGTAAGTCAATCCAGGCTGATGGAACCACGCTGAATATTGCTGATCCTTAACAGTTCCTTGACCTTTCGAACTACATCTAACCAGGACACGCTTTTCCAAGAACTCCAGAATCTTAAGCTGCTCATCGTCAAAACTCTTCAAGTCGCCCACTTGGTGCCCGAGCCGGCAAACGCCTCGACAGAAGGCGGAGAGCAGCAGGAGCAGAAGCCCGCCGATCCCTTCTCGCTTAGACAGTCCCGAAATCTCGAAAGGCTTGCCAAGGCGGCCACGAAATTCCACCGCGAAACAAGCACGGCCGCTAGCCAAAAGTCATCGCTGTGGGGTGGAAGCGAGTTTGGTACGGACCTTAGCGACGAACAGAGGGCACGCATTCAGACGTGGAATGAGCTCGCAAGCATCCCGGAGTCCTTCGCAGGTGATACAACTACCGATACGGGAAGCACCTATGGGGCTAGTACCCTTAACCCCGAAACGGATGCGTCGACTAACGTCACAGTCCCTGATAGGGAGGATGCCGTGAGCTCCCCTTCCCAAAGGTTTGGTGCTAGGGCTCGGAGCTCTTTAGCCAAGCTCACGACCTCGAAGATTCTGATAGTGAGTCAGATTTTGAGCTAGACTTCTTGCGCAACCTGGAGGAACTCGCCTACAAGAACTTTGCTTCCGCAAACTACTCCAAGGCAGAGGAATGCCTCAGGAGGTCCGTTGATCGTTCTACGGATGATTCCTCCCCCAGGCTCACAAGCCTCAAGACTCAATTGGTACTCTGTTATTGTGTACAAGAGAAGTGGGATGCTGCCTTTGCCATTCTTGAAATCCTCCCCAAAACGAAAACGATTGAGTGCCTTCCCATCTACGAGCTTTTGCAGGCGGTCGCCTTAGGCTATCAGCATACCTCGCGCCTCGAGGAAGCTTCTAAAACCCTCAAAATTGCCCTACAGGCAAAGCGGAGGATCTTGGGCCGGCAAAGCAATGGGTACTACATGGCCTTGGCCCACCTTGCTCGTATTTTCGAGGATATGGGAGACTCCCTTGAGGCCGAAGTGGTCCGCCACTCCATTCCCGCTCACATCACAGTACCAGTCTCTGAATCAAGCTCATCAACGACAACTCTGGTAAAGTCTTTGATCGACAACCACGAACTAATTGGAAAGATCTTTGTCAAGACAGATGCCGAGGCCAGTGATACGCCGCAGCCACCACCGGCCCAGCGTGGGCCTGTTGAGAATGCACCCCAACTTCTGGCCAGAATCGACTCGGAGAATGGGAAATCGAGCTCGAGAAATCCGGCGTGTTGAAGAGTGCCGTTGCAAGTATGGATGATGATCGGGTTTCGACAATTTCAACTAACTCTTCAACGCCTACCTATGGCGTGTTTGAGTCTAGGCCATACTCGACCTCGATATCCTGTAGAGCGGTCCCGCCTCCGCAACCGTCTCGCGGCCCTGTACTTACCCCAACAGAGCTAATACTGGTGGACGAGACGGGACCGAATACGACTATTAAAGAACTTTCGGCATTTCAATCCGGGGAGTCTGATGTTAGTCGCGGGAAGTCTCAAAGAGGGATCCAGGACGAGCCTTGCAACGAGCCACGCCAAGACACCGGAGCGGCGACTGAGCCAGAGCGCGAGAAATCCCCAGACCGAAAAGCCCCCTCGGCGCGCAACTGACCCGGGCATAGTGGAAGAGCAGGACGTCCCCTGCTGCAGTGCCAATCGGTCTCAATCTTGCGCCGAAACCCAAGTATTCTCACGAGGACAAGAAGAGGGAAATCTCTGGACATTGGCGAGCATCGACTTGCATTATCCCTAGCCTCTACCCCGGCCATCCGGCCTTCTCCCAAATCTCCACCTGTGATTAAAATCTCTAATTTTGTTATGCCGACGCCGTCCATGGGTAAATACGGCAGGATTACGGGCCCAATTCAATGGAAAGTGAAGAACAAGGGGGTCAGTGTCACTCACCGAAGGTACGGCACCTCAATAGGCCCCCGTCTTCTTTTGCCAGTCAACCCTCAGCTGGCACTGCAAACACGGCCCTCAGTCGCCATAGTATGCCGCACTGATGCTTCAGTGCTCTTAGCAGCAACTCAGGGTCTCGGATCCCAAGTGTTTGCCGGGGCGACATGTGTAAGTTGCGATGCTCCGCTTGCTACCGGCCTACGGAACCACGAGAGCGATATTTTACCTCCCTCCCATCATGGTTGGTTTATTCGCCCTTTGAATGCTAACGGTGTGGTTTTCTGTAGGATGTCCGGGCTTTTGTAAATAAAAAGCCCGAGGAGAAATTGAGGTTAAAACGACTGCTTCGAAAGATGGGGCCCTCATCAAATAAAGAAAAGGGGTCGCTCACGGACTTGAGTTATTTCCAACTCGACACGAGACATCCCCGGTTCTGGTTGGCAGAGATAGGCGAGCGTGAATTCCTAGGCTCGAAGTGGGACATCTTCAACGATCCAGACCTGGACGATGCCGTCCATCACCGGTGGTTCCAGGGCCAAGAGTGGGACATCTCATGCTTGGTGAGCGCAGGCAGACCTCACGAAACTCCATCCCCGGGGCAGCGTCATGTTTCCTCTGTTGTCCTTTCCATCCCCGATTTCGTAGATCGCATCGGCTGGGACTGGCTGGTAGCCCTGCTCGCGAGAAATGACTTACTGAGGCACGCCAAGATCATACCGCACTCGGCTGCGCTGGTGCAGTACTATCTGCACACTGGATTACTCACGTCCGTCTGGCCGGATGATGCGAGGGAGCCATCGACGGTCGTCATCTCTCTATGTACAGACGAAATGGTGGTGGAGTGCTGTCCTCTAACTTTGCACAAGGCCTCACACTCATCTATCGAGATTCGGGAGTACCCGGAAGCCTTTATGGCTGAGGCTAATGGGTAGGTGCTGCTGTAGTGATTACCCAGTGTTTCTTCTTTCCCCTCCTGCCTTTTTTCTTCTTCTTTTGCTTTCCACGCGTGTTCCCATCCGATAGCGAACCCAATGTCCGTGATATTTATCAGTCCGAAGCTAACGAAAATCGGAATTTCCCGTGTCCGTACCTATAGATTGAATCACGCCCAGGCCATGTTCGCGCAGTGGTATAGCAAGATCATAAAGGCATGGTTCAAGCAGAACAATAAGAAGCCTGCGGAGGGGAGGTAGAGGCACTGCTCCAAGCGGCCTGCCTCCTATTCCCGGGACTAGTGCGGGACTTTGGCAACGAGAGAAATCCATATGGAACGGGCTGGATGAGGACGGTCAATATTCCTAATGCACCCCCGGCAGCCAAGATTACTAGCCATGCCATGTTGGAATTTATGCGCCCCTCAGTCACGGCCATCGGTCGAATGCTCGAGCACTGCGTTCGGCGACTGCACATGGACGGGCAAGCTGTCTCGGTAAGTCTTTTACATCGCCGTGATCTATACTTGGCGCCCCAGCCGGTACTGAGAACGTGGTCTGCGATATTCGAGAAAGAACCTGTTTCCTTCCCGTTTCCATCCGCCCTTTTCCCCTTCTCTCTCGCAAGGGCACGTGCTGATGTATGGGAATGACGGTAGCATGTACTCCTGGGAGGACCTTACGCAATGTCGGCGTTTCTCGTCAACGAGATCCGCCAGGTCGTCAGGGACCTTTGTTCGGTGAACGGTGGGGAGATCGAGCTAGTGGCTGACGGAGAGCCGCAGGATACACGTCTCCTCGGGGCGATATCTCATGCTTGCAGTATGCAAAACCCGGCGTGACGAGGGACTCGCGTACTATGCTGAGCTTAGGAAGGAGGGGCTTAAAAGAGGCGTGCCGAGAACGCTCGTCTATCCCGCACAAAAGTCCTCGCTCGGCACATCCAAAAGTCGTACAATGTACTGCAAGCCGTCCTTCTCTCCGATTTCTCGGAATGTCCGCCAGTAATGCTCTTTTCTTCTGCCGCTTCTTCTCGTTGTCCTTGTTTCTGTTTTTTTTCTTTTTTTTCCCTTTTTTTCTCAATGCTCTCAACTATACCCACCCCTGTGTCTTGCTTTGTATTATTCGATCAAAAGAGACGATCTGCCGCTGATGCGCGCACCCGCCCCCAGTCAGATGTGGGCTCTGCAGATCTACTTGGCGTGTTTTGGCTTGTTAAGGATTCAATTCACACATATTTTACCTGTCTCTTGCTTTTTCGTTGTTTCCTCTCTTGGAAAATTTACCGCCGTTCGACTTGAGGTCATGGTGTGAATCTAGAAGTACGGCAGATCAAGAACTCTAGACGCACGCCTTGTTCGTTTCAGCTTCGTGAAAGGCGTGGGAGGAACGGCACCTTTTATTTTCTCGTCTCTCGTTCATATATGTGGACGTGGCTTTCAATTGGGCACGTTGGCTTGACTCGATGTCGTTAGACAACGATGGGAGTGGGGATCATTTAGTTGAATGTTCAGATGCAAAAAGTAAAGTGTAAGAAGAGGGGAAGAGGGGGAGGGGGTGAGCGGGCAAGGCGGGAAAGGACAAGGGAGGGTACACTCAGGGGCTCGACAAGGCACAAGACCTGCAGGTGGCGTCTCAGCAGATGGCATAGACGATATACTAAGTGTTGCTTTTATCTTATAATCATTCTCCGTCGTCACGTCAGCTCGTGACGGGGAGGAAGGAGGGGTGGGAGAGGAACATGGAAGTGAAGTGCCATTCACCTTGATGAGCATTGACGTGCGTACTGGGCTGGGGGTTTTGCTCTGTTGTGTGGACATACAAATGCAGCTCGTGATGACGAGGACGTAACAAGGGGAGGGTGGCTTTTGAGAGATGAATATGAGAGAGAGAGGCTGAGAGGGTTTGGAGCGATGCACTTCGCATACCTACGGCCCATGACCCTCACGGTGGCAGCGGCTGCAGTGACACCTTTCAATGAAGGGGAGGGGGAAGAGGATGAGGAAGAGGATGAATTGGATGACTCGCCACTAAGTGAAGGAGCTAAGGTGTAACAACGGGGGTCTAGGTTTTAGGTTCAAGTTAGAAGGCGATCTAGACCGCGTCAAGGCTTTTGGCAGATGAGGTGCCTAGGTTGCAGCTTCGAAGTTGTGTCACGACATAACTAGTTGGAGGATGAAGAGCGCATATGCCGAAGCAGGCTTTTTTCGATTTTCAGGCAGCTGGGTTTCTCCCTCCATTTTCAAGCTCTGACTACCGCGGCATCTGCAAGTGCAAGACCTAACCGGGGGGACTCGGGGTCGGAAGCGGCTCCGCTGTCACCAAGAAGCCCTTTTGATCCAAATCCGAGACAGCGTGCCAATAATGAGCTCCTGGTATATGAGAAGGGCCCAGTTCTTCTCACGATACCGCCGGGCAAAGAGAGGTAGGAGACCATCAAGCTAAACATGGGGATTTCACACATCCCACGGGTGCCCTTCATCGCCTGCCTCCCTCGACGCCGCTAGTCGACTCTGGCGGCAAGCGCTTGGCTGATTCCTACATTTCCGGCCGGCAGCACTACGCTATGCTTTACGACCTAATAGCTCCCGACGAAGAAAGTTTGGGTCGGTGGCTTTTTTTCCCTCACTCTCTCTCTCTCTCTTTCCATCTAAAGGGTGGTCCCGCCGTCGCCCCGGGATCCCGAAGAGAGGCTAAGGGGAGGCTAGTGGCGGACAAAAGACAGGCTAGGAAAGCGCCCGACTTCCCGACTTAGAAGCGGAGAACCGGAACAGCGCGAAAGGGGAGGGCTGGAGCGCTGGAGGCTCTATTCGGCGGGCCGTGGCAGAGCTGAGCTTTACCCGCTTGTCCTCCGCCCTTCCTTTCAGGCCCCACTCATCTTTTTCTTGCCGCTTCCCATCCGTCCGTCTCCTGACGTGAGTAAAGGAAGGGGTAGTCGGAAGAGGCGAAGCCAGAAAGGAGCGGAGAACAAAGAAGGGAAAAACAAAAAGAAAGAAAGAAGAAAAAAGGAGAGAAAGATAGAGATGCATGCGTAGCGTCTCAGCCCACTCACTCACTTGTCCGCTGGGTCACGTCGTTTGAGCAAGAGGCGGGCTTGTGATCATCGTGATTCCTGCTGGAGGCGTTCCGGCGGGACGCCATGCATCCCTAAACGTAACCGCCGCTCACCCCGGCAAGATTATATTTTCTCTAATAGGGTTTTTCTTTTGGTACAAAAAAAGAGGGAAGCATGCCGGTTGCCATTCCTTGCCCGTGCAGTCGCTAATCTGTGCGTGCGTGCATCGATCTACAGATCAGATGCGTCTGAATCGGCATGCAGGAATGCAGCCACCAAACATATACACACATGCACATAATACACACGCCTCTTGATTTCGACTTGTACGGGTTTTACCCGTCATCACAATAATATAAAAACAAATTCTCACGAAATCCTTTCTCTCCTTCCACTACCCCATTCTCAGCGTCGGTAGCCTTGGCGGACAAGGGGTCACAATACGCATCTGAACGCAAAGTGAAGCGTTTTGTGGCTGAAGAGCTTGACAGGTTCAGCGGAGCACAGGCGCTCTCGCATCAAGGAAATAACCTGGTGTAAAAAGGAAGAAGAAAAATGCTTGGCTCTTAGCTGAGAGCTGAATTGCATCCAACCCCCACGGCGGCGAAGCAGAATGTTGAGCTGGCTGAGAACCCCTCTCATTCCCAGACCATCAATTGATGTTCACGAAGGACATGAAAGGAGGGGCGAGTCCGCGTAATAAGATTATCAGCCAACACGAGCCTGGCCTTTTCGGAGCCCTCGTTTCCGAAAACAAAAGCAGGCTGAGGAAACAAAAAAAGGTGCTCCCTCGAAAGAGCAGCCGCCGACAATAATACGCACCGCACCATATGTGAACTCCTGCGCAACGCCGCCCCATCTCCCGCCTCGTAGCCTCGTGCAAGAAAGAAAGGAAAAAAATGAGTTTAGAGAAAAAATGATGGCTGCCGTTCCACAAGCACGGAAGGTAACCAGGTCCCACGTCATATTCCCGCACTTTGAGGGTGGGAACGGCAGAGGCAGCTTGAATGAGGCGGAATCTACCCGTCACTAAAAACCCCAAAAAATAAAAAAACAAAAGGGGAAGTGAGGCTCGCTGGCTGCTTAGGATATCAAGCCTTCGCGCTCCCGTATCTTGTCAGATATCAACCTCTCGCCTCGCGTTCATGAATGCCAGCAACCCGCCAATCCCGCCGCCTTCCCCCACTCCACATGCTTCTCTTTCTGACCACCTTCACTTCATCTTCCTCGATTCAAGTAGTGTGTAATTACCCTTCCCGGTTCCGTAACCAGGTCAAGGAAACGGAGGATGTGGTGCGCTGCATACCGAACTATGTCCCCATTCCGACTCTCAACCCGTTTTCCTGTCATAATCTGATTGTTTTCTTTTTCTTGGGGGCCTTATTTTCTCTCACTCCAAGCCTCTTTAATCCTCCAAGCCACCAAGCCTCACGTCACATGAGTCGCGCCCTCTTGTCCTCCTCTTTGATACTTCGTACCCCAAAGTCATTAGAAGGGAGGCAGTGTTCGCAAGAATGACCTCTAGCCAATCTTTCCCTTTGATTCCACCATCTCTTCTTGCTTCTTTCAGTGGTCAATCTCCCCTTTTCGAGATAGGCCCCTTCAGGTACTGTCCCCCTTCTTTACCTCGGCACTTCTTATTCTTTCCCCACCCCGCAAAATATGCTTTTCATCTCATGCTGTGGAGCTTGCCTAAGCATGACGTTGCATGCCCATGTCAACCCGACCTGACTCCCAAGGTCTTCACGATCCAAGTGGAGAGTTCGTAGATGGTATCAGCAGAAGCCGTTGACTTGCTAGCCTGGGTCTCTCTGTTCATAGAGTGGGCGTGGAATGTGGCCAGAAGCTTCTTTTGATCGTGTACGTGGTCTACAAATTTCGCGGCATCACTAAACGAGGCCTTCAGGGCTGCGTGGCATCGCGTCGCAGGTGTATTGTTCGTGGAATCGCCGCCTAGTCGTGATATAAACTCAAACTAACCCGATACCGTGTGTTATTACATACATGTAGCCCTAGCTTGAGGAATCCATTAACCCTTTGTCAATCTTGACAACCTTAAACTCCTTCCTCAGTCTCAGCAGCGAAGCTGACTGTATAAAGCTCCCTCGTAAAGAAAAGTTGAATACCCAGAAAAAAAGAAAGAAGAAGAACAAACCCCGTCATCACATCTATAGTACACATTACAATGAACAGTGGCGACATGGAAGAGAAAAAAAGAAAGGACCCAGAAGACCACGAGTCTAACCAATGTCGCGGGCTAGGGGGCGAGAAGGGCACTCTGCCCCTCTCTCATCAAATCAGTCTTCACACGGCGGCAGAGGGTGGGCGGCCGGTTCTTAGCGACCTCCTGAAGCTCCGGCACTGTCAGCATGAGCTCTCGCAGGGCTTGTCTCTCGGTTCGATAAAACTCTCTCTGCCGTGTCAGGTCGATCACGCGGCCTCCGAGATATCGGTTTTCTTCCTGCAACTGCGCCATCTTTGACTTTTCTTCCGCCGCTTGATCCGCTTTCCTCCGTCGGTAGCGCGCGGAGGCGTCGGCATTCTTTTGGCGCTTGTCGCCCGCTTCCTTGGAGGCCGTGTAGGTATCAATTCGTACGAGGAACATATCCTCGACCGGCTTGTTTAGCGACGCCATCCCAGCCGGCAGACCCGCCTCCCCGGCCATCATCGCACCCGACATCCCTGCCCCCGGATGTACTGCATGGTGGTACGCTCCCGGCGTCCCTCTTTCGCCATGGCCTATAGCCATCGGTGATGAATAGCCCGGGTGTCCAGCACCGTAGGGCTGGTAGGGTTGACCGACCCCGTTATGGTATCGGCTCTGTGGTGAAGCTTCCATGGTGTCTGCGGGCAGAAACAGTCAGCTACAAGTTATACCGGGCTATGAGGTTTGAGATTTCTTTTCTGCACAGAAAAGTGTACCAAGGGATATAAACAACTATGGGGGATCCACGGACCAGGATGTGGGTATGCACCCGTAGTGAGTGAGGTTGGACTTCGAAGCCGGTTGGGGCTATCAGATGCAACGCAAGAATGGCTTCGGGAGGGGGAGTCGAGGCAGGAGCATCGCTAGTGTTCCCGCTATGAGCGTCTGATTCTGACATCATATCGTATTCTGAAGAGCCATCGTTGAGCAAGGAGTAAAGGCCAGAACGTCTTGGGGCCATGGTTGGTCGTTCGTCTGAGCGAAAGGCTGCGTTGGGCTTCTCAGAATTAGGAAGATCCCTCTATATGCACAGCCCAGATGTATTCTCTACCGTATTCACGCACGACAGAAACGAAAAAGGGGGAAGGCGATAGGTAGAAGGCGATAAGAAGTGTGGTAATGTTCGAGAGAGAGCAAGGGCGTGCAGCGAGTGAGCGAGTCAGTAGAGTGGGTGGTGAATATCTAAAGACTCTTCGGATTAAGCGGGTTCGAAGAATCTGCGTTCGTCAAGTTGAGCCAGATTTATCATGCAAGTGATCGACGAGGAGCGGTTGAGCATATGTAGTTATATAGGAGTCCGGAGTACGAGACACTTTTCCCAGGCACACGTCCGAATGGTGTGCATGCCGTCCCGCGCTGTTGTAGATCGTCCTCGGCATGCCCCCCACCCCTGTTTTTTTTTTGTTTCTTTTCTTTTGTTTTCTTTTTATCCCTCTCTCTTCTGCTCTGTTTGGATGGAGGACTCAGGGGCCGAAGGACCCCCTCCTAATAGAGGGGGTGAAAACAAATGCGGGTAAAGCAAAACGGTGATGCCCAGATACAGGAGGGGGCCGCTCGTTCGGCCAAATGCGTCACAGAAGAGCCAGCCACTTGCAAGGCGAGGCCTGTCGTGCCCATCAATAGAGGAATGAGGCTGAAAGCGCTACGGGTATGCTGAAATCAAGGGCCCCGTGTTAGGGCAGGACCATTCCTCTGGGTGGAGGGCGGCGAAAGGTCGCCCCATATTTTCATAATTGGCGGGTATTGGCTCAAGACCTGAAGGAACAGGGGTGGAGGGGGTGGATTGGAGCAAGGTGTCAAAAACTAGATCTGCAGCGGCGGTGGGGGTGACGAGAGTGGGCAGAGGCTGAGCAGTTGGACGGAGGATCACCCCATGACAGTGCCTGCAAAGCCCAGCGTGGTCCTACCTGGCTGGAAAGGTATTGAAGCTTCCAGCGTCTCTCTACCACTGCAGAACTGCCGGTAGGGCTGCTTCCAACTGTTGCCCAAGCCAATGCTCGCTGGGTTGGAATGGGCTTGTTTCGCAGGCCATCCTCGTCTGGGGGTCTCGGAAGAGCACCATAAGGATGCGGAACCGGCATGGCGGAAGAGAGCACCCGAGAAATTATTTGTTCTATGATGATCCGGCGCTGCTTTGGGCAGTCGGTCATAGGAGTCTGTCCCTCCGGTCAATTAATTTGTCTGAGTCGTGGAACGGCAGGGGTTATGGAGGGCGCTACTTGTCATAACCGGCGAGAAGTGAGGGGAACAAAGATGGGAACAAAGATGGCGTTTCTAACCTTGGGTTGTATGTACTCTTGAAGGTCGGAGAGTTGCTCGGACTATTAGCCAAGACATGTCGTTGTGGTGGCCCAAGAAGGGACTGGAGGTCAAAAATAAGGGTTAAATATTGCAATATTGCTTCGATGCCATTCCGCTCTCCCCCTTCACAAAACGGATATACCTGTACATCATCAACGTATTACAATACATCCACCGGCTCATGAATAAGCGTACAAAATTGTCAACCTCATCTTTGCAGTGGCCCAGGAATAGCCATATTTTGAGCTTTCTCTACACCTTATGAGAGATCGTGTCGAAATGCGGAGTAGGCTCCCTCTGATCTAACGATCCGATGAATCATTTTTGACAAATCGTCTCAGGGGCTAGGAGCTGGAAGTCTCCCCGGCGTGGGGCTTGCAGTGATGTGGTAACATCCCGCAGTTCAAAGGCATGAACTCCCATGAGGTGTACAGACCAGTTGAGGAGGCTAGCAGCCTCCTTCAGCGCGTGCGTCGTGTTTTCGAGGGCACCAACAGACCCCGGATCAGTGGATCAACTTCACCAGCGCGATACCAAGGGTTCGGGCCCATCGTCCTCAGCTCGACATGGGTAACCCCGTAAAAGAAAAAAATCCAGAGGAAAAAGGAAAAACAAACTCGAGATGACTAAAGATGGCTGGCGGCACCAGGCGTACGAGGGATTGAGTGAGGTATTATGATAATCAACTCTCCCTCTCCAGTTTGTCACCTCGCCCACGCACGGCTTTGGTCATGGGCCTCGGCCGGGGATGGCAAGAGTGCTGGTAAAAATGCGAGGCTCGATCGTTCGCATCGCCTTATCATCAGCAGACTACAATGGATGGGCTGGATGGATTGGCAAGTGCAAGGGCATCGATTCGTCCACTTGACGGAGATTGGATCGCCATGTTCCATCCTTCATTATCGTCGCCAAAAGAAAAAAGCCCTCCCGGGTGACTCTGGGAGCAGTTTACACTACAGGACCTGGGGAATAAGAGGAGGTGCATCCATGACGCGAGGCACTTCCCAAGTGGGAGATGACGGGATCGGGTCTGTTGTTCCTTCCCGGCTCCACACCGGCAACCTGGTTCGAGGGTCGTTCTTGCACCGCAAGAAAACAAGGTACGTGTACCTGCGGCGATTAACGGCAGCAGTTATTAGCTGCATTGTCGATCCCAACCCCAGGCGGAGTGTTTCCTGGGAAGCAACGCCCCAAACTGCCCCTTCCCCGTCCTGTCTGTGCAACACCAATGCCCTCCGAAGCGAGGCAAGACCAAGGCAGAGCAGATCATTTCCTTCACGTGCTCGACTCCCAGTCGCCCCCAAGATTCAAGTTATTACCCACCGTCCCAGGAAATCGTGACCTATCGTTTTGTCAGTTGAGGCTGGAAATATCAACCCGGGCCGGATAACGTCTCGGAGACCTAAACTAGCATCCGCCGAATGAGATGAACATGATAAATGATTAGATGCAAATGCTGCCGAGCTGCGCAATCTTCCCCTTTTTGGTAATCGAATTATCAATCGATACATCTATTCATGGATGGATGGAATGGCTGTCGAGAGTGTTCACAGGATCTGAGGCTTGGTACGCACAGCCTCGAGCAGCCTCTAGCAAAGAGACACAGAAGAAGCACAATGTAAGATATCAAATCAACATCTGAAATCATTTTCTTCCACTGAAAAATCTATTCATTTCGCTTGAATATAATTGGGTTCATTGACGACAGAAGATGGAAGTAAACCAACCGCAACATTTTAGTAGCACCTGCTAGGACATTCTCCGCACCATTAATGGCTCACGTTCGAGAGCTGCGGGATGTTTTCATCTGGCTCTCATAATCAATTACCCAGCGAGGGATGCGATGAGCCGAGCATTCGAGGTGCATCGCTCATAAATAATTGAAGGTGTGCTTGCTCGCTTTACTTTAGTTAGCTATCTCTCGTTTCTATGGTTCACGGTCCGAGTTCCTCGAATGCACTACATCTCCAGCCAGTTACTGATCATTGGTGAAGTGGGTGTTTCTGTTTCTGTTTACGATAGCCTTCTTCCTCTTCAATGTTGTTCCCCCACCTTTTTCCCTTACGCAAAAATCGCGCCCGTGCAGGGAGGGGAAGGAAGAATCGGGTTGAGATCGGTGCCCTCCGGAAGACAGCGTGTATGCATCCGGATCGCCGCCTTGCCCGACCGGGCCAAGTATACCTGCATCATGTCGCCCAGCACTACGAAATTTCTTCCCCTGAAACGACGACATGCACTCGAGCAAATTCTCATGAAAGGTTGTCCTTGGCAGCTGAACCAGCCAGAGATGGCCAAACCGTAGAGAAGACATTTGCGTGTTCCGCCTATATCTTTATCCAAGGACAGTGAAGCGCGGGGACCAATAGATTCCTGCGAGTAGTAGCCACCTGCGTTGAATCGATGAGATGCCGCAATAACAAAGACATTATCCTCTTTCCCAGGCGTCACTATGACTACTGGCGATGCCTCCGGGGGCAACGAAAAACGTCCAGGTCTGTTGATGTTCACTCTGCAGCTTTGTTTTGGGACGGGTCTCCCAGATCTAGTTACTGTCCTCTCCATACATCCATTGTATTCATCGATAGCGAAGAGCCTCGCGCGTGTCCAAACAGCTTCAAAATGAATGGGCGATGCGGGACTACAACAGCTGCAATGGATCCACTGGATGCATGGATCAATTCATTAACATCAAAACCACTCCTCTTGTTATTATTAGGGGGTCTAGATAACCAAAACTGTGGTAAGAAAAGTTGGAGTAATGGGAGAGATGTGTCAACATCGGAGACTAATTTACAATCTTTAGGCTATTAGGTGAGCAGAAGTGAACGAGGATGGCCGGCCCTCCCAGTTCCGTGCCTGCGATGACTATCGTATCAACATGTCAACATGGCACCTATTTACCATTCTGACGCCGCCACTCTCGAGCTTCTCTTTGACCTTGGGCTGCTGCCAATTCCCGCCTTCGCTTTTCTTCAGCGAGGTCAGCGAATGATTTCAATTTGCTGTTATCGCTGGGTGTCGGAGAGCCGTAATGGACCGTGACAAGCGGCCGGCGGCTAGTGTTGACTTTGGTTTGATGATTATCCATATCAGAAATTCGTTCGAGACTGATGCGGGAGTGATTCAGGTTTGTAATTTAGGGGATATTCTAAACTTGCACGTCTGTTAGCGTTTTGCCCTGCTGTGGATACTCGAATATAAGAAAAGGACTTACGGTTGGGATCTATGGAGAGGATTTGGGTAGCCTCGGGCTGTATGCAGACAACAATAGAATCACTACTGAGTGAGTCTATCACGGCCATTATATACATGTACGTAACATCGATCTCGCTCTTCGTGTTTACTGCGACGCCAGGCCATGATTTCACAAGAAAACACGTCACTAGCACTAACACAATATCTATGCCATAATCCAAAGTAATCCCAAAGGAGGGCGAGCTCTTCGCCCTCGTAAGTAGGGCGTCGTAAAGCTAGACACCGCCCTACTATGTTCTAGCTTATGAATCCCCTTCTATAGCTCTGGGTCGCTTTGGCGCCGCAGTGTTAGGCAGGTGATCGATCCCCCGCCCCCAAAGCCGGTTTCAGTATGGAGAGGATGTTATCACAAGGGTCTATGCCCTTCGCAGCGTCGATATCAGATTCAAGGCGGGCACGACGGTGCGCAGGGCATAATTCCTCTCTCTCGCATGCTTCCTATGAAGAGGATACCAATGGGGCGAAACAAGTTAAGGAAGCTCACTAACGAATAATTTAGCAGGGCGAACATTTGGGATCGGGGTGGGTCATGTGAGGCGGTCATGGAATTCATTTCGAGGGGCTTTTGGGTAATGATCTTCACAACTGGAGCGCATCCCGTAGCTCCGAAGTGGAGATCCTTGGCCCGTTCTTCATCAAACTGGGGGACAGAATGTTTCTTGGCAGGTAGGTCAAGGAACATGGAATGGGCCTCGCGATGAGGTCTCTGCCGATATCTTGAATTCCTTGTCTCCGGCCGACAAATTACTTTGCGCCATTAGCCATCATTTGCATTCATACAATTGCGGGTTTGGTGTTTTTTAAGATGACTGAAGTATTCGTCTTTGGATGTCGCTTTGGCCGTGTTTTTCCTTCGACAACCAAGGTAACGAGGCTGTTCTCGCTGCGAATTTTGCCTCGGGATTTACAAGGCCCAAAACTTCTTTTGTTCTTATTTTCTGCTTCTTTTGCTTCTTTTCCTCTTCCCCCTTTAGTCGATCGAATGGCTACTAACTAAATCGCGGACGAAAGAAGGAGGCTGGGTATTATTTTCTTGTCGACGCGTAATGCTGATGATATTTTTATTATCGCCGGTTGACGCGATCCCCCTTCCTGCCGAGTGCCGGGAGGGCCTTTGCTCCTTCCCGTGCGTGCGTGGTGGATTACCGAAGGGTTGGCACTGGCCAGCTTGTGGTTGGTTCAGCACGGGAGTTTGAAGCGGCACCCGGAGCAAAATTCCGGGCCCGACAAAGATCAGATTGGTCTCGCTCCTGCACGCTTCAGGTCCTGCTAGCCAGCTGTCAGCATGCCCGTTGTTTCACCTTTGGCTGTCACAGGATTGCCACCTTTTTCTTCCCCTTTTGAGGAGGCTGACATTTGCAGCTTCCTTTTACTTCCGCTTATTGTTTTTCTTTTTCCTTTTCGAAAAAGGAAGGAATAGAGGAAAATCTTTTTCCTGCGTGGTCTTTACTTTTCCGTGGGCGATGCAGCGCACTTCACGTATTATTCTGACATATCCCGCCCCTACGGTGGAGGCTACGATACCCAGCCAGCCAAGGGAGGCAATTCGCTTCAAGCGGCCCGACGAGCTTGAACCTCGAGCCATTGGGTTTCCCTGCACCATTGGCGTTTATCCTCAGATGCCAGTCGATGATTACGTCTAGATCCATCTACTCGGCCCCGGTTAGGCTGAGCTGGCTTGTGGTAGCACAGACTGGCGAGGGCCGACAACCACTTTCCCCGGCCACGACTTGTAATCCTCTATCGCTTCCTTTTTTCCCCCTTTTCCCTCTGTTCCCATCCAAGGATATATACGCGATTTTGCCGTTTTGGCTAGTTTATCAGAACGAAGCCTCTGAAACGAGGTGCCATGAGGTTTCTCGATTGGATGCAGGGCGAATGGTAAATGGCGGGCAAGCCGAGAAAGTTATAGCTTCTAGGAAGACGGAGAAATTGGAAACTCGGTCCTGGGCTTGAACCCTCACACACCTTGTTTCGAGGGCAATGCAGCCACGTCGGATCTTGGGTAAGCATGTCTAGAGAGCGAGTTGGTTTGGCAGCCTTTCACCATCACCATGCTCGAAAAAGGGCGGGATCATATTCCCTTCCCCGGGTTCCCCGGTCCCCACACCTCCTGTCTTGCCATTACCTCTCGATATCGCTATCGATGAGATGGCTTCCCGAAGAAGCATGGGAATGGCTGGAAGAAACAAACTTCGCGTATTATGTATGTTTCTATCATTCGGTTCTTTTAGGACTGTTAGACCTACATGCTACAGATCCCCACATATTAACGGGCAGAGGAATAAAAGGAACCCCTCTCAAGGGGAAGGCAAAGGGGAAAATAAAAAATGAAAAATAAAACAGCCTGGCACTTACCTAGCAAACGACGAAGAAAAAATGGGTGTGCCAATACCCTGCCCTAAGCTACAGGGGGTTTCTGACCCGAGAATGTCTTGGTCCGTCCCGGTCTCCTGCGCATTGAAAGACAAAAAGCAAGGTGACATCTACGTGGTTCAGAATAAGGGCAGCTAGTGCCATGTCACGTCACCATCAATATAACCCTTTTGATCCAGGTTCAATATCTCTCGGAGCTAGAGAGGTTGGCAGGAACGACTGCACAGGTAAGAGCAAACTCTGACAAAACCCCACCAGCGAGATCCATCTATCGGATCCATCCATCAATGATCCATCCAGATCAATGTACCGAGGTATGGATGGATGGGTGGTGGAGTGGAGTTGATGCTTCGCGGTTGCTTGTTTCTCGTTCCTGGGCATCCACCACCTACCACTTGCTTGCCATTTTTCATCAGTCCAGTTCCTGGGAAGCCCACGAGGTAAAACAGGAGCCCAAAGAGGTAGCGGTACGTTTAAGTAGCCGAGAGTATGATGTAGGTTACGGCGAGTGTCAATTCAATCCATCTATCTAAGGAACCATCTTAGTTTTGCACCCACTATACGGCCGAGCTCAAACATGCAAGGCACGACTAGAGGTCGGGGATGTTTAGGCTGCATGTTGCATCGCCGGGGATGCAACGCGTCTGGTATCCTGGAGCTCGATGGATCTCGCCTTTTCCTAAGTAGGTGTATGTTTGAAGCGAAGCAAAACAGTCCCAAAGTGGCCGGGAGAGGCAAGGAAGGGGGATGGCTGAGGGAAGCCTTTGGGATGAGCGGGACTTGAGTTGGCTGGCACACTCGAGGGCGGGCTCAGATCGCTGTCCACTCCCGGTTCTCGCAGCTAGCGATGCGATTAATTGGAGCTCGGGTTGGTCGAGTAGGAAATCGGTTTGTGCGGTAGGTCACGGATATCGAGGATTCCACATCCCACATCGCATGGACGTTTAGCATCGAACCCGAAAGAACATGAATGAAAACCCTCCTTTCTTTTCTTGCTCTCCCTCCATCTAACTGGAGAGGTCGAAAAAAGAAAAAGGAAAGAAAACAAAAGTAAAAAGTCAACCCTACTACCAACTTCACGACGAGCCAGGCCCCAAAACCCTCCCCAAGAGGGGACCCAGAGGTCACATAATTGCTTCTTCGTCCCGATTTCACTACCAACTTTGAAGCTGTCAACCACATTCTTGGTTTTTCCCACAACGCAGTCTCGAATATTTTCCTTTTCTTTCTTTACTTCCCGTGCCAACTTGACAACCAACCTGCTTTAGTACTCACGTCCCCGTTGCCTTTTCCTGCCCCTCGCCCCCTCCCACTCTACCCACCTCGCCCTTGCTTGGGGCATTTTTGCTTGGAGTCTGGCCTGTTAAAGAATAGTTTCTGCTGCGACACGCCTGCTCCCAGCACAAAATGTGTTGCAAACCCCTGCTTTTGCTGAGAGCCCGGCTGTCGACGCGGGCGTTCGCGACACGATCCGGACCCTGCCTCGATCAAGCCCCCTTCTTGTCGAGGACAGTTCGCTACCTCCCCATTCTTCCTAACCCGAGAAAATAAAACGCGGTACCGCTACCCTGTAATATATATCTTCTCTAATGACCCCGTCGCCAATGTTCAATTTAACCCTTTTCGGTCCACGGTCAATTTCTATCCGAACGTCATTTCTTTCTTCATTCTGGACGGCTTTTTTTTCTTTCTGCTTGGTCCGTTTTTATTTTACTCTTCTTTAGGCCTGCCCTCTCAGTAGCCGGTGGAAGATCACACCCAATCGTTACATTGTCACACCTCGTCCACGAAAACTCCGTGTAAGCAGGCATTCTGGGTGCGCATACTCTTGCCTTGTTCCCCGAGGCCCGTGGTCTGCACCTGGAGATCTCATAGTCGGAAGAGTTCATCGAATCAGACACTCTCCTTCGTGAGCCAACAACGACTCGCCGCAACCCGAACAGCTCTTCCCGCCCCGTTTTCGGAACACGACGCCTCGTTTCGCTGCTCTTTTTCCTGACGCCTCATCTTACTTGATCCCGGCTTCTTCTTCTTCTTCTTGTTCTTTCCTTTCACCCCTATCCGCGCCTAACTTTTCTTCTCCTGTCTTCGTCCAGCAGGAGCAGAACTAGAAATGGCCTCTCCTACGTACCAATCCCGTTTTGCCACGGCAGTCGCTGCTGCCGTCGGTACAGCTGTTGTGCACGCGGCACATCTCGCCTACACGGAATGGGCAAACCGGACAAAGAGGCCCAACAAGCCGTCGGCCAATTGGCCATGGAGGATAACTCTCTTCGTGTTCATGACCATCGCTTTAACCCTGATCGTCTTCTGTGCCCTCAGGAAGACGGACGCCGGCATCGCTATCCTCGATGCGGTTTCCGTCACGCACGTGGTCGTCGTAGAGGTAGGATCTTACCCTTGCACACTCTCGTCTCCCGGGGCGAGCCAATCCCGGCTTTCAGCAAATTACCTTGTCTTCTCTTCTTGAATACCATCGCTAACCTAGGCCATGATAGCATTACATTGTTTCGGTACTTACCGATGCTCCTAGCACCTCGGGTCCGAAGCGGTGTTACTGGATCGGCACGGGGATGCAGGTAGTGTTTGCGGCGTTTGGGCTGTGGCAGCTCACGGAAGGGTTCAACATCTTTTACGATGCGCCACTGATTTCGCGTGCCATGTTCGCCGCGGTAGCAATCTATTTAACATGCCAGATGACGCAGTCGCAGGCGCACATGTACCTCATGGCGGCGTGGTCGGTGTATGCGACGATCAGCACACTGGCATCGCTAGGGCTCCTCGCCGCCAACGCGGCGCTGTGGTCGCGGAGTGGGTCCGCCGGCGACGGAGAGCAGCTCCAGGCGCATGCCCTCGCACAGTGCGTCCTCGGCTGGCTCGACAGCGCGGTCATGGTCGCCGCGCCTCTCCTCCTCAAGCGTCTGGTGGGGCCCGAGGCGGCGGCGGCGACGGCGACGACGACGGCCAACGGGTCGCTGACACGGTGCAGCACGCCGCGCACGTCGGTGCTGACGGTGGAGAGCCTCGACTTGAGGCCGAGCTCGGCACGGACGTCGGACGGGACATTTGTGGATCTCGAAGCCGGAGATGTGGTGGCGCTCTTCGACAAAAACCGGTCCACGCTCGATTTAGAGGGACTAGCGGAAGCGCTAGAGGCAACGCAAGCGGAGGCGGCAAGGCACGCGGACGGCCGGTGCGGCCGATAATCGAGCTCCTGGGTTCTTTTTTATCATTCTGGGGTCTATCCTCTTCTCCCCTACCGCACCACCACCACCACCAATGTCTCCTACACTGCGGGTGCTCATTTGGCTACATGTACGCATCGACGTCTTTTTCTCTTTTCCCCCGTTTCTGAGGGAGGGGCGCCGAGCTCTACATGTAGCCATGGCGGTCCAGGCCACTGACCACGGCCGCGCATTTCGTGTTCAGACCATCGGCATTGCGCTGCCGCAGCCAAGACGCAACCCCAACAAGTACATCTGCGAGAATTATGCTTATTTTACAAGTTCAGCTCTGTTGGTTCCGGAAAGCGTGGGGTGCCGGGAGGGGTGGCGTCCTCGCTTGCTCATTTTCCTGCAACGCCCGGCTCGGCTTTCTCGTTTTCTTTTGGGGTTTGTCGCAAAAATCTCAACAATCCTGCTCGCTCTCGAGACAAGATTCGGGAAACCCGCGCTCCCCAAAATCTCGATAGTACATGTACAAACAAGGGAAAGGGGAAGAATCGCGGAACAGGACATTGAGGGCAAAGCTGCCATGGCATGAGATCATGAAGTATGCCTTTCAACAATGACGGTTTGGCCTGGTGATTTTTTTCTTCTTTCCTCTTATCATTTCTTTTAAACCTCTACCCTTTAGACTTTCTTCACACCTTGTATTCTCCCTTTCATCCTTGTTTTTCTTTCGAATTTTCTTTTTGGCGACGGCGCAAAGGCAAAAGGCTATAGAAAATAAGGGCACAGGACTTGACAAAAGACACAACAGATTATGTATGATTGACAATGAACGCACGACGAAAGGAGGAGGGAGGTGGGGAGCGATGAGGGAAAACATAAACATGAACGAATATGTATACAAGATGAATAGCCTCGAGAGGGGCATGAGGACCATAGCAGTATTTCACGAGAAGAAGAATATAACGAACAAAACCAAGAGACTAAGACATACATCTATATGCACGGGTTCTTAACTTGTCAACTTGCTCATGGGGAACCAGAAACCAACGCCACTCGTCTATGTTCGCGCGAGAGGCCGGATAGGAGGACCACAACGGACTATAGCGCATGTTGAGACGCGGGTTTCTATGACTAGCAAGGCGTTTCCTTGGTTTTCTCAACTCATCACCTGCTGAACGCTCGGCGGCTAATGTCTATCCTCAACTCTATCTCTCTCTCAACTATATCTCCCTTCCTGCCACCCACCTCTTCTGATGTCAAGGGGCGTTCCCGAGCCAACTACTGGATGCCACACGAATCCAAGAATGGAAACCCGTGTGATACTACATATAGGCGCCTGTGGGTGAAAACGGAAAACGCCTCCGGGCTGGGCACGTCAAAGCACATTGAATTCGAGGTTGGCCAGAGTTGTTCGGTTTTCTGTTCGGTCTTCTTTTGGCCCTTTTTATTTTTAAATCTTTTTCGGTGTTCTCCCTACCTCTTCTTTCTCAGCCCTCTCTCGGTAGTATTCCTTCACAGAAGACTACCGCGACTGGGAACCCCGGGTTGAGGTCTAGATGCAAAGGGGGAGGGGGCTAGCCCGTTGCCCGTCACAGCCTGCGCGGGAGGCAAGGAAGAATGAGTGGTGGAGTTAAGGCAAGGGGTACGCTGGAGGGAGAAGAAATTTCTATAAGAAACGCCCCGACTCTAATTCAATATGAGACAAAATGATGCTGCTAAGAACAGAAAAAAAAAGAATAAAAGGAAACGGAAGAGACATGGACAAAGGGGAAAAATAAAATAAAAATAAAAAAATTTAACAACTCGAAAAAGAATGTGAGGCTTGTCGACTAGACATCACCAGGCTGGCTGCTGCGGCACTGGACCAACCACTTAACACCGTTCTCTCCCTTTTTGGGTACCGTTTTCCGGTTTTACCATGACGTTCTAGAAAGACACCGAAAACACCCCTCGAAAAAAATACCCCTCTCCCTCCCCTCCTCCTTGCCTGCATATGCTGTAGGCACCCTCGTATTTTAACCCAATATGCAGGCGTGTTATGGTTCGCGCACTAGAGGAGGAGAACGTTAGACCTTGGAGTGGAAGAGAATGAATTGTAAGAGGTGTTTATGCCCAACTACCTTTCGTACTATCTGTGCCTTGAAGTTGTATGCAGCGACATCTCTGCTAGTCTGAGCTACTTGGAGATGAAGAGATGCAGACCCGAAGAAGGCTCTCTTGTACGGGGCCGGACTGACACTTTTGGCAAGGCGGCGAAGCGAAGTTGAAGAGGAAAGGTCTGGTAGGCTGGTTGAGCTGAACGCAACTCTACGAATCTTCATGGTAGTATAGTTTGGTTAGCTAGTTTGTTGCGAAGCCAAGCACATCGTTCGATCCGTTGTTGATCCATCCACTCTGCCTCTAGCGACCTTTCATCGTGATCCCTCGAGTCATCCGCGAACCAGTTCTGAGGAAGATAACGAGATTCCCATGCATAGCCCCGAATTTCGTAGTCTTCTGGTAAGGGTTTGACCGCGCGCCGTTCCATTCCATTAACATCTTGGAGCAAGCAGGGAAACGGATCAGTGGGGGCTTGAGCCGTGGCCTCATGCCCACCATTCCCACTTTCGGTGGACTGGGAGATCCTATCCAGGACCTCAGCAAACAAGGACCAATTCACCAGCGGTTGGAGCCTCGTCATCAAACAGCCCCCTTCGCCATGGCTAGTGGGAGCCTCGGGCCGGCTGCTGAAGAAGGCTAACGTAACGTGTATATATGGGGTGATGCCTACCCGCTTGGCATCGTGGCGGAGCACACAATTAAGGACTTGGGCCTTAAGGATGAGGGCTCTATCCAAGGCTCGACTGTGCGTTAGTTGATTCTCTTCGAAGGGGAGGCTCGTTGTGGACGGCTCCGGCTGCGGAAAGCCGTATGTTTGCATGGCACTAATATTGACCAAGGCGAGACGATACCTATAGTGCGTTTTCAAATTTAATGTTAGCCATAGTTTAGCTTATACTCGAGGAATAACAAAAAGAAATAGTAAGATAGTAGGCGATGGAGAGGTTTGTAGGGGAGGCAGGTTCTTACAGGAACTGTTTCAAGGAATTCTCATTTTCGGTTGGACCAACAGTATCCTTGCCAAGAAGGAATTCTCCAAGCTCCGAAACCAGTTGGTCGAGGCCATTGTGAAAGACCTTGTCATCGGAATTGAGCATGATAGCCCTGTGCACCTTCACTAGCGTGATCTCCACCGGAGGGCAACCTTCAGTCCTCCTCTCGTCTACCTGAGTGAATAGAGAGAGGATAGTCTCCTTGGATGTCGCAAATGGCTTCGTGGTACAGAGACTTTTGGTATAGTTAAATAGCTGCTCTAATAGGGCTGGTCTTGAGAGAATAGAGATATGATGATATCGCTGGCCGACGCCTGGGTCAAGGTCGATACTCCTGCGGTACCAGTACTTAGCAATCCCGAGATAGAGCGCCCTGTCTTCAGTCAAGTCTGATTCTATGGCCATCCTAAACCGCGCTAGATCACCTAGACACTCGGCCCACACGTCGCTTAGATCCTGGGTATTTTCATAGAGGACTGTGATCATGTTGAAAGCCAGTCCGATGAACCGATGGATATACGCCTGAGATTCTGATAGATGCTTTCGCATAAGATCTAATAACCTATAGATTGCGTGTCTCCATAGTCGCGCGGGCATGCTGTATTTTGTGATAACGTTCTTTAACTTTTCCGACTTGGCTGCTACTGGGTGGCGGGTAGCGAAGAAGAAGTCGCAAAACTCGTAGAGAGCAGTTTGGTGTAGTATCAGGAGCTCGTTCCACTCTTCGTCGCTTATAGACCCTTGTTTCTCGCTAAACTTGCTCACGCTCTCGATACACTCATCTTCTACCTTCACCAGGGCGGCATATATCCCACGGATCTCGCTCACAAGCTGGTCAAGCGTTACTGGTCTCGTGTTAGGCTCTCTTTTCATTACCCATTCGGGCTCGCCGTCGGCTTTGGGGGTGGAGCATTGCGTCGTTTGCGTGATGTCGGGACTCCTAAGATTTTCACACCCTCGCTGCGGTACTATTTTGTTCTGAGGGGCCTGCGAGTGGAGACGGCTTGGACTAGGGTCTACCATAGTTGAAATGGGAGTTAGCTGTCCACTGTTGCATGCGTAAGTAGCCGGGGGTTGATAATGTTTGGAATCGCATTGCGACATATTCCCAATGGCCTAGATACCTCGCGCGTTAGAATTCATACTCCGAGGGAAAGGTGAAGAGGAGATCGTTTTCCCCTTGCCGCTCGCCTCACTTACTTCCTTTGCGCCCTTGTGCAGCCTCACCTTGGCCTGAGGGGAAAAAGGTCCGAAAATGAAGTAGGTAGTAGTAAATGGAATGGAAAATGCCGAGAAATAAAAATAGAGAGGCGAACAACGGAAAAAGAAAAAGGAAAAGGAAAAAAATCTCGGTGTAATCCTCCTTCGTCGCGCTCGAGTCCAATCCGCCCCTCGATGCGTCTCTGTGTATTGCACCCCTCTCTTCTTTCTATCTACGCCGCTTTTTTTTTTTTTTTTTCAGCGGCTTATCTAGCTTCCCGGTTCTTTTTTCTCTTTTTTTCGCCCGGGAGGCCTGAGCGAAGGCCCCAATGTTGATGGGGATATATTGATGTCCTTGAAGGTTTTAAGAGCCACAGCTACAGCTGGTTCGATTCTCTTTTCTGGCGTCACCCGCAAAGCCTAAGTGGCGGCTAAACGTTGGTACCCAACTCTGGAAGTGTTATGGTCGAGCGATCGCGCCTAGTGAACAGCGTTGTTCTTCCCGCTAAACCAGAAGGTTCCATCAAGTCGCAATTCGTTATCAACCCTCCCTCTGGGCATAAGCTAGACTAGGCCAACCTCAAGGTCAATACACTGACATCCGTGTTGAAATCTTTGACCTATTGCTAGAGCAAAATATGTTGTGGGCGAATAACGGCAAGAGCCGCCACGAAAGGGTCGTCGTCAAGGGTGTCGGCTTGAACGTGGGCATATATCAAAAGCTTAGTCGCTTTGGGTGGCCAGTGAATGTAGGTTGGTTTGAAAGAGGGAAACAGCCCTGGAAATAATGATGCTGGGCAGCTAATAGCACAACGAATCAAAGAGAATAATGGATTGAGCGCATGAGACGTTAGGCATCGCCACCACAACATAAATAAAATATGGAATGATAAATGATGTTGAAGTGTCAAGGAATGAGGAATGAAAAGAAACAACCAAGGGGGACATATGCAAGGGTTTTTATAATACATATACATACTAGATCCTATAGCAGGCTGAGGCCTTATAACTTGAGGCGTCAGGTTCTGAACAATGGATGGTTCGCCTTCTTGGTATATTGTTCTCAAGTGCTCCTGAAAGAGAACCGTTTTATATTAACGGCAGCCTTATAGGGTGTGTAGCTAGATGCATATGCAAATCAACAAGCCATTTCTTCTCTAATATGCTAAAATTCACAGTTTGATATTACTGTTATCATCACTCGCAAACCAGTAAAGGTGGGAGAGAGGAGAATAGATTAGGAGAGGATAGTGGAGTTTATCTCAATACTCAATCTCTCATTATCTTGCCAGGAGCTTGCTTTGTTTTCTTTACCTTCGCTTCTGAGGGTGAGTGGAAGGGAGAGAAAATCACTTAGTGGTCAAGCGACAAGCCTCTGATAGTGGGCCTCCTCTTATTGATTCCCTCGTATGTATCATAGAGCCACTCAACCCCCGGTGAGGTCGGCCAGGGGCAGTAGTTCGGGCTTGCTGCCGATGGTCGATCCGTCAGGTTCTCTGGCTGCCTAGAGGCTTGGGCTGGTTGAAGGTGTGCCACATGACGGCACTGAATGATGAAATAGACAAGACATCCATGGCATAAGATCCACCAAAAGGATACAGGAGAAGTTTATGCTGTTGCCCGCAAGGAGCTACGTGTGACAAAGCTCAGTGCACATGAGAAAGGGTTGCGCCGGCGTCCATAATTGGGAGTCTCAGAGATCCAGACCAGGAAGAACCTACCGTGCTTAAAAACTCGTCGCGGGTGTATGTTTCCTGATTCAAGATATAACGCTCCTACTTGACACGAATGGTGCTCAAGAAGATTTGAACACTGCACGACAGTATCAAGGCTACCGAACAAGCTGCTGTCAGCCCGCTCACTGGATTCCGCACACAGGCTTGGCGGAACGTCACTTCATGGCTGACTAAGCATTCGACATTTATTCTTCAGTCAATTTCTAAATCATAAATCACCCACTCCCATCAACATCAAATACCAGCGCAAGCACGGCATTTTGTCTCGTGCATCGCATATCCCTCTACCGACACCCGAGAATTTCTTTAGGGAAGAAGCAGGAGGATAATATTCTGTGGAAGGAACGAAATTACGAGCAAGGAGCAGGACGGAAGACAAGACAGAGAGGAAACACGAAGAAGACAATCTGCCACCCACGAGATCAACAAACAGTCACGATGCCTCCCCGCGGAGACCTGACCCCAAAGCCGCGGCGGCCGGCCCCGGCTCCAAGCAGGAAAACATCTACATCCCGTCATTCATCAGCAAGCGGCCCTTTTACGCTGGCGAGGAAGGGGACCCAACCGACTACCTCGAGCATCAGCGCCTGCAGAAAAAGACGATTCGGACGACTCCAAGTGGTACGCCCGTGGGAGGCGCGCGGGACCCGCGGCCACCAAGTACCGCAAAGGTGCCTGCGAGAACTGTGGCGCCATGACACACAAAGCCAAGGACTGCTTGAGCCGGCCGCGGGCCAAGGGCGCAAAGTGGACCGGCAAGGACATTGAGGCCGACGAGGTTGTGCAGGACATCAATATGGGTTGGGACGCGAAGCGAGACCGGTGGAACGGCTTCGATGCGAGAGACTACCGCGCCGTGGTTGAGGAGTACAACGAGATGGACGAGCTGAGGAAACGCGCCCAGCAAACAGACAAGGACGCTGACGGCGGCGACGCATACGCCGAGGAACTCGACCCCACGAAGCACCAGAGCACCGCGACGCGCCAGCTTAGGATACGCGAAGACACAGCCAAGTACCTGCTCAACCTCGACGTTAACTCGGCCACCTATAACCCCAAGACCCGCGCCCTCGTCAACGCCGGCGAGGTCGAGGACGACAAGGCCGCCTCCGTCTTCGCGGAAGAGGGCTTCCTAAAGGCCTCGGGTGACGCTGCCGAGTTTGAGCAGGCTCAACGCTATGCCTGGGAGGCTCAGGAGGCGTCGGGAGATACCGGTATGCACTTGCAGGCCAACCCCACTGCTGGGGCTTTTTACCGCAAGAAGGAGCAGGAGGCCGCCGACAAGGTGCGAGCGGAGCGCCAAAGGCTCTGCTGGATCGGTACGGCGCCGACGGCGCTGACGGTTCGCAATCCGCACGCACGGGCGACCTAGCCGCCGCCTTGCAGGCAGCCGCTGTGACCGAGTCGGAGCAGTTTGTCGAGTACGACGAGTCGGGCGCCATCAAGGGCGCGCCCAAGGCCGCAGCCAAATCCAAGTACGCAGAGGACATCTACCCGGGCAATCACACTTCTGTCTGGGGTAGCTGGTGGAACGACTCGAGGTGGGGTTTTGCCTGCTGCCGCTCCTTCATCAAGAACTCGTACTGCACGGGTGAGGCTGGTGTGCAGGCCTGGGAGGTGTCCGAGAGGCAACGTACCGGCGTAGGGTTGATGCTTACGGAGAATGGGGAGGAGGAATGGGAGGAGGGCACATCGGAGGAGGCGGGTCGGGAAACCCTGCTTGAGGCCAAGGCAAAGGACAGGCAGTCGAGGAAACGACCGGCAGTGGAAATGACGGATGGACTCACGGAACTGGAACTGGATGAATACAGGAAAAAGAGGACGGCGGCAGACGACCCTATGGCGAAACTCCTCGGCAAGGACGAACTACTTTGATCCTAAAGAGCGAGAACGGGCAGGCTGCCAGTGTTACACAATAGGCGCGCTCCACAAAAAATACCTGGGAGGGAAACACTTGTACGATATTTATACCCCGCGTCACACAACAACAGTAATGAGCTCACGAAATTGGCTTTTGGTATTCTTTTCGTTTTCACATGGACGTTGTGAATAATTTCGGATATAGAACATAAAACTGATGCAAATAAATCCATTTTCCTGTCTAACGCCCCGAACTATGAGCGAGGTCCCATGCCCATGACACCAGATTCCGTAAGCTGTGTTTTTTGTCCTTGGTTGGTCGCCAACCGCTTCCCATCATCGCTCGTGTGCTACCCGTTTCATGTTGACTGGGGATGATGCAGACGCCAGGCTCATGCAACACCTCACACGTCACGACTAGAACGGCTGGGGTGAATTGGGGGTAGGCAAAGAATTTACTCCTCATCCTCCTCCTCCTCACCGTCACCGCCCTCGGCGGCCTTGGCCTTCTTCCTGCGGACACGGCCGAAGCGGCCACCGCCGAAGGGCGAGGTGATGGCGAAGTCAATGTGCTTCTGGGAGTCGAGACGGACGACGAAAGAAGGAACGTTGACAATCTGCTTGCCGACGCGGATGTGGCGCTGGCGGATGAGGACACGGGCGTGGTGAATGGACTTGGCAAGACCGAGCTTGTAGACGCAGGTCTGGAGGCGGCGCTCCAAGAAGTCCTCCACCTTAAGGGCAAGCACGTAATCGAGCTTCATGCGGGACTCGTCCAAGACACCAACGCGCACGAGACGACGAATGAGGGCATTGCCTTCGAAGAGACGCTTGGGGTCCTTCTCGTCGAGGGTAAGAAGCTGACTACAAACCAGATGCGTACGTTAGCGGAATTCGGCTCAACTTGACTCTTGGTCCATGATGGCACATCCGTCAAGGGAAGTAGCCCAGTGGTTCCTCAATCAAACACAATTGCGTCTTCTAAATCGGGAAAGACAAACAAGCACCAAAAACTTACCGGGCAGCACGACGAATCTTGGACAGAGTCAGCTGGACGCGCCAGACCTCACGCTTGTTGCGGAGACCATATTCGCCAACGAGCTTCAACTCAGAGTCCCTATAGATTCCTTCGCGTCAGTATACCTGGATCACTACGACTTGAACAGAGACAAGCTCATGATTCAGTGGCCGGTGATGACTGACAAACGAGCAGCCTCGAAGGGCCTGCGAGGGACACGAGAGGTCTTGGAGTAGGATCGGCTGGAGAGAACAATGGCATGTTAGTAAAAGGCAGCTCTACTCAGGAGTCAATCCAAATTCATTAATTTTCAAACTTACGGAGGCATTTTGTTGTCTCACGATGTCCTTTGGATGTTGACGGTGTGGTTGGTTGTGGGATGAAAGGTAAAGGAGCGCTTCGAAAAGGTTGATCGAAGTGGTTAAAAAACCTACTTGCACCCTAAAAGTGTGGGTGGCCTTCTCAGCAGTACATGTGGGGCGACCTGGAATCTGATTTGGTGAAGGAGACTTGATTCAAGGCGCACATTTTGACCTTGATTATGTAAGATGAGGGTTGGCCATGTTGCCCTAATTCCTTGCCCCTCTAGTCCGGTACGTACCTCATAGTCCTCCACGCCAATGGAGAGGGTCTGAAAATATTCTTGGAATTCTTGAAGGGCTTCGCACATTGACCGTATTTCGAACACTCACCTCGTTCAACAATCCACCACACCCTCCCTCGACAGGAACCCAAAACATCAGCAAAAATGGGTAGCTCTCGTGGTCTCCGTGCCGGTACTCGCGTATGTCTAACTCTCGATATCCATTGTCGCCCTCCGGCAACGCCTGGAAGCGATGCCGAGGCGTTTTTCCACTAGACTCGGCCGCAAAGGGATCGTTTTTCATGGTTGTTGGAATTTTGATGCTGATGCGCCTTTCTCTTCACGCAGTATGCCTTCTCCAGGGACTTCCGAAAGAAGGGTCAAATCGCCCTCAGCACCTACCTGAGGCAATACAAGTATGTTTGGCAGCTTTCTCCCGGGGCGGACGGGTGCGAAAACTTGGGATGGTATCATTTTGGTTACTGACAAACCTTGCACAGGGTTGGCGATATCGTCGACATCAAGGCCAACGGTGCCGTCCAAAAGGGGTAAGAATTGTCCTTCATTTTGTCACCAAACGATGCTAGCATCTCGCTTCGGATTGCCCCGATATCATTTCCACGCCATCTAGGAGAGGCCGTCCCATACGATCACAAATACACCACTCGTGGCAAATATTCAATACGCGGCGCGCCTCTCCCCCTGGCACACACAGAGCAAACGATGGAACTTTGTTTTTCAACGGAAATGTCTTTGCTTTACTAACGCCGCAACACTAGTCTCCCCTACAAGGTCTACCACGGTAAGACTGGCGTCATCTACAACGTTGCGAAGTCTGCCGTCGGCGTCATCATCTACAAGAAGGTCAAGCACCGATACATGGAGAAGCGCCTCAACGTCCGCGTCGAGCACATCCAGCCCTCCCGCTCTCGAGAGGGTTTCCTCCGCCGAGTAAAGGACAACGAGAAGCTCCGAAAGCAGGCCAAGGCCGAGGGCAAGCCCGTTCAACTCAAGAGGCTGCCCGCCATGCCTAGGGAGGCGCACACCCTCTCGCTCAAGGCGTCTCCTCTCGAGACGATCACGCCCGTGGCTTACGAGACGACGATTTAAAAATCCGAAACTATTGTGGTCTGGGTTGGGCGCGTGGTTGCTTGTTTTATAGGGGAGTTTTTTTAAACCCGAAAAAAGAATCCCGAGGATGGGTGGTTTCCTTTCCGACCAAAAAGCAGACGAAAGAAGCCCCACGGGCCCCCTCAAGATTTTTGGTAGCTTGAGGAGCCCAAAATGTCTTTGTGTGACGTGGAACGGTTCCGTACTTCTCTTGTGTTTTTTGCATGGGAGTCGAGGTTAAAGGTCCCCGTAATGTGGACTAGGCATTTCTCAAATGGCAAATGAAATCGGCGCATGCCCCCTTAGAGACTAAAATTACTACATTGATTGATGTATTGTTTGACATTCCCGTTGATACCATACATGCTCTGTTCCTGCCGGCCCCGTCCCAAATTTGGCTGATTGGATCTGATAACTTGGACCCCCAAACCCCGGACATTTCATAAAAAAGCTCGTCCTTGATAAACTCTACCTCCAAGGTCATGAATCAAATGATCCGATTCGCTGCCGCGGATCAGAGGATGCAATCATTGATGCTCTCCTTTTTATCATTTAAATGGGCATGCAGGGGAAAGATGTAAAATGTAAAAGGGAAACGTTAAATCAAAGAAGGTAATCTATACTGTTCACTGTTCACAGGTCCAGCTAGCACCTAACACCGTTATCATGATAGTAGTTCGCGAACTAACATGATATGGATGTAGCATAATCGGTGATGATATACGAGCCTGGTCGTGCGTTTCTATGTCTTTATTAAAAGCCTTTCACCCCCGCGTTCACGGGAATTGACAAAGTCTGGGTCTTGTGAGGACCGAAAGCTTCGTCCTTTTCAAAAACGGGGGTAAAGGTATGTTCTCTTCTCTGCCTCCTTTGAAAAATATATATATGTAGACCTCTGAGGGACAGGAAGCTGCAGGTTTCCGTTGCCAAGCAGCTCATAGATCATGCATCCATTGTAGCGTAGACCGAACATTACGTGGGTGTAATTGGCCCCCATATTGTTACGACCAGGCTCCTCTGCCCCCCTCTCCCGAACTTGCCGCGAAAGCGAGGCCAGGGCTCAACCTGACACGCCTGCATCCCCTACGATGTATGTCCGCACGGTGTCCAGCCTAGAGGCTACGTCGTTATCGTCTCTACCTACCTTGGTAGAAAGTGCGATATTACACAAAACTTTGTAACTCTACACGTACATATGTATCCATGGATGCCTCGAGCGGAAGCCGGCATTCGGACCACAACTAAGCTCTCTTCTAGCTTGGCCGCTTCACTCGTATCCCGAGCACCCACCCTTCGCTGCTCATAGCAACCGTTGTCCCCGATAATAGATTTCGGTCCTCAGCCATCGCGCGAGAGAGCGCCAGCCTAGGTAACGAAATCGGTGGCATTGTAGGTGTAGGATGTCATCTAGCTCTCAACTTGCTAGAATTTCTAGTATTATATGTCTAGCTAAGGCTTTATTCTTCTACCTCTTGTCTGAGCTCTTGTTGGGTTTGTCCAATCCTTCTTGAGGGGCCGGTGAGACCTAGCGGCATGGACGAAATACTGCATCTAGTCTCCATCCATCGAGAGAGGAAATCTAACATCGATGTCATAGGTTTGTCCTCGCTAGAAATAGAGCCCCCGGTCTCGGCAGCGCGATCGTCATACATAGAGATGTATGCGATGAGGTGCCGTGTAGAACAGCACGGGAGAGAGAATTTGAAGGCACGGTTTAACGCACCAGTGTGCTCGCCCCACAAGGCGTGTTGTTTCGGTATCCATGAGAAGGCTGAGGCTTCTTTGTGCGCGTGTCGGCTGCACTGAAGTGCGTTTAGGCTAGCCAATAACATCCCAATATGAAGGCTGATCAATGATGCACTTATTCATATGTGCTCTTCATTTCCATCGACGACTAACAAGCTATTTACAAAGAGCCCAACCATTCAATATTATATTTTTGCCCAACTTAGCACTTTACGTATCTATATTGGTGACCCCATTTCGGTATCGAGGAATCAGGGTTCTTGCTGAAAAAGGTGGGCTGGTGATGCATGGTCAAGCTGTTGCCCGCAAAGGCCACATTCGAAGTCAAGGGAAATATTACAGGATATCTAGTCCCCTTTTGGGCTCAAATAGCTTAGGAAGATGCGAAGCCAGCCCTGTACGTCGGGGCTTAGGCCATAGGTAACACAAGATGAAGATTCTCTTCTCACGACTGGCCGATTGGAATCTGACGGTTTCACCACTCCACCATGTAAGCATGATGAATGGAATATGTAAGCTGATGCCGACAACATGGAGCCTGCGAATGGCGGTTTGGGTCCTTCGATGTGGTCATGGACACCTCGTGTCCATTTACTGGAACGGCAAAGCCTAGAAAAATGCAGCAGTTTTAAGCTGATGGGGGAGGGGCCAGAGTGAGGTTGTAACAAATGTAAGATGCTCTCCTAGATAGGGCGGGACGCGCATTTGGGCAGAATTGTGCATGTTGAGGGGTCTGATTCTGTAACGGAAGGATGCTTGCAGCCTACAGGGTGTTGCCTGTGGTCATTCTTGCTGGGGATGGGGGTGGTTGACGCTCAGCCCGCCTCGTGAGGGACGGTCTCTCCGCTTCGACAAATGAGCGAGGCTTCTAGAGAGAGCCGGAGACGGATTCAACCAGGCTCGCGAGTTATAGGAGTAGCTCGAAGTTAGCAAAGTACTCTAAAGCGAGAAAGGAGGAATCGGTGGTTCCTCAGCTAGGAAGTGGTGCGTGTATCTACACTTTCCCCGAGAATGATCTTACGTGGAGTCGCGACATATACACGATTTGGCATTGCGATCGTAAAAGCGGCAGGCCCCTCCCACCAACCCTCCCACGGCTATGGTAGCCCGCTTGGCATTGCCGTCGACTCCATAGATTGAGCCTTGCCACGTCGCTGCTTGTCGGGGCTCATCATCGGGCACCTATACCGAGAGGCCCGATTAGTGGTAAGGCGAAGGTCAGGCTCTATTGAGCTTACTTGTCAACATCATCCGAGGGTATATCTTCCTTATATTGGCAGTTGTTCGGTGTGAGAGGGGCGGGAAGGTAGTGTAGTGGTGCTCTCGGGGACCAAGATAGCCTCAGTTTATGAGGTCACAGGGTGTTGGGAGCGGATAAACGCAAGGCATCGAGGGCTACTGTGCCGTACGTTGCGAAAGGAAAATGGTTGGTGGACTCATGGAGACCGTTTAAGATCACCGGTGGGTTCTTAACTTTGGCGTAGGTGTTGGAATCGGCCCTTTGCCAATCTTCAGAGAGAGGGAAGGTGCATAGCCCCCTTGAGTTGGCTGTTTTCCCAAGGCAAAGCTGCTCGAGGCTGAAAGGTAGGCTCCAACCGTGAGACAAGCCGCGTGGAGTAATGATGATGCGCATCCCTACTTTGGTTAGCTTGCTAGCTCGACTGGACTGTTATCGACGCAAAGGCAGTTATTGACCAAAAAATAATAATAATGGCAGCATCAGCTACGGCAATAATTGTCGAAGTGGACTCAAGATGACAATGGATACAGATGGATCTACCCATTGGCTTCATCCAAGTACTACATGTACGGGTCACTTTTAAATGTAAGTTGAACTAAGCGGTTGTAAGAAGTTGGGCATCTTGATTTATATTTCTGCGTCTCTTGCGAAGGGAACGTTGGATCTAATGGATCTCTGGATAGTGCATGGCAGAGACTTTGAGTCGAGATGGGGTACGGTACTGTAGGGTACATCAATGTACGTACTTTAATTGATTCAAGTGCGTTGACCGTATTAGGCGCGCTTCTTCGACGTGCAGCGCGCGTCAAAACCAACCAACAACCAAACCATTGGCGCCAAATAATTTCGTACCATCACGTCGTGACCAAACCAAGAGCAACCGCCACACATGTCTCACGAGATAGGCTGTCCGGCCTACAAGCTTCAAATTTAATCGGATGAGGAAGAGTTTAGTCTATCAGAAAGGTTTATAATCTCTATTCTATCTTCTTTTCCATTCTATAGCCCATAGGAAACGGAACAAAGACAAGTCGGTCAGGCAGGGGATTCTGCCCCCTGCCCCTCCCCTCATTCCAACTGCCGGCCTTTCACAATCAATCATGGCGCGCTATCTCACCCCGGCCAAAATCGGCCTGCTAGCTCTAATAGAGCTCTACGCAGAGGAGGCCGTCACCGCCGATGCCATTCTCCCCGTCCTTTCCTTCATCACCTCGCACCTCCTAGACACCACGGCGGCGGCCGCCGCAGCAGCGACCGTCACCTCGCCGTCCTCGTCACCCTGGCAAAGGCCGAGCGCACCGCGAATCTCGTCATCGACATCCGCGAGTTTGAAAAGGTCCTCGCTCCTCACCCTGTTGTCCTCGGCATGCCCGGCCGCCGCCTGTGGGACAGCTTCCTCCAGAAGCTCTGGGAGATTGGCTCCCTCGACGCCATGCACGAATTCTTCTCCCGCCTGCGCTTGCTCCTCCAGCCCACCAAGGAGGAGTTGCGCCGTATCGCCGAGGAGACGGGCGTTGCGCCAGACGCGGACCCCCGGGCAGCGGGATCCGCCTCTGCAAAACCTCGGTCTTTGGTATCTTTGTCCGCAGGTGTCAGCTCGAGTTCGCCCGCCTGCGGTTCCATGACGCCGCCGACTTGTGGAAGAGTTTTGTCAAATACCGCCAGCCTACCGCCCAGTACCTGAGGAAGAAGAATCCCTCGTTTGAGAGGCTGAGCTTCGACCACGTCCTGCTTGTGGGGAGCTAGAGGACCCCGGCTTTGAGGATCTGGCCGCCGCCGTGTACGGAGATGGCCTCGCAGGATGCTCCGCTGGGTCGTTTCCCATCAGTACTGATGATCTCGAAGGGTTACTGGAGTTTCAAGTCGAGCAGATGCAAAGTAAGTTGGCAGTCCTTCTCATGTTGTCTCTTTGCTTGCTGTACTGTACCAATCCATCACTATCGCCTAATGGGCAGTCACAACTAACAAACGGGTGAACAACCACACAGAATATGGAAATCGGGTCCCTCTTGAGACACGAGCAAAACTCCAGGACCTCATGCAGGACAGCGCGGTAACGCCAAGCGTCTCTCATTACGTCCGGTAAGAGTTCTCTCGCCTTTTGTTTCCCACTTGTCCTACTAACATGTAGGCCCCTCCTTAGCTTTTGGACAGTTGGAGGGCCGGGGACCTACCCAACGCGTTTGACTACCTCCACCGCTACTTCGATTACACCATGCAGAACCGCGACCGGCTCTTCTACCAGTACGCCCTCATGAACCTGGCCGTCCTGCAGGCCGAGTTTGGCTGCTACACCGAGGCCGTCGATGCCATGCTGCAGACCGTATCCACCGCCAGGGAGAACCGTGACATGACGTGCCTCAACTTTGCCCTCAACTGGCTCTTCCACTTTGGCCGCGCTCACCCCGCCCTCGTCCGTCACATCGACCCGGCTAGCACCCTCGGCTCCGCCAAGGAGACGCTCGCCTTTCTGCGCGTCCGCGCCAAGGAGACGGGCATGTGGACCCTCTGGAGCAGCGTCCTCCTCAGCGAGGCCAAGCTCGCCCTCTCCAACGGCGAGAGCGTGGCCACCGCTCTCGAAAATGTCGTACGCAGCTCCCAGGTCATTGTCGAGCGCAACGCTCGCGCAATGTTCGCCCCCACCTCATGCTCGTCGCCTCCCTCTGGGACCGCCTCGGCCTCTCCGCCCTCTCCGCCGCCACCTGCGAGGTCGCTCTCCGCGCCCATGCCCCTCACGGCGTCTTCGAGGACGAGTTGCGCCTCGCCTGCAGGCTTGCCATGGACCTCGCCGGTCGCGGCCGCTACGACGACGCCCTGCGCCTTCTTGACGACAAGGTGAACCCTGTGGGCGAGACTAGCGGCGTGTCCACCTCTATGTCGCCGCCCTCCGCATCCTCCTCCCACCAGGCCCTCCGTGCCGAGAAGACGCAGCAGTACTGGCGCAAGCACCGCGGCATCATCAAGCTCCGCCGCGACCTCGCCCGTGAAGACCTTGACGGAGCTTCGGACCTGCTCTCCCAGCTCCTGCAGTCCAAATTTGACGACCTGGAGCCCGACATGGCCCTATCCATTGACCTCTTGCACGTGGATTACCTCGTGCGCCGCGGGGACCTCTCCCGCGCGTTCTCCCTCGTCGAAGACCTGTTGTCTCGAACCTCAGACGATGTTCCTGAATCGCCGGCCACCAACGTCCCCTCCTCTTCCTCTAGCAGCGGCAATGCGGGCGACACGGCCCCCACAACAACAACAACAACAACAACAACGACGACGACGACGAATACCGCCACTTCTACTACAGCGACCACGGCCACGACGCCAACGCCCGACATCTCCCACCGTATCAGACTTCTCCTCGCCAAGGCCTCCCTTTATATCAAGGCAAACCAACCCTCTCGGGCTTTCTCGCTCGCCACCCGCGCTGCCTCCCTATCCCACCGCGCTCGCCTCCTCCCTCTCCTCTGGCGCTCCGTCGCCGTCCTCTCCGCCATCCTCACCTCCCTCTCCGAGTTTACCGCCTCTGCTCGCCTCCTCTCCGCCACCCTCCCCGCGCTCTCGAGTACGACGACGCCCACCTCGCTGCCTCACTCTATTCCGCCCTCGCTGACGCCGAGGTCGGACTCGCCGGCCTCGCGGGAAGCAACCCACACGCTCACGCACCCCTAGCAATACAGTCTTCGCCATTATCGGCGGTCCCTCGTCCCGCCTCATCGTCATCTGCGTCTTCCTCCTCCCCCGCTGTCGGGTTCGCCCTCCCGCGCCAGGACCGAGCACCTCACCCGCGCCACCGAGGCCCTCGACCGCGCCTTCAAGTACTATTCCGATGTGGGCGAAGCCCGCGCCGCCAGGGAGGTTATCGCCAAGCGCGCAGCCATCATGAAAATCCTCGGCGACAAAGCTCTCGCCGCGCAGTACTCGGCCAAGTATGTGGCCCTCCTTGAGAAGGAGGATGCTAGGCGGAAGGGTGTGCAGGTAGCGGGACGGAGCTGAGCTGTTACTTCCTCCCCCTAGGGCCCCTTCGCTCTTTCCTTTCTTCTATGGCGAAAGGCAGCTGGGATGGATGAACGAGATCCGGTCCCAATGCTTCCAAGGCTTGTGTCGAGAGCAGCGTACGATTCAAACCATAGATACCTAAAATAGACTTGAATGAATGCACGGAAAATCGCAGGCCAGCTGGCTTACGGATTCTCACTTTCTTCTCTTGGCGCTGCTCGTGCTGTCCGAACCGTCAACCATGGCATGCTTAGTGGGTAAATGTCAAACAAACGCGCAGGACGCAATATTTTGTGGTGGATAGACAGACCGGACACATTGGCGATTCCGTGCATCGTTATGATACTCGAGAATGGAAACATCATTAGGAGTGACGCTACCGCTCAAGACGGAGTCGATGGACGCAAGATGGCCCACACCATACCCATCAACCCCAAGTCATAGGGAATGTCAGCTTTACAGAAACCTCAAAAGGTATAGAGCAGACGGTGTTGCAGCATGAAGATGAACTACGGGTCTTATGATATTTCTATGTTCTGCAGGCTCGTATTTGAGCCAAAAATACATAGCCTATCTATATCTTCCGCCGGCATTTGAAAATTATGATGTGCGGTCTTCCCTACCAGCTTTGCTGATACGACGGCCCCGAGGCAAGCTGCGGAGTGTGAGCCTCTACAATCCCTTCAAGTTTATCCGGGAAAAAGACTAGGTGACAAGAAACACGAAAGAAAAGAAACGATGCAGGCGGTAGTGATAGTGGTGGCGGTATATTCTAGTTAGCATTTGAGGTTCCATTTTCATATTTCGCCAGACCTAGCTAGAAAGAGGAAAAAAGAAAACGGGAAGGGACGATCGAAAAGAAAAACACAAAGAACCAAAGGAAACGATAAACAAACCAGAACCCAGATACGCGATACGGTGGTGGTACATCCTGACCGGAACCCTGCTTCCCTCCTCTGACACATGATGTTAAAGTTTCTGGTCTCGTCATTCCTAACAAGCCTAGCCCCTAAACCCCTTGCTTCTATTCCCATCAAAATCATCTCACAGCCAAAGTTCAGTCCCAGCTTCCCGAGTGATGCTTAAAAGACAATCGAAAAAGAGACGCACATCGTGGAAAGGGGTAGGTTTAGATCTTAATGATCAACACCTTGAATTCGCGTTAACCGAGGTAGATGTGAGCCCAAAGAAGTAACCTTAGCGAGCTAAGTGAGCAGAAGGCTTGACACCCTTTCTCAAGCCCCATTTCCCTAGCTAGAGGTGCGCTAGCTGGCTAGAATAGGCGGCACTTGGGAGGCCAGGTAACCCCTCATGCCATCATCCTCAATATGTTCGTCACATACTTGATGTGACTGGTCTAGTGATGCAGGGCCGAATAGCGCTGGCGTAGGATCGAGCAATTGTTCTTGAGCCCTTTAAACTAGCCGCCTTAGAAAAGGTTGCGTCAAGTAAATCAGCACCCTAGGGGTTGCCTCCTGGGTATGCAATTTACGCCATTGCGCCAAACACCGCCATTCGCATTATGGCAAGACAGGCCAACGCGAGAATGAATAGAGTGAGAGAACAAGGCTTTAGTACTACTCGGGCCTTGGTCGCTTAGCTCCATGAGGATTGCCCCATTCTTGGTTGTTCGACCCCATTTGGGGGAAGAAGCCTGGGTTGAACGGGGTCTGCATACCGCCGCCGAAGCCTGATGGATGAAGTTAGTCCTGTAATCATATATCAAAGGAATGACATGGAAGCATACCTTGCATACCACCACCCATCATGCCCATACCACCCATTGGGTTAGGCATGCCACCCATCGGGCCCATGCCCATCATGCCATTACCCATGCCGCCACCGCGACCACCGCGCATTCCTCCCCGCCGCCGCCACGAGCCATGCCCATGTTCATCATACCACCACGATTAAAGCCAAAGTTACCGCCGGCCATGGGGTTGTTGAACATTTGATTGTTGTAGCCACCGCCGCCGGCCATGGCGCCTACACCGCCGCTCATGTTGTTACCACCAGAAAAATTGCGGTTGTAGTTGCCTTGGTTGTTATGCATGCTGCCCCGGTGTCCGTAGCTGCCACGACCCCTGTAGTTTCCGCGGAAGTTTCCACCACCCATGTTGTTTTGGTTGTCGTTGAAATTGGGACCGGAGGGGGTTCTATTCTGATTGTCCTTGCCCGCTCTCGCTGGGGCGTCCTTCGGAAGAGTTCGGAAGGGATTGACACCGGGCATCGAGTATGTGACTGCGAGCTTCTTGAACGAGGACTCCGCAGTCTCGTTGATCGTGTCAACGAAACGCTTGACGGCGGTGGCAGCCTGCTGTGACGTAAATTCGACATAGGCTTGGCTGAAAAGACGTCTGTTAGTACATACAAGGCCCCGTAGGCTTTAAACGAGGAGTGCCCTCATTGTCACGTACCCTTTGCTCTTTCCATTCACCTTGTGCTCGCTGAAAGTGACATCCTTGAGCTCATCTTCGCAGTGGACCTCGCGGGCATAGGCGCGAATGCCGTCATCCGTCATCCACCAGTTGAGATCCGACAGCATCAAAGCCGCGGTAGCACCAGGATCTACTGGCCTATCGTCATTATCCGCGCCACCTTTCCTTTTCACGCCTTGTTGAGGCGGACTTTGATGTTGGCTGTTATCTTGGACGGTCCTATCGTCGTCGTAATGGTCATCGACGTGAGATTCATCGGCATTGTGGCCATGGCCTTCGTCGCGGTAAGATTGCGAATCGTCGTGGTTGTGCGATTGTTCATTCGATTGATCGTTGGCAGCGTCACCGTAGATATCGATCTCAAACTCTTCTTCGGCCATGATGAAGTGCTTCCCGGTCGTTACTTGAACCGCTTTAGTTGACAAGGGCTCCCAGTAGGTCGTGAAGGGTATTCCGCGCGTGGCTTCGAGGGTGCCAAGGGTCCTACGCTTCTATTTAAGAAGGGAGGAAAACAGTAGACGGGACGCTAAGGGGTTTTTTTACCACTCCTAGCGAGAGTGTGCGTGGGGGAAATAAAGAGAAGAAAGACTAGAGCACTAAATATGCTCTGTCAAGAATTGGAAGGAGCTGTCAAGTAAAAGATTGTTGGTATTAGCAGTTCGATATACAACATTGCATCCAAGACACAGCAAAAAGAACCCATCCCATGGACTGCCGACATTGTGTCGTTTCCTCGTCTGTAGAATAATTCCTGCGCGCCGCATATTGCAGGAGCGGCGTTTGCAGGATAGGGCCAAACCAACAAAACGGAGCAAAGGCTACCGTCAAGCATGCCGGGAGGCAGAGTAAAGGAGAAGAAGAAAAAAGCGAGGTAGAGATAAAAGAAAAGGAAAAGGCGAAAGAGAGACAAAACAGGACAAGGACAATGTGTAGAATACGTACATACCGGACTCGACGTCCGCAAGACAGGCAGAGAAAAGTATAAAGTTTTGACAGGTCAGAAACACGTCGCCTCCTTGTCCTGGACCTCGTCTCTCTTGGCCTGGCTCGAGATGAAAGACTTTCGTCACCCTTTTTGACTGATAGCGGCAGGGCCAAACGAATTGAAGGGAAAAGAACCCCGGATAATGAAACAGGAGAAAAATTTAGGCCACGGCAAGTGAAGACGAAGCTCTGTGCTTGCAATCCCCTCCCGCCACAGCAGTGATATAGACGCTTCGCTCTTTCCCCTCTCGCTAAATGCAGGAATCGATCCCGTTGAGATAATCAAACCGATCAAACGAAGCCTACACAGGTTAGAGAATATGGGACAATGGACAGCGCCCTGTTCAAAGTGCTGAAGCGAGCTCCTTTTTCGAAGGCCGGATGAACCGTTGGATGACAAGTCGAGTTCGGGCTAAATGCTGCAACGAGCTCGCAGTGCTCAAACTAGCCTCCAAAGGCGAGCTGTGGGTCAAAGAGGGCCTGGCAGATATTAAAAAGAGTGTACACTCGATTTTCTGAAGAAAAAGGGATATTGTCGTGATGAGGTCGGAGGTTGAATCGAGGATGGGTCGATGACGGACGGGGATTAGAGGAAGAAAGTTGGAGATTCTGAAGGGCATCAACAAGGCTCCAAAGCTGGTTGCACCGGTTCGAGCCCCTTGCGCTAAGAGGTACTCTGGGTGAAAGGAAGGAGCTTTGGAGCGGCTGAATATCGGATGACAACACACAAGCAACACCAAGCAACTGTGTGTTATTTTCCCCACACCCTCCGTCCCACAGTGCTTGAGTGCCTGGCTTGATCAACGGCTGTGCTGCATGATGGATTGAACGCATTCTCTTAACCCTTGACTACATGTACAAATACAAATAAATAGTAAAACGGCCCACTAGCGAGTGTATTCATCCTGAAATGGATTCTATTCTCTCATAAATATAGACCTCTCCGTGACGTTACCCTGCGTTTTCCCGTATATTTGTGCCTGGGCGCTTGCCAAATATCTTCTCAGTGCTCATGCCCTGCTCTTTATAATATGCAACAGGCGAAACAGGCGAAACATGCCAAACCCAGCGTACTAAGGAAGAAGGAGAAAGATACCAAAGGATAAAAATAAAACAAAAGAAGGGAATTCGATTGGCGCTCGTATATAAAGTAGAAAAAGAAGGGCGAGGGCTCATATATAGACCTTTCATGACAACCAAGGACAGCATTTCCTAGAACCTGCATGGCTGAAGCTTATCAGTGACGCAAGCCCCCACGTTGGGTCCTCCCAAGTCATCTTCTGTGGGCATTGGATCTTGTTGTTCCTGAAATGAATGAAGAGAAATGGCGCCTTCACGCGTCCGATGGGTGCTCCATGTTGAGGCTGCGGCTAAGGGTTAGCAAATCAAGGTGCTTCCTACGGAAGGGGATAAGGGGTGCCTTACTCGCAATCACAGGTACGTTTGGATGCCAACTTGCATCTCTCACGACCATGCTCCTCGAATGATACAAGGGCTGCCTTGTAGACAAACCCAAGAACCGCCCGGCATTCGCTAAGGACCTCATCACGCTCGTCTCAACGTCTATTTTTCCTGCTAGAGTAGCATCCATATTCCAAATGAAAACCTGACCGGATGCGCTTCCCGAGTAGACATATCGAGAGTCCGAGCTACCGGGAGGGGAAAATGGCACCTGATGAGGGTTCGCAGCACATCGTGCCCACGGAATGTTACTGCGGAGTTATCGTTCGGATCTCTGAACCAATCGGGCTCCCTAAACCTGTCCCATCGGTAGTCAAATGTAGGGTTCCTCCGCAGGCCGATGTTTTCAAACCGATGTGTGGACATAGCCATTCTAAGGTCCCAGAGTTTCATGCTCTGGTCTTTACCATTGCTCAAGATATAGCGGCCATCACCCTTGCTGTCGATATGTGTGATGCCTTCGATGTGACCCACGAATGCGCCGGCCTCTCGTCTATCGCCCATACTTCTCCTATCCCAGACCTGTTGGGCACGATGCATTAGCCCCGAGGAAGGGTTAAGGGGGTTAGAATACGCCGCTATATTGCACGGGGAGAAGCGCACCTTTATTACACTGTCATCCGACCCGGAATAAAGGATATGAGGGGATGACGTGTCGGCAAAGCAGACAGCGTTGACGTCATCGTCATGCCCCTTCACGCGAAGGAGAGATGTCCTAGTCTCAATGTCGTATACAATGATTGAGCGGTAGTTCGTTCCCGCCACCAATTCTCGGCCGTCGCCCGAAAATCGTACTGAAAATATGCCGAAGCGTAGCCGCGGCTCGTCGATCGCCATTCCCCGCCGGTCCCCGAGCTGGAACTTAGATCTAGAGCATAGGGATCACCTTTATCATTCGGATCGGTAGGCGCCAAGCACACGCTAGGTGAGAGGGACGTGTAGGCCAGCCATCTGTTATCAGGACTCAGTGAAGCATCCGTGAGTGTCCATTGGGCCCAAGGGTGGGAAACCGTCTTGTAGTGCTTCCAACTATACGGGTTGGATGTATCATAAAGCCTGACCTTAAAGTCAGCTCCGCAAGCAAAGTAAAAGTTTCCGTCGCGAGAGAATTGGCCCGAGTATACAGGTTCCCGGAAATAGATCGTCACATCTGTCCTGTCTTTAGGGACTAAAACTTGGAGAAGCAATCTTTCTCTCTTCTTTCGCTCTGCGAGACTATTCGCTAAGCCGAGCTCGCGTTCCAGAATACGCAGGGAAGGTGACACTTTTCGACGTTTGCTACCGGGAGATGGACTTGCGCCAAACGCTCCGGATCCCATCAGCTGTCGGCCTTCCTCACTTGGTACCTTTGGAAAGCGGTTTGGGTCCGGCCTGTGGCTAGCAACCCACTGCCGGAATTCCGTTCGGGATACGTGTCGTTCACTATGCGTGACACGTTCCAGGATGCGATTTCGTCGTAGCAAATATTGTATCTGGTCTCGGGTCATGAGAATGGGCCTGTTGCCGTACTCTCCTGCAAGAAGGGCATGGGCTAGGATCAGTAAATTCTTCTAAAGGAGGGAATAGTCACTAGACTAATGGTAGGTTCTCCCAGCCTACTTACGCTCTACCAAAACTGCTAAACGCCTTCGCGGCGTGAGTAAAGAGTCGGGTTCATCATCTTCTCCATACGCGTCCGTATAGACTAGCAACAATTCGGCTCCTGTTCAGTGGGTTAGCCAAGTTAATCTGCCCGTGAGTTAAATCAGTCTAGTCTCGGTCTCACCATCAGAGAGAAGTGACTGGATATTATTATCTAGCTCTTCATCTTCGCTATATTCCTCAAAATGATTAATGATAGCGTTGATATTGGCGAACAGGCCACCCCCTATGTAATCTTGAAGGAGTTGCTGGGTCATGTCGTCATAACCCTCCAGGTCTATCATTAACTCCCCGTCTCCTGTCGCATACTCGGTGCCGCTATCGTCGTCGTTCTCGTCAGACGCCCCCTCGTCATCATAGTCGCCATCGTCATCATCTTCCTCTGGGGGCTCCCAAGTTGACTCTTGAGAATTACTAATCTCATCCTCTGACTGCTCTGGTGAAGTAGTCCCCAGGTGACTGGTATCCTCATCAGATGCCATCGATGAGGTTGTTCAGATAATTCACCAAAAGAATAGTGGGGGTGGTTACAGGCAGCAATGGACCGGATTCTCTCCAACGTACGGGACCTAGAGGGTTTATTCGGGTGGTAGGTTTGATCTGTTTGATATCCCGCCAGCTTGGGATGTCAGTCGGGGTAGTATTAGTCTTGCTAACTGAGAATAGTGGAGGTCTCTACTCACAGCGTAGTGGGGAAGGGGCGTTTGCTGGTGCTGACGCAACCAACTTGTGTTTAATAATGCGCTACCCTCTTAACTCCGCTCCTAAAACACTAAACCCCGCCGCCGATGGGGCCGCAGCTTTAAAGCTCCAAATTGAGCAATGGTTGGTTATTCACTCTCCTAGGCTGTCATTATTACTCTTTGCTTGACCCTGATCCCACCGGGAGAAAAGGCGTGGGTAATATGAGGAAACATTTTTATAAGCAGTCTTGGCAGTCAATCCACGACAAGGTGTGTCGGATGGACATCAGCGCTGGGTCTCGCATTGGTCGTGTGTCTCTGGTTATCAAAATAAGAGGGAGGGGGAATCGGGCGCTCGGCACTATCATCAATTGGTTACTGCCAAATGATCAAGGCTTAGACATGGTAAAATCATGGATGAAGGGGTCTAATCACAGACTGCCCGTGATGGCCAAAACCGTCGGTGAGAGGGATTGGTGCTATGCAAGTTTGGAAGTTGAAGGTTTGGACACTGGATACTGTAGATACAATGAGATCCGCGGATGGCCACGGTTTGAGTTCTTGCAATGGTCTCACTAGCTTCAAGCCTCAACTACCAACACATACACTACATCCTCTCATCTTCCCTTCTTCATTGACCATCAATGATGCGTGAGACAGCCGAAAGCGCACTGTAAGCATACTGTCAAGACTAGTCCCCCATGTCTTGGGTACATGAGTAGACCCTACCCTTCTCATATCCTCTCCTTAATTCCGATGCTGCATCGCCCCAATTGGGTACCAGTACATCATGTATTGCGAAGATGTCCCTGAAAACCCCTTTCATTATCATCTATTAGCACTGTACGCTAATTCCACTGTCGCAGTATCAGCGAATGAGGCAAGGGTGGTCCCTTTTTCGGGAGGCGAGAGATCTAACCAACTACAAGACTCCTTTTACTCCTGGATGTTGCATTTCCCTGTAATCCGTACACCTGGCCCCGATTTCCTTTCTTGTTCGCAGTCTGGAAGCAGCCTCCCATCGTTGATTTTCTTCAGCTGCGCATTTTCTTTGACTCGTCCTGCTTCTTTCCTTGCAGTTCCCATTTCAAAACCGAGTCATCTTTTGTCCTCGATTCGGTTACTTGCCCTTTACACCAGTCGACGTGTGAAGCTCTCAAGACACGGCTAGTGTTGAGTGTCGATCCCTCCAATCTCGATCGACTCGCGATCTTTTAACGAGCGGTATTCAAGGTTAAGCACCTGGTTGCGATCCCAAACCATCGTACAGCCACTTCCACGAACTCACCATCAGTCAAACCATATAATCCAACGACCGCAACCATGAAGTTACCCACTCGGAAGGCCAAACTTCTATTCCTGCTGGCCCCCGCCATTGCGACCGCGCTTACCTCTGAAATCGTCGGTCGCGACGAACAGGCTGCCGTTGGAAGCAGAACCGACTCTCCTGCGAAGGTTGCTCCCATAGATGGAAATGATGGAAAGCCTCACAATGGACCCTGGGTTGAAACGGATGGCAGAGTTGATGATGACCTACCTGCACTGAAGGGTCGTCCAGTAGACCCAACCGTTATTGACGGCCAGAGGATCCCTGAGTCTAACGATGGAGTAATGGATGACCCTAATCGCCAGCTTCCTAAGGAGGGTACAAGGGGAACTGAGGGCGGCGTGTCGGGTAAGCCGAAGGGTGATGGCGAAGCCAAGGTGCCCGAAACGCCAAAGGAGGCCCCAATCCATCATGCTCCTGAGGAGCATATTGCTGCTACGGAAGGTTCACAAGGAGAAGGCCTTCCCAAGTCCAGCGAAGGGTCTGCCGGGATAGAAGTACGCGTTGATTCCACCCTGCAGTCGCCCTTTTCCCCCTCTTCAGGTTACTGACCTTTTCCTGTTTCTATCTAGAAGCCAGAAGACCTTCCCGAACGAGTTGGGGATACCCCAATCCCGGTTCCCGGCAATAGCGGCAAGAGCAACCCAGACCCTTCTCATGGCGGTAGCTCTCTCGAACCCGAAGAAGGTGTCATCGAACCATTCCATTCCTTCGTGATTTCTCTGACGATGATTCTTGTGTCTGAAGTCGGAGACAAGACCTTCCTCGTGGCCGCGCTTATGGCCATGAAACACGACAGGATGGTTGTGTTCTCTGCCGCCTTTTCGGCTTTGCTCGTTATGACGGTGCTTTCCGCCGTTCTTGGACAGGCTGTCCCCACTCTCCTTTCGAAGCATGTCAGCAGCTTCTTGGCCGCGGTGCTTTTCTTTATCTTCGGCGCTAAGCTATTGAAGGAGGGTCTCGCCATGTCTCCGGATGAGGGCGTCGCTGAGGAGATGCATGAGGTTGAGCGAGAGCTCGCTGAGAAAGAAAAGGATGCTTACGCTCTAGAGATGGGTGTTGGAGGGGAGGGAAGGAAGTCGCGCCCTAAGGGCCGCTTCCCTGCTCCCCCACGGTCGCCGTCTACCTCCCCACACGCAGCCGCTCCTCAGGGGCGTTCTCTTAGTAGTATGGTTGAGGGCGTTGAGAATCTCCTGTCTCTTCTCCTCAGCCCTGCTTGGGTTCAAACTTTCATCATGACTTTCCTTGGTGAATGGGGTGACCGAAGCCAGATTGCCACCATCGCAATGTCGGCTGGTTCCGATTACTGGTGGGTTACCCTTGGCGCGATGGCGGGTCACTGTGTCTGCACTGGTGTTGCTGTCCTCGGTGGCCGCGCCATTGCTGGCAAGGTTAGCATGAAAGTTGGTAAGTTTCTGCTCTGGATCCTATCTCTATCGCACCACACTAATAAATGTTTTAGTTACCCTTGGAGGTGCCATCGCCTTTCTCATCTTTGGCATCATCTACCTCTATGAAGCTCTCTTCTAAGAGATGTAATAACTCTGATCAGGAGAAGGTCTTCCGTTCTGTTCAAATAACGATCTTCAACCGCTCCCCTTTCAAAGATTTTACCCTTTACATTTGTTTAATGTCAATGACACGACCACTTTCATTCCTAGCCTCTCAACCATAATCGCTTATGGTGGGAAGTGTATTAATTTGTTATCGAAGAAAAACTCTGCATTATAACGGGCCGAAAAAAGGAGCAAAAACAACATCTCGGGGTTCCTCAGCGCCTAAAGCGAGGTAGCGCCACACTATCACTCGCGGGTGGGTGGGTGGGAAAGGCGAATATTCATTCATCTCTTCTTTGGGCTTCTGTTTCGCTTTTTTCTTCTTGTATTTTGTCGTTCTTGTGTTTACTTTGGCCCATCATTTACCTCACGGATATAGAAGGACTCTGTGGGAGTACCATGGTAGGAGCAGATGCTCCAAATGGAGTAGGAGCCACTCTTTGTATAATTTACTGGCGCGTGTGTGAGGACAACCAAATCCAGCATGATCACGGGCGCTGGTTTCGGAATCGCTGTCACAATATCCTAATAAATAACTACGCAAAGAAATCAGGAGGCCGTTTCTAGTCCCGTTGAAGAACTTCGAGTATTGTAGGGCGAGAAGATGCAAAAGGATGCATCTCCATCTCTCTCCAACGGAAAGAAGAAAAGACGCTATTGCTCGGCCAGAGCCATAAGGCGAGCGTGGTTGCTTCTTATCGTTACGAGGTAGGCAGTCTGTAGAGCTGGAAAGGAAGTGGAGTAAACAGATGGATGATCACCTCTCTATAATTCTCTACTCTCACCATTGCTGGGAAGATCTGCCACCAACATTCTTGTTTCCATCTGTAAGCCAGACATGAGAGGTCAGTCAGTCCGAGACAGATGCGGTTAATCATCGGATGTACACCTCATTCTACAATACATTGTTGTCGAAGGGTGGGCGCCATCCCCCAAAATCCCAAAATCTCAGACCCGCTCTCAAGAAAAATCAAAGTCACGTGTCGAAATTTTTTAGGGCTCGTTCAATCCATGTACCCGCACTCATCCGACCCTCAGCCAAACCCAGGCCTTGTAGCATTGTTCAATCGCCAAATCCACCCTTTCCCTTGTTTCCATCGTCAACAACCCATAAACTACCGGCAAAATGAGTACGTTGAGATAGGCCCTCCTGTCAATCGAGGTCGTCAAGCGGTCTTTGGAACAACGAAATCCAAATTGCTAACGTTTTGCGTTTCCCTGTATAGCGAAGGGAACGTCCAGCTTCGGCAAGCGCCACAACAAGACGCACACCATCTGCCGACGATGCGGTTCGTGAAAACCCTCTCACCTCAAAAGTGTCCCGAGCCCTCCCTTCTGTCCTTCTCAACGGAAAGGCGATTTCGACAATCTTTGATAACCGCCGAAATTCTTGCTTTCGAAGAGAACGGAAGGGTGGAGCAGAGGGATGGATTGGCGGGCAGTCATCTTGGGGTTCTTGTTCACTGACTCGAGGTCCTGAATAGGTCGTCGCTCCTCCACATCCAGAAGCACACCTGTGCTTCTTGCGGTTATCCCGCCGCTAAGGTCCGCAAGTGTATGTCCATTCACTGCATCCGTCGCGGCCTCTCAGCCCTTCGAAGATGTCCCCGAGAAAAATGCTAGATCTGCCAGGGTACAGTAAATGCTGACGGTTGATTCTCCACTTATAGACAACTGGTCCGAGAAGGCGAAGCGCAGGAAGACCACCGGTACCGGCCGCATGCGATACCTCAAGACCGTTACCCGACGATTCAGGAACAGCTTCCAGACCGGCGCCCCCGCCGATGCCCGCGGCCCCTCGAAGGCTTGAACAGCTTTTTCCCCACGTTAATCTAAAAGAAAAGTTGGCGAACTTGGCATAGGGGTGTGGACTTTAACTCGTTTTGACGTCTTTTTCTTCTTCCCTTTTACGAACCTCGACCCGATGAACACGGTTCTCTTCAGCGTTTTGCTCAATACACGTTTCGGGGATTCCGGGAAGTGAAACTGTAGAAAAGACGAGGGGGCAGGGAAAGTCGAAATAGAACGGAGTTTTTTCTGTTAAACGCCGGTACAAAGGGAGCAATACGGGGCTATGTTTTGCTATGAAATTACCATTGGGGATGAAGGCATTTCTTCGCATTTTCCCAAACGGATTGGTGAGGGAACATCAATGAAAAAGAATAAACAACACTAGTTCCCCTGCTGGATTTGTTATTGCTATCCAATTCCTGGCGCCCCCATCGATGGGGAACGGGTGCTCCAACCGGCCACGTAGTCTAACCCTTGCCGAAGCGCGTCTCTTACTGAGTCGGCCGATAAGAAGATGTTAGAAGCTAGCGGCTGAAAAATGCGTGATGTAGCAGACCCTTTGCCCACTCACTCACCGAGCGAGGTTTGGAACACAGAACGGGACTCGTTCCATCATCACCGCTAATCCTTGACGGTGGTGCTTTCCTTTTCCATTCATTGAAGGGTCAACCCCTTTTTGTCTCCTCTCATTGACCTCTCTCGAAAATCTTGAGCCCGCCATCTTGGGCTACAAAGTAAAGGTATTCGTGCGCCTCCACCTCGTACGCCTCGTCCTCGTCGCCCGCCGTGGCGCCGTCCTCATAGGCCCCGCCCCTCCCAATCCTTAGCACGCCGCTGACGTCCTTTGCCGTCCCTGTATCAAGTGTCCGAAGAGATATTACGGCGCGGGCCTCATGCGCGGTGGAGAGGACAAGAGAGGCGTGTGAGCGCTCGAGAGTCGTGGATTGCGCATCCATTAGCGGTTCATCGGCTGCCATTGTAAGGACGGAGGCGTACACTGACTGATTTCATACCCCAAGGTTAGTGTCTACTAGATCTAACCGAACGTGCGGGAAGGGGGCGGCGAGAAGGGTTAGAGGGAATATGTACCTCGCGCAATGAGGCGAGAAGATCTAGCACCTGGACAGGCGTGTTCTGGGAGCTCGTCAGGGCCAGATAACAGTCAACCTGATCCAAGATCAGAATTGTCTCCCTCTGCGCTGCGCCGGAAGGAGACTTGGATTGAGCGTCAGCGACGGCGCGTTCAAGCCCGAGCGCACGTCGGCAAGCTTGGCGGAGCGCAGGATGCGCCTCCCGGCATGTGGGCTTTCGGGAGCCGGGGCGAAGAGGCCCGTTAGCCCGTCTACGAATATCAGGGATCCTTTGTTCACCTCCTGATCTAGGTCCACTCCCTGTATATATTCCCTCTCGCTTTAGCATCCATCCGAAAAGGCAAAGAAAGTTCCGAGGACGGGTTTCATCTGTATTTGTTTCAGAGGCACAAGTATGAGGGCCGACGCCCATACAATGTCGCACGCAGAAAAAGAGCAAGTAGAGAGGCTCAATAAATAGTCCAGAGGAGCGAAAGAAAACCTACCATTCTCGCTATACACTCCTTCCAAAACGCAAAGTCCCTCATGAAACTCACGAGCACCACCGTTCTACCTGGCTTCTCACTTCCGCTACCGCTCGTCATGCCCTCCTCGCCGCGGTCATCTTGGTCGTCGCCGCCGGAGCTCCTCGTGAGGTGGTGCGCGAGGTAGCGGAGGAGCAGCCAGTTGGTTGTCGCGCCGAGAACAGACGTCAGGAGAGTCAAGGACGATTCTGGCAGGTGGAGGTACGGCTCCAGGAGGTGAGGGATCCGTGTGGACATGGTTGCGATTTTGACCCTAGGAGCTTCGGAGAAGCCGTTCCGGATCAGAGTTGCTTCGTCAAGCTCTCTCTGGCCCTGCAGGTTTTTTCCTTTCTCTCTTTCAATCGCAAATTTTGGAGGGGTAAATCTGCAGGTCATGGCGGGGGCAGTGCGCGTTGTGGGAATACACACTATACTGGCTTCGAAGGATCCTTGACATCACCAATATTGAAAGCGAAGAAACCAAGGCAATATGGCCTGATAGATAATAGACTATAATTACTCCCTATCCCGATGCTATAATTACTCCGGTCCTTACTAAAATGAAGGGTTGATAATGCTTACGCCAGGAGATGAAGAGAACCCCAAAAAGAACAACCCGAAATCACTCCCTCGAATAAAATAAAACAGCCTACAGGACATCGATGCGTATTCGTCAATCTTGCAACCATTTAACATGAACACCATCAAGTCAAGTCATGAAACGAAAAAGAGCAGGATATTTCCATTATGCCATAGAGTTCCATGCCATAGCCGCAATCATTGTAAGGGTCGCTAGGAGGTAGGAGCGGCAGCTGTGATGGAAGATGCTGACACCAGCGCTGATGACAGCCGTCGTCGTCTCAGTAGGCGTCGTTTGAGCCGTGGATGGAATAGTTTGTGACCTTGTGACGGTAGTCGGAGTCGTGGGAGCGGGATCAGTGGCAGGTATGTCGGGGACATCAGCAGTTTCTTGGGCGCTTGAGGGAATCTCTGGTGTCAAGGCAGTCTCCGACGGAGGTTCGGGAGTGAATCCGGGATCGCTCGCGGTCAAACTGGGCTCTCCTTCAGGACCACTGGGGACACCGGTGCGCAGCTCGTCGTCGGTGGTAGGCTCGCATTCCAACGTAAGCGTCTCGACGGCCTGAAGAATCAGAGTCCTGATGGCTGTCGTAGTCAAGCTACAGCCACCGCTAGGCCCGGGAATCGTGGCCGTGATTGTCGTTGTAATTGTGGTCTCAACATGGACAGCTACCTCGCGAGGGGCGGGAATCAGCACACCAGCCTCGCAGGTGACGCTGCAAGTGGAATCATCTAGAGGTAGGGCAGAATCTTCGGAGCAGCCATCGCCGACGGTAGCTCCAGTGTCTTCTGGATCCTCGCCAGTGGAAGGATCGGCGCCTTGGTTGCCCTCATCAGGGACTACACCCCCAAGCCTCCCGTGGATTCGGAGGTGGGAGTAACGCTGGCGTCGACAGGCGAGGGGAGGTGGGCTCCGGTACGGGCTCCGGAATGATGGCTGCCGGGGTTGAGACGGTATCAGGCGTTGGCAAGACCGCCCCGGGTGGGCTAGTAGTTATGACGAGTGTCATAGTAGACCGAACCCTCACGGTGGTGGTTTCAGGCATGGCAATAGATGAGAGTTGCATCTCGAAAGCTGCTGCGCAGTCGTTGATGTTCATAGTCTGATTAGGTTGTTAGTGGTTTCGTGATTACCCCATGTGTGATGGGGGTGCGGGACTTACATCTGGGCAGCAAACGGTATTCCCACCCGTAGATCCGGCGCAGTAGAACCCGGGATCACAGGCAGCTGTTTGCCAAAATCAGTAAAAGATATAAACACGAGGGATAACTTGAGATGTGCGGTAATATACTTACTACCAGTACCGTCCATGCAGCACCGCTGCCCCCGAGCTGGATCAAAGCAGAATAGAGCATCATCCCTATTGCCGTTGCACTCCTCGTAGCCTGCACCGCAAGCCCCGGCACACGTCGTAGAATCACCGTCGCACACACCGAACTCGGGTTGATACCCTCCGTCCCTCTTTTGCAAGGATTTCGAGATTGGGCTCACAGGACTGGTTGCCTTATAAACGGCGAGGTAATCCGCAGCCAACGCGATAGTTGCTAGGTGCAAAAGCACTACTAGCACAGTCTGAAAGAGTTTCATGTTGTGTGGAAAGAAGAGTAGTAAATGCTGAGAAAACGAAAGTGGCGATGCTACTGGAAGTTGAGTAGTTCTAAAGGTTTGTGATAGGAATATGATCGACTTGAAAACTAGGGATTTGCAGTCTGCATGTCCATGCTATATACCATCGTGCTCGTGCAGCTCGATTTGCCTATCCCTGCGAGGCCCCAGCCTCTAAGCTGTTGAGATAGAAAAGATCTTGCGTATAAGCTCGTGAGGAGTCTTCCAGCCTTCTCCCAGCTAAGGATTCCCGTTGTCTCTGAATACATGTCTCATCAACCTCGGCTGAGCTTGAGGCTGGCGTGTGGTCCTTGGCGCATGATGAATCCATCTCTATGCATCCGACGAGGCTGGGAGGTCAAGGGATAAAAAAGAATCTGCGAAGAGTCAAAGAGGAAGTCTGAGGGGGTGACGTGTTTGTCAACAGGCTTTCCGAAGGCCTTTTCGTTGCTAGGGTAGGTTGGGATGTCTCAGGGTCAGGAACAACGTCTGTGAGATGCTCACCATCTCACTTCGACGTGGCTGGATGGCTCTCTTTCACCTTCTTCGGAAGAACTGCCAGATAAGACACCAGATGATCCCCGATCTAGAATCCCCAACCGCGCCTCTTAGGTTCCTCTTTCATAATGGAGGAGAATTCCAGGGGCTGGCTAGGCAGAGGTCCCCGGGGCGGGACGGCGGATGCGTAAATCTGGTGTCTCACTAAATTTCCTCACGGGCAGATTTTCTTCAGCGGTGGGTGAAACATGGCCCCGTTTCCTTGATACTCTCTCCCGGCCTTGCAAGTTTTGTTTTCTTTCAAAAATTTGTAAATGCCCTCGGAAGTCGGCCTAGGGTGAGCTGGTTGCGTCGTAAGGTCTTGAAGAGGGCCGTTCATCTTGCGTCACCAACGCGAGTTGTCCTCGTTGGCCCGCAGCTTGGGAAAGACAGTTTGTTCTTTTCCCTGCATATACGAGAAGTATGCCGTGTGGCTGGTTATAAGTCAACTTAGCTCTTCCTCACAGGAGCAAAGTAATGAAATTGATATCAGCTCGAATCGACGCTGTCAACAGCTAGCTGTAATGCCGCCTGTATGGTTAACGTGCTACTCGGGCTCATATGCCGTTTCTTGGGATGAGGAACATGTTCATGCCTCGGAAGGAGTCGCTTCGGCCCGTGATACTACCCATCCATCCACATCAACCATTGTCGTGAATGATGAATAGCTGGCCAATATGTGTGTCCGAGGGCGTATAGAGCACCACAAGTTTGCTTCCTCTTCCACAATAAGCAAGCATGCCCCTTCCCCTTGTTCTTTGAGTATCTTCATCGCCCCGGTGGGTCGTGTCTCACTTCGGCTATCGGGAAAGAAGTCCCCTCGTTAAGCGCGGCCCTTCCCCACGGAGCCAAGTTGCGCTCTCTCCACCCAGGGGCTGGTATGGCTCCTACGCCACTAGGAACATTCCACTCAATATTCGCGGGGCAGCCGACGAGGGCATCAGAAGCGGATTCCCTACCCACCGTGCTCGCAGGAGGATGGACTTTCTTCAACCCGATGGATCTTGCCGGCGGTCCCGTCTTGCCGATCTCTTCCTAACCAGCCCCTGGGGAGGACTGAGACATATCGAGCCGAGGGAAGAAACCACAGCCCACCTGCCCACTCTCGCGCTTGAGCCGTAGTATGAGCTTCCTGCATCCCCTTTCTAGCTTCCGACCAAGGTGCAGATATGTGGAGACGAGGCTGGGAGGGCCGGCCTCTAGTGCCCTGCTTGGAGAGCCGCGCGCATGAACAGGCTTCTGTGCCCTTTAAGATGGGAAGGCCTAATGACTCGTCATGTGGTCGTTGGGATGACTCTTTTACGAGGTCAACCCTTTAGGCTTCTCCCAGCTCAAGACAACATGCTCTTCAACATCTGCATCGATTCTTCTCACCCCTTTCTCTTTCCCTAATCGTCTTTCGTTCTTTGCCATTTCGATACCTTGCTATTCGATCGTCTCCTAGGTTCGAGATCGATTGTTCAGTCTCTAGGGCTGACATAAACAACGAATACTCCAACACCTCGTCGGCGTCTAGGTTCAGAAGCCCAACGCAAACAGGATGGGACAGACATTATCTCTGACCAAATTCGTTGGAACAGATCGGCGCTTGATAGTATGTACTCAACTGCCATGCAGATGCTCCTCGTCAAGGAGACTAACATGTCATTCTCATCGTCTAGGCTCAGTCGTATCCGCCATGCCACTTATTCGGCGACTCTGATATCTACGGGCTCGGGATCCGCCTGGGATTCTATCTTCAGTACGCTGCAGCTATTGTTGCTCTCTCTTCTGGCTACACAAACGGCTTGAAGGCCCTCCGAACTGGTCTCGCAATCCTGTCCATATCGCTATTTGTTACTTTGTGTACGACTTCGACTGGAAACGGGCTCATAGTCATCGACTGGTACATCGTCATGGCCCTCACAGGCCAGTATATCTTCTTCACCGACCTATTCGTTCGCCTCGCTGCGGCCAGGGTCTTCTGCCTAGCCAGACTCCCGGGTCCCCTCGCCCTCAAGAAGGAGAATCGCAAAAGCGAGGTTTCACGGCGCAGGGACACACGAGTCTCCGTCGCCGACTTGATGAGGACGGATGTGGCCGAAACCGTTAAACCCCGCCAGTCTACCCTCATAGAGGCCGGGCTTGCCGTGTATAGAACCCATTACAGCCTCTCGGATGTGCCAGAGCGGGCTGAATCCGGCGTGCAGGACAGAACCGCCTTTCGACATGCTCTCATCGAGTTCGGCAGAGCAGCCCGGGACTGCCCAGAGGTTGCGGCGCGCTACTCGGTAGACAAGATTGCGCGAACCAAGGCACCCGAACCAGTCGCTGACGACGAAAGAGCGGCGGCGATTTCAGTAAACGCCAGTTCAAATCCGACTTTGTTCAAGCCGCGCGCGGCACCGGTATGACTAACACGGAAGCCGAGAAACTAAGCCGTCGCATCGCCGCGGAGATTAAGAAGGAAGCTGCTGATGAGCGCTCGAGGGCGACCCTCGCAGAAATCCGCGAGGCCATGCATGCCGTGCGCCCGCGGGATATGCTGGCAATCGCCATGATTTCCCTTTCGTGGGCGGCCTATCAGTTTGTTCGTCCATGGCTGTACTGGAAAGGTCTTCGGCGGGGCCTCAAGGTTGGCTGCGATGTCAAGCTCATGTGGTTTTTGTCCCTGCGAGCATTTACAACGACGTGTTCGCCCTCTGGCTGAGGATCTGGGGCATGGTCATGTTCGCAGGCGGGGTCCTTTACTTCTCGTACGGCTTGTACCTGCTAGCCACCAACATGTTCGCCGTTCGGAGGTGGTTTACGCGCCAGCGCCTCAGCACGGATGTTGAGTCTCAGCGAAGCCTTCTCGATGGAAGCTCGGCCTCGTCTAATGACGGTGCTTCTACCATCTCAACTACTGCGCGAAAAGACCGGAACGCTGAGTTTCCTCGCGGCAAACGGGTGACTAAACGGTGCCGCCTATACTTCCGCATCATCGCGGCATTCCAGGCTTTCATCCTAATTGTGAGCGCAGTCGTGGTAGAAGGGACGATCAATATCAACAACCTCGATATGAACCGAGGTGATTTCCGAACGTCGAGTCAGTTAATGGCCTTTGTCGTCGGTATCATCTCAGCAGTCCCCGTATTTTGGGAATGCCTCATCATGGCTCCGATGAGATGGGTCATGTCCAAAAGGAAGAAGTCGAACCCCCTTCCTGCGACTTGGTATGGCCGCCCTACCCGCCTCGAGTCGGTCGATACTCTAAGGGACCTTCCTCCTATCCCACCAGTGCCTCCAGTTCCCCAGGAGCTGCGAATGACTTCGGCAAACGTGGTATGAGCTTCCAAAAGGCAACCCCTGGTTTTTCGCCTGATCCCGCTTTGCGAGCTGGAGTGCGAACCACCAACAACAGACGCCACATGCTCCCTTTCGACATCTCTCGCACTATTCTAACAAAGCATACATCAATCTTTTATCCACCTTAGCGAGACCTGGCAATTGTATCTAATCTTTGCATCTTCTCTTTTTGTTCCTCAGCTTCTTTTCATCGGCCGTTTGGGAGTGTATCAGGGTAGACTCGAAGAATATTTTTGGGGGTTTTTTTCTCTTTATTTGGTTTGGTATTCTCCAAACCCCTTACTTGGATGGCTGTTGATAGATAAAGTACTCAGTAGTATCATCGTTAGCAGCACCGATATACAAGCAAGCGTAACGTTGATCTTTCCCTTGTGGATTATTTCCGAAGTCGCAGATCGGCTACCGGTGCAATGATACTCCGGCGGTTTGCTCTCGCCGCTTCGGCCTGCCCTGTGAAGTCGTAACTCGGATGCACCCAGCCCGAGGCTCTTTATAGCACGAAGTGATTTATCGTCTCGCATCAAGACCAAGAGCCATGACATTTTCGTTGGTGCTGGCGAGATCCGACCGACCGCCGGTTCATCAATCAATCTACTTTTGGCGGTGGCCCATGGGCATTATGCACGTCAGTGGATGCAAGCACCGACGCGAACCAGGGGTGGCCTGGCTCGCAACCACCAGAGAGTCAAGAGCTCAGTCCTCGACACAGCATGTTGATAGCGGATTTCAAGGCAAGATGAGCAAGGCTCCCATGCTTCCGACCTATGAAAAGCCCCATGCAGCTTGCAGGTATCTTTTAACAAGATCTGTGTATGGATGCATTGCTCTTTTCCCGCCCGCACAGCTTGAGTGGTGTCCTGGCTTGCCGCTTGCGACGTCCCAACTATCGTGACTCCTCCTTAGTTTGTGCATATCATCTCCGCATACCGTATGTGAATAAAAAAGGGTTGTGCCCCCTTCTTGCTCCGCGCGTGCTCCATACCTCGCTCCTTCCCCGCATCACTCGACACGAGCAACGAATTGCGGAGATCAATTTTGAAGCCCCTCCTGATTGAGTATCGAGCGACAAAAGCCAGCGACAAGAAAACCAGTTTTTCGGGTTTCTTTTTCCGGGGCCTTGGGAAAAAGACTCGCCGTCTGTCGGTGATCTCGGGTTTTGTGAGTTTCTGTTCGTGTTCTGCTTTTTTTTGTGATCCGGTATCGCGCCAGCGTCCTGAACGAGCTGGTTGATTTCAATTTTTTTCTTCTCTGGGCCATCCTCATCTTCCCCTCCCTCCTGCCCCCTCCTCCCTGACTGGGTCTCCAACTAGGGAAGCTGCCCCCTCTCTGCAACAATGTGGACAAAACCAAGTGCGGACGCGACGGAGCCGAAGCTCCAGCGACAAAAGATTCCTGGGCGCCGCATCGCTCAGATTGTCAAGCTCAAGCCGGAGTTTGTCGAAAAGTACAAGGAAGTGCACGCCCGGGTCTGGCCCGAGGTTTTGAAGCAGATCAGGGACTGCCGGATCGAGGATTGTGAGTTGAATTCCGAGGGGGTGGTTTTGCCCAATTCAGACCACACATATGCAATGGATGCGCTGGCCCATTGCCTCTCCTCTCCTCTGCTCCCTCCCACTCGCATCGTTGCCATCTATCTCTCTGCTCCACCCCAACACCTGGTCTTTGCCTCTTGCTGACCCCGACACACGCCAGATTCAATCTTCCACGACGAGGGCTCTGGTATTCTATTCGCCACTTTCAAGTATGTTGGCTTCGACTATGAAGGCGACATGGAGCGTATGAGGGAGAACCCCAAGGTGCGGGAGTGGTGGGCGATGACAGATAGCTTCCAGGAGTCATTAGTCCCTGGTGCGAAGAGCAGTGAGTCAGGGGACCCAGCTTGGTGGAAACCTGTTGAGGAGGTTTTCCATGTGGATTAAGATTGGAGTGGGCTGGCCCCATTGTCACTGTCGATGCTATTATCGTTCTCTCCAATCCGACATGATAGGTACTCGCAAAATTGATCCAAATGCCTCCTGGCTTGCGCGCAGTCAACATTGAAGGCTCCGCCGGAGCTAATAATACTGCACTCAGTGCTTTTTGATTTGTGGGAATATAATCCATCTGAGGCGCTTGACGTGCACTCCAGGCCGATCACAAAGATGTGCTATTACACAATTTGATCAATCTAGGGGAGCTTTTGATCTCGGTGATCGCTTGATACCTTTTTTTCTTCTTTTCTTTTGAAAGCCGTGAGCAAGCGAGCGGAACGGGTTTGGTTGTGTTGGTGGTCTCACGGTGTTCAAAGTGAGATGCCACACCCGAGGTGGCGTGGCGTGGGTACCTGAAGCTAAACCGCGATCTCCATGGTTAACTCCGGTCTCGAACAGGGGCTGTCGACTCTCTTTGATCGGGGTTTCCTTTTTTTTCTTTTCTTCTCTCTTGATCTCCCGCCTTTCTCAAGATTCTCTTTCTCACTTTTCATATTCATCTCTCGTCCGGTTCGCGTGGCTTGCTGAAGAGAGTGGCCCCCATGATGCTGTGGCCGGCCTCATGTTGCCGTGATACACTTACCTTGCCCTTGCTGGTCTTGAGCTAAAGATTTCATCATGGTATGCAGTTATTCAGCTCAAGGCCAATTCTTCTGTTATGCCTGCCCTAGAAACTGCATTAAGCCTGTTTATTTTCAGCTGACGGCCGGCGCCCCATGACGGGCCCATGGAGTTGGTTCCCTCAGTGTCTGGACGCAACCACCAAGCCCCCATCGCGACGGGTGGCCGATCTTACCTCTCTTCGTCCCAACGCTTGAGACATTTCACATGTTGCTACATTGACGTAGTGGTTTTATCTCTCTCTCACGCTTTGATACATGACGGCGCCCGGCAAATTCCCCACAAGTTACGTTTTCTCCATCTTTTTACCGCTCCTCATTCAGCTATTACCTATTATCTCAACCGACCACCGATGGATCGATTCACACCCGCCGACCCACGATTTGCCCTTGGAGGCTGACCCGCGTCTCTCGGGGTAGTCTCGGTCGGTGATCAGGTAAGCTGGACAGCTCAACCCTGTCACATTTCATTCCTAGCGAGACCGACCCTCTCCTGCCCAGCCTCGGCGGAGCCACAATCCTTTTGTTTTTCTCTCTTTTCCAGATCATCGGTATTATACTAGCGGGCCTACTAAGGAATATGTCGCGATGCGTGATGTGTGTCTGTTGCCGAAATATCGTGTCCCGAGACACATGTCCCTGCCGCTCGGGGAGGGGCTACCCGAGGTCTAAACAAGCCTCGAGGATAACCACGTAGTGCTAGTGACGATATGATGGCGGCGCCTCACCTCTTCATATGCAAAGGGAGATGGCGGCCAGGGGTTTGTTTTGTTGATTTGAAAACATTGGCATTAGCCGCCATACCTCGGCTGCGTATGTGGTGTAGGTTGAATCACTGCTCCTATGTTCTCACATGGCATCGATATTTCTACTTGATGCATCCTTAGATCGTTCTTATTACCGTCCGAGAACTGCGTGTAGTTAACGGCTTTCGAGATACTGTGCCCGGAAAACTGGCGCCATCCCCTCAAGTCGCGCATAGCCATAGATTCCCATCAAATACTCCCGCTGTGGGGCAGAAAATGTAGGCAAGGCCCAACAGGTCCAAACTTGCGACGATTTTTTGGTCCTACATCTTGGCGAGGAATCCCGGATGTGCATAGATAGGCCTTTGCTGGGAAGCAAGGGGCTGTTGCTGTTGGGGGTGCAGCTGAGGGAGGGGAGGGGAGGCACCGTTGCGGGCCGCTCGAACGGATCCTTCCGACCCAAGGGCGTGGGGCAGTTCGCATTCGAGGAGACGCCCCCTCCCCCGATCACGGTTGAGCCTTTGAAGATCCAATGTCCTACTACTGCATACAAAGCATCGCGCCGACGAGGGTACGGTCTTTGCCTTGATGACGGCGGTTAATGAGGTGCGGGATACCGTTCCTTCCCCGGTAGCTCTTCATGCGACTGATAGCTCATGCCGGCCTCGAAGAGCCAGCTGCGAGGTGGTGGGGGCACTTTTGGAACTCGTCGAGATCGAGGCAGGCCACCATCGAATGTACACTACCGGGAAACGGGCTAAAACCTACAAAAAACTGATATGGAAAAAAAAAAATGAAGGAAAGAAAAACCCCTCCTCCCTCAAAGGAGGATTCCAAGACTTACGAACCGACGGGAGGGGCATTTATGACAACCAAAAAGAAACATTGAAGGGAAAACAACCAGTGTCGACATCCATGTATGGTTGCCGTCTCAGCCCAGGACACCAGGGCTGGAGCCGCGGTTGGCCTCACGAGATCGAATCAAAAACACGACGTGGTCTCCGAGCGGCTACGCAGGCAAAGGCATTTCCATATCGCCGGGTCTAAGCAAGGGGGCCGCATTAGTAACACGCTAATGATTATGGACGATGGTGGTGGGCAAGTGAAGTGGGATACCAGGGCAGCAGGGGTACAGGGCCGCACAGCTGGACCCCTCCCCCTTTTCCTCGCACTAGCCAACGATTGCACACCCTCAGAATCCAGAACCGGGGCCCTGGGATTGATTGATGTTGCAAACCTCCCTGGCGTTTTGCAGGGCATCACAGACACCAACGTCGAGCGTATGCCGTACAAAGTAGAGCGCACAGAGATCCATGGTTATTTTTACTTGTAATACCACATTCGCGAAACACAACGCCATTCACCCTTGTGGCCCTTGTGGTTTCTTTCCACGGCTTGACATGTCGGATCTGCCAAATGAATCACCCGCCATGCTACGAAGTAGATCTTGCAAGGAGAGTTGGTCATTCCCTCTCAATGTCTGACGACGAAGTACCAGCACCTGATATCCGGTCTGTTCGGCATCATTTCCTGCTTAAGATATTATCAAAATTGTTACCGATCCAGGCGACCCCCATATTGTACTTCCTTGAGAGTGGTCACCCTTGAACCTTTCTAGGTTCTGATGGGGCTGCTGTTGGTTTGGCACCCGTCTTGAGCGTTGCGACCATCGAATGACGATGTGGGTAGATCTCGGTGTCAATGGGAAAACGTCTTTGTCAAGAAATGAGACGTGCCCCGTTGATTTCGAGTCAGTCAGCCCGAGAGGGAAAAAAGCCTTTGGAACATGTCCATGGATACGTCTTGCGAGAACCAGATGATGAACCCCACTCACCCTTAAACCACTGGAGAGGAAGGGGTGTTGTACCCCGGTAGTCAAGTGGAGATTGCCTGGAAAAAGCAGCCTCCGGATAATAATACTTGTAATACCAGTGACTGGACGGAGCAAATGACCCAGCGCCCTAGGGTTCATTTTTTTTTCGTCATCATCCCCATCACCTCTATCCATTTTGACATGAACCCAGAGCAATCCTTTTAGGTCACATTTTTCTTTTTCTTTTTTAACCCCTGGCACAACCAGGCCGAAGGAGTGGAACGAACGAGTAGGCCAATGTCCTGTTTGCCTGTCCCTGTCCCGTCCTTCTCGATCACGGCAAGTCATACTGTGAGGCGACATCGAGGGGGATGGAGGCGGAGATCGCACCCTTGCCTCCCCTTCTTTGAGTTGACCCTCGCCAATACGCTGACGCCGTTGGCTGAAAGGGATGGAGGGCACGTTTGAGTTGTCATATTTGCTGCCCCCCTCCCCGGGCGACATGGCCATCCTCTCAGAGGGAAATGACCTCTCGTTCAGGACCCATCATATTACCAACCGACCCGCGAAAGTGCTCACCTGGTCTCAGCCGGTGTCTTGGCTCAATCACTGGATCTCGCTTGGAGACCCCCTCACAGTGGGGTGAGCCGGGATCGAATCTGTGGCCAGGCGCGTTTCTAATGCGACCGAGAAGCACATCAAGGACACCGGGGATTGTAACTGTTGGAGAATCGAGTATGGGGCAGCATCCATGGATCTTCTGTGGAGTGATGCATGTACTACGTGTCGGTGAAGCGGGGAGAGCCCAGGACCACTCCTCGCTCAAAGCCGACGAGCTAATTGCCACATCCCAGAAAGCGCTGATTTGATAGAGAGCTCTCTCTGATGATGAGAGATATGGAGTGAAAGCTCCGTTTAGAGATAGCAGCCGTTATCATAATATGCGTTACGCTCGCTTCGAACTGACGTGGACGGACGATACGAGCTAATGCCGGCGCCCCCAGGTTTAAATCCGCTTGAGCCAGGGAACGGGGAGAATGCATTCAATGTAAGGATCCAAAGCTTGTCGAGCGAGGCACCGGCTGGAAGTGCCATGAGCCCGAACTCGGCGAAGGATGAACACCCTCCTGGGCCGAGAACAGCCAACCTGAACCTCGGGCCCTTTCTCCCTGTTTGCATGAAGGAGTGGATCCGACAGAGCACCCATGTCTTGTGGTGCTCACCTGGTATCACCGTAATAGCACAACCTGCCCAATTCTGTTCACATTGCGGCCGAGGACGTTAGTTGAGGATCTGGGGGAGGGGTGTGACCTCTCCAAGTACCCTTGCAGAAGAGGCCCGAGGTTTTTTGCAGCCCAACTCTTGAGGCACGTCGTTACACAAGCACTTTCGGTGCTGGGGATGATGGAGAGAGATCTAGGTCAGAGAGCGGAGACAGGTCAATCGAACGCCACCGCCGTATAGGTGTCTGGGTACCGTCACGACATGAGCCCAAAAGATACCACGGGAGCCCGAGTTGCCGGGAAAGAAAAAGGAAGGTAAAAATGATCAAGTCGGGGTGAAAGGTGGAAGATGAAAGGTAGGCTTTGCAGAGATCGAAGGGGGTGCAGCTACCGGAGGGTGAACGATCTCGTTGCCGCGCGCTCAAGATACGAACTAACATGAGGAGGGTGTAGGCAAGGCTAGGGTTTCAGAGGAGTTAAATCCAGAGGAGGCGAAAGGAAAAACCTATGATCAGGGAAAAGGAAAAAGAAAGAAAGAAAAGAACAG